TCGAACTGTTCGAGTACCCAAGATGTTCCAGACTTTGGTTTTTGCCGCTGGCTAACCAGTGTATAACTGCAACATCCTGGCAGGTCATCCGGCCAAGTTGCCCCATCCGAGGTTCCGTGCGCGGCTTTGCCAACAATGTCTTTTTTGCAGGTGAAATGGACTGCGAATGCTGATATTCCGGACATCCATTTTGTTTCTCTCTTTTTTTTTTTACGTTGCTTGTGGCACGAATGCAGCAGCAATGCCGTTTGCTAGCGGACTTACAGAAAGGTAAGGCGGTCGTTAGCATTGTTCCATGGTGATGGGACAAATGCCAGCGACCCAGTGCCAAAATCCGGCACACCGCTGTAACCTATCGCATCTCCAACTCCAACCGCCAACTGAGATGGAATGTCCCGTGATTCAATACAAGTAAATCTCGCCAGTCTATACCAAATGGTTGCGGCTGAAACGCAGGGTTTCATAAAACCCTCCAGGGTTCATGAATAAGTGCCCATGTCTGCCTGTTGTTGGCATGAGTCGTCGTCGTCAGCCATGGTCGACTACAGTATGCTTGATATCAGGTGGCCCGGGAGCAAGTGTGCCAGGCAAAGTTGGAAGTCGCACGTTTCGCTGGATCTCCGGTCTGGTCTGCAGTCTGCACAGGTGGATGCATATATGCAGGAATTCATGGCGGGTCCTATTGATAAATCAAGGTTTTGCGGCCCATGCCACCCCGATATCCGCATGCCCTGACCGCCCTAGCCGCACTTCACTGGCTACGAGGGGCGCGGCACAGTGCGCAACCACAAGATGCGTGGGCGGGAAAGAAAAAAAATCTGACCTCCGCATTAAGACGTGAGCCATCCGGGCGTCGTTGCTTCTTGCCCTCTTTCTCCTCCTCTTCTTTCTTCAGCGAACCTCACGCCCTTTATCCTCAGGAAACTCCTCCAAACCGAAGCCAGAAAGAAGTCAGATAAGTACGAACATTTACCCTCTCGGTCTCTGTTCTATCTACTTCTTGTCTGCGACAAACAAAACCTCACCAAAAAAATTTGAAAACCGCCGAAAAAAGAGAAATCCCCCCCATCCATACAAAACCCCATAAAACCCACCAAATCCACCCACCTTTTTTTGGAAGACATTTACCCAAGTCTCCAAGTCCACCAGTCTTCCTCTCCCTCTCCCGAATCTCGTCCTTGACCAGTCGAGTTCATCCTCCCTCTTTGTCAATACCGTCGCCCGTTCTCCGCGCCGGTTTTACTTGCTCCACACAACTCTAGATCTCGGGTACGTTGCTCGTCGCACTATCAATTCCTCCTGCCTTGCCATCGTCGTTGTCGTCGTCGCCGTGGCCGCCGCCAGTGCCGCCCGCCCAACGTCACGTCAATTGAGACTTCTCCTCCTCCTCCTTTCCGCTGTCGTCGTCCGGTCGACACATCGGTTACCCCTCCGCGCCTTGATCAGAGACACAGACAGACACACAAAAGGATACGGACGCTGACGGTTCCATCCATCATACAGAATCTACAGTTTAACCAGCAAAAATGGCTGCCACTTCTACCGCCGCTGTCGACCAGCTCGCCGCTGACCTCGGCAACACCAGCCTCGACAACAAGGCCGCTGCCCCGGCCGCCATCGACACCAGCGCCGTCCCTGAGGCCCAGGCCGAGGGTGCTGAGGCTGCTCCTACCCCCACTGCTGCCCCTCACCCCCAGGCTTCCGCCTCCCTCTATGTCGGCGAGCTTGACCCCTCCGTCACCGAGGCCATGCTCTTCGAGCTCTTCTCCCAGATCGGCTCCGTCGCCTCCATCCGTGTCTGCCGCGATGCTGTCACCCGTCGCTCCCTCGGCTACGCCTACGTCAACTACAACACCACCGCTGACGGTGAGAAGGCCCTTGAGGAGCTCAACTACACCCTGATCAAGGGCCGCCCTTGCCGCATCATGTGGTCCCAGCGTGACCCCGCCCTCCGCAAGACCGGTGCCGGCAACATCTTCATCAAGAACCTCGATGCTGCCATTGACAACAAGGCTCTTCACGACACCTTCGCTGCTTTCGGCAACATCCTTTCCTGCAAGGTTGCCCAGGATGAGCACGGCAACTCCAAGGGCTACGGTTTCGTCCACTACGAGACCGATGAGGCTGCCTCCCAGGCCATCAAGCACGTCAACGGCATGCTCTTGAACGAGAAGAAGGTCTACGTTGGCCACCACATTCCCAAGAAGGACCGCCAGAGCAAGTTCGAGGAGATGAAGGCCAACTTCACCAACGTTTATGTCAAGAACATTAACAACGAGGTCACCGACGAGGAGTTCCGTGAGCTCTTCGCCAAGTTCGGTGAGGTCACTTCTTCCTCCCTTGCCCGCGACCAGGAGGGCAAGACCCGTGGCTTCGGTTTCGTCAACTTCACCACCCACGAGGCTGCTGCCCAGGCTGTTGATGAGCTTAACGGCAAGGACTTCCGTGGTCAGGACCTCTACGTCGGCCGTGCCCAGAAGAAGCACGAGCGCGAGGAGGAGCTCCGCAAGTCCTACGAGGCTGCCCGCCTCGAGAAGGCCAACAAGTACCAGGGTGTCAACCTGTACATCAAGAACCTCGGCGATGATGTCGATGACGACAAGCTCCGTGCCATGTTCTCCGAGTATGGCCCCATCACCTCCGCCAAGGTCATGCGCGATTCTCTGATTGAGGGTTCTGAGGAGAAGGATGAGAAGGACAAGGAGAACAAGAAGGAGGGAGAGGCCGAGGAGGAGCAGAAGGAGGGCTCTGAGAAGAAGACTGAGAAGAAGGGTGACCGCAAGCTCGGCAAGAGCAAGGGCTTCGGCTTCGTTTGCTTCAGCAACCCCGATGATGCCACCAAGGCCGTCACTGAGATGAACCAGCGCATGGTCGATGGCAAGCCCCTCTACGTCGCTCTTGCCCAGCGCAAGGATGTCCGCAAGAGCCAGCTTGAGGCCAGCATCCAGGCTCGCAACCAGCTCCGCATGCAGCAGGCCGCTGCCCAGGCTGGTATGCCCCAGCAGTACATGCAGGCTCCTGTCTACTACGCTGGTCAGCAGCCCGGTTTCATGCCCGCCCCTGGCGGTCGTGGCGTCCCCTTCCCCCAGGGTGGTATCGTCCCCGGCGTTCAGGGTGGTCGCCCTGGCCAGTACCCCTACCAGCAGGGTGGCCGCGGTGGCGTCCCTCCCCAGCAGATGCCCCCTATGGGATACCCCATCAACCAGTTCGGCCCTGGTGCTTTCCCTCCTAACACCCCTCAGTACATGGCTGCTATGGGCCAGGTTGGTGCTCTTGGTGGTGGCCGTGGCGGTCCCGCTGGTCGGGGCCCTCAGGGCATCCCCGCCGGTATTCCCCAGGGTCTCCAGGGCGGCCCTGCCGTTCCCGGCTACCCCCCTGCCGGTCGTCCCCAGAACGGTGGTGGTCGCGGCACTCCTCGCGGCAACGCTAACTTCATGGCTGCCGGCCGTGGTGCCTCCCCCATCCCTGGCGCTCCTGCCGACCTCAGCGCTGGCTCTTTCCTCCAGGCTCAGCTCGCTACCACTCAGGATCCTCAGGCCCAGAAGCAGATCATTGGCGAGAACCTCTTCCCCAAGATCCAGGCCATCCAGCCCGCTCTTGCTGGCAAGATCACCGGCATGCTCCTTGAGATGGACAACGCTGAGCTGATCAACCTGTAAGTTTACATGACTATTCTTGACTCTTCCACACATTGCTAACCTGTCTGTCTGTAGGTTCGAGGATGACAACGCTCTTAACGTCAAGGTCCAGGAAGCTCTTGCCGTTTATGACGAGTACCTCAAGACTCAGGGCCAGCAGCCCACCCAGCAGCCCGCTGAGGCCAACGGCGAGCAGGCCCCCAAGGCTGAGGAACAGAAGCCGGAGGAGCAGAAGGCTTAAATGTGCCCTGAGCGATGGATGATTTCCCACGCACCGGCATAGGTGTTTCTCAGATGTTTCTTCATGTTCTCCATTCAACTCTCTAGGGTCGATCTCGCAACGGGGGGTCCGGAAAAGTTTATTTGATACCACACTTCGCTTGACGACAATTATGATTTAATCTCTCCCGATCCCATGCAACCCCATCACGGTGCGATGGCCGAATTGGCAGTGGATGGATTTTAACAAGTATCTCCAGCAGGTGGGGTGCAGTTGTTCCTTTGAGTGCATGACGACTTTTACAAGCAGTATCTCGACATGATATTGAGTCAAAGTCATGCTCATGTATTGACAGGCTTGCCTTTTCTTTCTCTCCTTGTGATGGAGCGTGGTGTCGCATCATACAGGGTTGGCCATCTGAAGGGGTATGATTATGTTTTCCTATGTTTTATCAACGATTTGGCGTTTACGGTTAGGGAGGGAAAACTGGCCAAAAGTGATTATCTGCAATTGGTCTGGAATGTCGGGTTTCTTCAGCCGCGTTTTCACAGAATGGGAGGTTAAGCTCGGGCATCTTGGGGAACACATTCTTTTCGCTCTCGAGACAGTAACAGAGCGAATGTTTTAGAACCCGGTCATCTAACAAGAGTGGGAAGGAAAGGGATATAGACCAGCATCTTCATTGTCCAGACTGCCCATGAGAAATGGGGGTAATGGGACTTCTTATGGGGTTGAATCCCGGAGGAGTGGCAGAAGGAGGATCGAAAATTGTTCAGCTAGAGGGTAGAGATAAGCCAATAGATGCTATCAAGTTGATATCAGTGAATTCTTGATTGTGATGCTGGGTAAGCGGTACGTGGCTTCTGGTTTGTCACAGTCCATCCCTTGAGATTGGACGTTGTTGTTTTATACTGATCGACAGCTTTGAGTCTTCATGTGCTGTCGTCATTGACCTCGGAGTGATGAAATGAACAACGAGTGTCAAAGAAGAAGCAGGACAATACGAAGTAATCCCAACAGAGCCACCAACGAGATATAGGTACACTAATTTGAACGCCATTATTCCATATCGACGATTGAAAATGGTTATGGTTTAAAATAGCATCCGTTCGTCACAGAGATCACAACAACTGAGGCAACATGGATGAGTTCAGCTCGTAACCTACTACCCAGCTAAAATTTCATCAGGATCTATATGCCCCCACCTCAAGAAAAGAGTACTTCTTAATACCCATCATCAACCTCATTCCCCTCTTCCTTCGCCTTCTCCTCCTCCTTCCACCGCTCCGTCCTCTCCCTATCCATCCTCTCCCACTCCTCCCAGAATTTCTCATCCTCATAATAACTAGGCGGCAAATCCTCTCGGTTTGTTCCCCACCCATCCTTGCCCAAACTTTCTTCCGGTCCAACCACCAACTCCAACAACCCTCCCTGTTCAAAGAACTCATGCGTAATCCAATTCTTGGTATATTTCTTCCCGTTCAACTTGGCAGACTGGATATAAACCGGGTTCCCACCGTTCCTGCCTGGCATTTCAGCATCGAAATTGACGGTTCTGATCACCGCCCATTTTGCTTCCTTTTTCTCCGAGTGGTAGTCACGAGAAGGAGAGGATGATTTGAGGTCCATCCCAGCCCTCACCTTTACCTCCCTGAAAAACGGCGGGACAATCAAGTACACGTCCTGCCCCGCAACGGGGAAAACACCCAGTCCCATGCCCCACGTGGTGAAGGCCCCCATGGCACAATCGTCGTTTCCCGGGATGCCGTTGACGCTGGCGTTGAACATTGTGGGGATGTAGTTCCTCAGCCACTTGGAACTCAGGCCTGGACGACCGGCGTAGTGGAACTGGAAGACGGTCAGGAACGATTGTTCGTTGCCCATGTAGGCGATCCCGCTTTCATGGTAGTATTCCAATCGCTTGACAAAGGTCTCGGCCCCGCCCATGAGTCGGATTAGCGTGGACATGGACTGCGGCGCGAAAAAGGAGTAGAGCCACGGTGACCCTTCGTAGACGTCTAGCGCCGTGTCGTAGTAGCAGGAGTGCTGGTTTTGGATGGGACTGCAGGTGCGGGTGGGGTGGTAGCGGAAGGTGCCTGCAAGTGTGCGTGGTTGGAGGAAGCCGACAAAGGGCGATTGGATGATGTAGCCTTTTGGTAGGGAGGAGGCGTTTTGGCCGCCGGAGAGATAGGGGGTGTGTTCTTCAGGCTGGGAACTACTGGTGGTGCGGTCGTCGCGGAAGAGGTCCTTTGCGGAAGGGTTCCAGTAGTTACGCCAGTTGGCGCCGCGGTGGTGGTATTTGGTGATGTCGGCGGTGAGGGAGGTCCAGGGGGTTGAGATGTTGGGGCGGTAGGAGGAGGAGGAGGAGGAGGAGGAGGAGGAGGAGGAGTCTACGACTTCGGAAGACGTAGAAGAAGCACCGAGGAGAGAGGGGGACTTGGACAGACCCTGGGATAGGAGGGAGATGCAAAAGTCGTTGTAGGCGTACTCGACGCCGCGGGAGATGGAACGCGAGGCTGGGCCGGTGCCGTTCGTGTCCACGTCGTTTTGGGGGATGTAGCCGCGATCGTGCCAGGAGACAAGGTTGCCGCGGCCGGAGAGACCCCAGTTTCGGGGCTCGATTTCGGCGTCGGAGAGGACGGCTTCGTAGGCTGTCTTCCAGTCGATGTCGGCTGTGAGACCCTTGACGAAGGCGTCGGCGATGACTACGTCCGCGTTGGAACCGCCTTGGGTGTAGCCTTTGCAAAAGGACATGCGACAGTCAGGCAGTTTGCCTTCGTGTCTGTAGATGTCGATCAGGGCCCTGATCATCTCGGTTTGTGCCTTTGGGTCGATGACTGTCAGAAGGGGGTGTTGAGCTCTGAATGAATCCCAGATGCAGTAGAACCTACTCGACGTTAGCATCTTTCTGTTTCCCCTTTCCTGGTTGCCAGACTTACGAGTCAAAGTACGGCTCGCTCGAATTCCACAACGGGTTTTCCCCCGTATAATTCTGCGGACTCAACAACGTCCTATACAGCCCACTCCAAAATGTAGTCTGCAACTCCTCACTGGTCCCATTCGCATCCACCATCACCACATCCAACTTCTCCCTCCACGCCTCTCTTGCATCCCTTTCAACCCTCTCAAAGTCCCAATCCTCCATCTCCCTCTCCGCATTCTCACACGCCTTATCCACGGACATAAACGACACACCCACCCTCGCCAGAATCGAGTCCTTCATCTCTTCGTCAGGCTTCTCAAACTGGATCCAAGCACCCGCCGACCCCCATCCGACGCCTTCAAGAAGCTGTTTCTCGTCCGTAGCTTTATTCGACTCAAACGTCCCCGCCTTCCTAATCTTGGCACCCTTGAAGTCTGCGCAAAAATAAGCGTGGTAATGCCCTGATCCAAAAGAAGGGCCGTACCGCCCGTCACCCACGATCCGGCCTGTTTCGGGGTCAACTTTGATGTTACCCCTGGAGCGACTGTTCATGAGGTCGACCAGGTCTACCAAGATAAGTGGACTATAAGGCGCCACGCCTTTGGCGAAGCGCACCGCCTCTGTGCCGGGGAAGGAAAAGCGGTAGAGAACGGAGTGGTGGGTAGTGGTCATCTCGGCCTTGACGCCGTTGGTGATGTTCACGGTGAAGTACCCTGGTGAAGCATAGACAGAATCAGGGACGCGGTTGAGTGGTCGATCAGAAAGGGAGAAGTCGCATTTGGTGTAGTCGTCGTCTACACAGCCCGGATGCACAAAGAGCGGGAAGTTTCCCAGAGAGGGCTGGCCGCCCGTGCCGGAGTCGTGCATGTGCGAGAAGCCGGTGATGGGGTTGTCGTCGGACACGAAGCCGGCGGCGTTCTCGGCGGGCGAGGCGGTGTCAGCCACGGCTTTGGCCATGCCGTAGGGCAGCGTGGCACCGGGGAAGACGTGGCCGCCGTTGGTAGTGCCGATGAGGGGGTCAATGAATCGCAGAATGTCGTTGACATTGTGGTTTTTGACCGCCCCGAAGGATGGGCTTGAGCTGGAGTGTTTGCCATAGGAACCGGCGATGTCGGGTGAGAAAGGAGAGAAGAGGAAGAAGATGGTGATGGCGAATAAGACGGCGAAGAGAAGAGCTCTTCTTTTTCGTAGAACACTGGCAAAATAAACGGGTAGTTTGGCTGCCGCTTGGCGGTACGGTGAGTCGTTATTCATCGCCATGGTTCCTGACCTCACCCGTAGTTGAGGTGAGAGATACGCTTCGCGTGGCTATCTCTCTTCTAAATGGTGCTTGTCTGAAGCTCTCGCATGCTATGTATGTGGCCTGTTAGTTATTGACAGCCATTAGGTTGGCAACGTTTCAGACATAAACACAATCTGTTCCCTTGCTTGGATATCGAGACATCAAAGTCAAAGATCATAGTCAAAACATCAACATACCTACACAAGGATAACCAGGGTCCGGAACCCCTGAAGAGACAGGTAACCCATGGCGTCGAAGTTAAGTCCGGGGTTGCTAACTGATCCACTATCAATCAGCCTCTTGGGGACATGGGCCACATTGTGCTAAAATAATAATTTGGGCACATTCATAAAGTGGCGGTCTTGTCAGGAGTGTCAAGTTGAATGGAGGGGAAGAGGACAAGTTGAGGTGGGCATTGGTCGCCAAGACGATACCAAGACCTTTACCGTGCCGGCGTCCGATCGGGAACAGGGGCATGAACCACTGACAGGTATGCTACTGTCCAATAGGAAATCAGGATAGTGGCTTGAAATGGCTAGGGCTTGTCGGTGTTACAGCGCCATGCCTTAAGTTTTGGATGTCCAAAGATGTAAGTTCTCGTCGCTGGCCTTCGAACTGACTCTAGATATGCCAAGGTCGAAGGGAAAGAGGAATGAGAATGGAATGTTCCTCAAGCCTGACTGAATCGAGAAAATCAAAGAACCTCAAGTAGGTAGCTGACTACTTGATAATCACCACTAATGGGTTCATCTAAAGCATCATCATTGTCGTGGTAGTATTCTTCAGGACAAAGTCGGTCCGGTACGGGGCCTGTGAGGATGTGACATCGAAGCAAGAATTTTCGATATCATAATGTCCATATAGCCAATATGGGCTTCCCTTCTTAACCGTTTCGGCAGCTCGTGGCGCGGCCAACATCCACTTAATCCATATAGCATAGGTAGAGGTACCCTCTCTCACATGCCGCCTACTTACAGCTCGTCACATATCCCCAGATATTCCACGGAACATGTCAATACTTCAATCATGACTCGTTATTTTTGAGCAGAACCCGTGGGTCACATGTAGCAGGCCCTGGAATGGCCTGGTCCTTGAGCTTGATCGTCCAGATCTTGACTTCGGATGATGATACCGAGATTGTCAAGTGCCTCCAACAAATCCTGTTTTGTCATGGAACAGGTTCTCGTGGGAAAGGGCCTCTCTTGACATATGATGTTGAGGGACCGGAAGCCTCATGTGCGGGATTTGATGGATTAGAAATCCAAGGCAGAGAGTATACACGCTTTGCCGCTTCTCAGTCTTCGAGATGTTTCTTTATAGTATCGAAAAGTTGTCGTGAACATGGTGGACGACTCCTGAATGACATCCCCGACGTCACTTGGATAAAAAGGGTTAGGGTTCTGTGTCCGATAAGAGAATCCGGTAAGCCGTCAAGGTGCCTGCCGGACCACGGGAAAGCTCCGCCCGAAGTGTCTCCAAAGTCCAAGCTGAGCTCGAAAAGATCTCCATTCCACAGACCGGGAGCTGGTCACGAGGACGACTGGGAAATTTGGGAAGGGAAAAAGCCACAACAGTTTCTGTTCCGTAATCAACCGGCGGTGTTGTTGTTCATTTTATTTGCCATCAAGTGATTCGTAATTGTGGTACAAACCCCGAGTCAGATGATGGAGATTCTGGACTTTGGTGATTCTTGACCGTCTCTCGTTGGCTTGTTGCCGGTGTAGTCGGGTTTGTTGACAAATCCTCAGCATCGTGAGCCGATTGCCGGATGGTTGGCAAACTGAACAGAACACCACCAAAGGCGACAGAAATGGGAAGCATCCCTTTAACGGTGAAAATTTATCCTTTTCTGCCAAGACTTTCGGAACTTGCAGTACTTAGCGACTTGCTGACACCGCCAAGCAGGCGTTAGCCAGCAAATGATCAGGAACCATTGGTTGATTTACCCCGGTATACTCCACAGGGACTCACAGCATACCCTGCGGTGACAAGTTGTGCTGCAAAAGCTGGGGGAAATGAGGTATCTGCATGGGTGCAGCTGTATAGGTGGATTGAATAGAGCCAGCCGATTGGCCATTTTTGAGCTTGGCAAAAAAGGATAAATTTTCACCGTTAAAGGGATTGCCATGCGCAAGTCCCGTCGGCCCGGGAAATCTTCTTTGGGGGACTTCAGTTGCATTTACCATGGAGAGTTGCCCCGCACCCCCGGATCTCGCCCAGCCTGTCATCCCGCCCCTGACGGCTTCTGGATCGCCCCCGGTCGTTCGGCAACCCCTCCACTCCCCCTTCGTCATCTTGGCTTCATTCATATCATATGCAAAAAACAAACAGTCGGGGAAAGTTCCCCTTCGGCCGGCGGCTTATCACAAACTCCTCAAACATCAGCTCGCAACAGGTCATTGAAGAGTAATGTGGGCAATCAGCAGACGGCTAATTCGGCTTTGCCACGAGTACACAAGAACCACAACAAAGCAAAACAAGCAAAGAAGCCACAGACTGCTCGAGGGGGGGTGGCCAGCCAACAGTCGCTGATGTCACAAGTCAGCGAGTGGACATAGGTAGCTCTCCCCGTCCCTGATTATCGATAACCGCTTGTTCAACCGACGACGGCCGAATGAGGGGTCCCATAGCTCCCGTTTTCCCCCATTCTGCAACCCGGGGTTGTGCCATTGCCTCGACAGCTTCCAGACAACTGAAGTCGCTTTGTAGTAGTGTAGCATCTGGAGAGGAGGAAAAGCTCCTCCTGATATCATCTCAACGCCTCAACCAGAAGAGTTCCAAAGCAACATTACGCTTGCGTTGACTCCTGGACGGACGATCAGTGATCGTCGCCTGAATGTTGTCTTCCAGGCCCTCTCATACGCCAGGAACACTTCAGCCAGTCCATCATAAAAATGGAACTCCTCGTCTAGAATGGATACCAACCTGTCACGTTGATGGAGGAGATCCCCTTGGCTTGTGAACATTCCCCTGTCATGTTTTCGTGTTCCTGGCTTGTCTGACCGTCTCTTCCCGTCTTCTGCCACTCCACCTGAACCTGAAAGGGAAGCTTCTTATCTTGCTGCTCCTCCTCCTCCTCCTCCTCTTCCTCGGGCTCTCTGTTCTTCTCACTCTCAATCTTCCTCTTCTTCCATTATCTTATACCCAAATACCCAAACCAGTGTTTTGAATTTGCCATCTTCCTCACCGGAACAATACCAATCCACCGAACAGACGACCAAACATCATAGTTGCGTATAAGTCGAGCTCTTTGTTCAACGTCAATCCTCGTGACCGCGAAGCATACATCATCCCACAGCTGCAGAGTGCATAATCTAGCTAGCCACGAAATAACAGCCAGCTTGTTCTCACGATCAGTGTAGCAAGCTTCATTTTCACCAATTTCGCCAAAAAACACATCCTACACACATAATTAACCATGTCGACTTTCACAACAAACGGAGCTGGCGCCGAGAACGACGGTGAGAAGGTGAACACCCACATTGTCACCCTCACCAGATTCCTCACCGAGGAGCAAGTAAAGCACAAGGAGGCCACTGGAGACTTTACGTATGTTATTCATCACTTGGACCAAATCCCTTCCTGTTGACCGCGCAAACAACAGAGTCAAAGAGAACTACCAGCTAACATGAAACCCCAAAAGCCTCCTTTGCCATGCCCTCCAATTCTCCTTCAAGTCCATCGCCTACTACATCCGCCGCGCCACGCTCGTAAACCTCACAGGTCTCGCCGGTTCCTCCAACACCACGGGCGACGAGCAAAAGAAGCTTGACGTCATCTCCAACGACCTCTTTATCGAAGCTATGCGCTCCTCGGGCAAGTGCGCTTTGCTCGTCTCGGAAGAGGAAGAGCACGTAATCTACTTCAAGGACGCCAAGCACGCGCGCTACGCCGTTGCCTGTGACCCCATTGACGGCTCCTCCAACCTGGACGCCGGTGTGTCGGTCGGCACCATCTTCGCCATCCACAAGCTGGCCGAGGACAGCACGGGCACGAAAGAAGACATCCTCAAGCCCGGCACCGAGCTCGTGGCGGCCGGCTTCACCATGTACGGCGCCTCGGCCCAGCTGGTCATCACCATGAAGGGCGGCTCCGTCAACGGCTTCACGCTCGACCAGGGCGTGGGCGAGTTCATCTTGACGCACCCCAACATGACGATCCCCAGGAAGAGGAGCATCTACTCCGTCAACGAGGGTAACTCGCTCTACTGGGAGGATGACGTCAAGGCGTACTTTAACAGTCTGAAGGAAACCCAGGAGGACAGCGGAAAGCCTTATAGTGCTAGGTACATTGGTTCCATGGTGGCCGATGCGTACAGAACGCTGCTCTACGGTGGTATGTTTGCGTACCCGGCAGACAAAAAGAGCCCCAAGGGCAAGCTGCGTATTCTGTACGAGTGCGCGCCCATGGCTATGATTTTTGAGAATGGTAAGTCTTGTCATCCGTTTTTCACGCCCAGATGAAAGTATGATGATGGATGCTAACATGTTGTGTTAAAACGATAGCTGGTGGTCAAGCTGTCGATAGCAAGATGAACCGCATGCTCGAAGTCGTACCGGAGCACATCCATGACAAGGCTGGTATCTTTATGGGTTCATATGATGAGGTTGAGAAGGTCAAGAAGTACCACGGCAAGGCTTAAGCTGGGCTTGGTCAACAAAGGTGTTGGGGCTGGGGGGTTGGATATCGGGATTGGCTTGCATTTAGGGTTAGCTTTTGCTTGACATGATTGTCGATACCTAGGTTGATGAATGCGCATGATGTTCTCGCAAGCAAATGCTGTCTGGTTCCCCGCCTTGCATTTTGATATTAAGGTGTGAACATTGCCAGTGATGAGTTGTCCGGAGTTGTTCAGTTGCCTTGCGTTCACGGGTACTTTAACTAACCTCTCGTCATCCCATCCATCTGTAACCTGAAAGCAGACGTTCATCCTGCCTTTTGACCGCTCGAAGCAGCACATGGCGAACGGCATTTTGGGACTCGAGCAATCATCTGAATGGGGTCGGAGCAGCAACCGAACGGTTCGTTCCGAATTACGTTGTACAGTACTTGTATATATGCGTGTGCATGAATCGAACCGTTGACGGCTTCCCGCAGTGCGATGTTTTGTTGATGTTAATATGAGACGGAAATGTTGACAACTAAGCGGCCTGCCGGCTCGGTCAACATGTGATTCCTACTTCCATGCTTGCAACCACCCCCCTGGACGAGCATTCCCATCTTCACAATGTCCAACAAGGGGCGGTTGAAAGTGTCAGGTTGATCTTGAATTCCATCTCAGACATTCCCAGTGTGGCCTCTCGGTTGTCGGAACTGCTGTTGACAGAAAGTGATTCCACAACATGGGCCCTTTGTTAAGCAACCCAACCATTCTCGTCAACGCAAGAAAAAGAGAAGCATGTGAAAAAAAGTGACTTGAGAAAACAGACCAATCTGAAAATGCGGATGCAACGCTCTTGGCGACCCCAACCGTCCCCAATCATTCCCCAGCGCACCCCCTCCTCCACACGTCTGTCGTCTGGCGCTAAACCGAATGCGGCAGTGCCTCGGCGCATTTCTGACATCACCTGCCGCCGCCTCCCGCCCCGGAATTTCATCCCACACTGGACAGCCAGCCAGCACCTCGCCGCGGGTGCTCCACGCTTCTGTCTGTTAGTGCTACCGCCGTCCACCGCAGGGCACGCCCACCAGTTACACACCACCTCAGTTGGCACGCTGCCTGACGGGGGGAGCATCAAGGGAACTGAACTGACTGGGGACTGACCAGTCGAGATCCCGAGGTTTAAACCACCTGGCGATCCATCTTTCTTACTTCCTGTTCTCCCGTCTCGTATCCTTTGCCGCTTCCCCTTTTATATAGGCATCAATACACACTGTTTTCCTGTCCTTCCACACCGTCCTCCCTTCCTTCCACTGAACCATTTCTGCCCTTTCCAATCTTCAGAGGATACCCAACAAGCAGCCGTTGATTCTTGATTTTTATTCATCCATCTATCTAGTCGTATAATCATTCACAATGGGTGGTATGTATTACTGAACCGACTTTTTGGCCTCAGCAAATGGTGGTTAACATGATACTCCTTCCACTACAGCTCTCGACAGACTTTCTCAGATCGGCAACCAGATCTCCGCTGGTGTGACCGGTGGTGGCCGTGACCAGATTCTCCAGAAGAACGCCGATGATGTAAGCACGACCGACCACATCGAACCGAACGACTTGCAGAAAACAAGATGCGACTAACACATACAACCTGCAGATCGTCGTCACCTGCGCTCTTCGCACTCCCTTCACCAAGGGTGGCAAGGGCGGCTTCAAGGACACTCACGCTGCTGACCTGATGGCCGGTGCCCTCCGTGGCCTCATCGAGCGCTCCAAGATCGACCCCTCCCTCGTCGAGGACATCAAGGTCGGCACCGTCCTCGCCCCTGGCGGTGGTGCCACCGAGATGCGCGCCGCCGCTCTCGTCGCCGGCTTCCCCGAGTCCACCGCCGTCCACACCCTTAATCGCCAGTGCTCCTCGGGTCTTCAGGCCTGCGTCGACATCGCCAACGCAATCCGGTCCGGCATGATCGAAGTCGGTGTCGGTGCCGGTGTCGAGTCCATGTCCACCAACTACGGCCCCGCCGCCGTCGCCGAGTTCTCGGACCTGCTCGAGTCCCACAAGGAGGCCGCCAACTGCAAGGTGCCCATGGGTGTCCTGTCCGAGGACATGGCCAAGGACAAGGGCGTCTCGCGCAAGGACCAGGACGCCTTCGCTGCCTCTTCGTTCCAAAAGGCCGTCAAGGCCCAAAAGGAGGGTCTCTTCAAGGAGGAAATCCTCCCGCTCAAGGCCAAGTTTGAGGACCCCAAGTCAGGCGAGACCAAGGAGATCCTAGTTGACCGCGACGACGGCATCCGCGACGGTGTCACGGCCGAGTCCCTCGGCAAGATCCGCGCGGCTTTTGCCAAGGATGGATCCATCCACGCCGGCAACGCCTCGCAGGTCTCGGACGGTGCCGCCGCCGTCCTGCTCATGAAGCGCTCTACCGCCGAGAAGCTTGGTCAGCCTATTCTCGGCAAGTTTGTCGCCGCTTCCGTCGTGGGCGTCAAGCCTCTCCTCATGGGCATCGGCCCCTGGAAGGCCATCCCCAAGGTGTTTGAGCTCACGGGCATCAACAAGGACGACGTCGACATTTTTGAGATCAACGAGGCGTTTGCTTCGCAGTGCTTGTGGTGCGCTAACGAGCTTGGTATTCCCATGGAGAAGATCAACCCCAAGGGCGGTGCCATTGCTTTCGGTCACCCGCTTGGCTGCACCGGTGCCCGCCAGGTTTCTACCCTTCTCTATGAGTTGAAGAGGACAGGCAAGAAGGTTGGTGTTACGTCCATGTGCGTTGGTACCGGTATGGGTATGGCTGCTGTTTGGGTGGCCGAGTAAACAAGCGGTTGTGACGACAAAAAAATGGGCGTTGGGTTTCCTTTCCTCTCTTTGATATAACATATTTTGTGCCATGATTGTATGTCAACAACAATTCCTGTAACTTTAGAACAACAGCGTTATCTTTCTTCTTGGATACCATATGCGTTTCATTCATTTGGTTCAGCTCAAACCTCCTGCTCTTACATCCATGTACGTGTAAAAGGTTGGCAACGATATGCAACCACCTCGTCACGTACCCCTTCACACTTCTCACCGGCAGCGTCATCCGATAACCGCCCGCGCGGAAGCGGACATGTTTCAAGTCGCTATCTACCTAGGTACTAGTACTCATGAGAAGACCACGGGAACTTTGTTCATACAAGTACAGTGCTTGTCCGGTCGGTATGTAGCGAAGAAAACGGGCAAGCAGCACGGAAACGGGCGGTCTTTTTCCTCCGTTCGCATACGGACATCGATGCGGTGGTTTCCCGTACCCTCTTAGCCTCACAAGGGTCTTGTATGATGAACCTCTCTCCGGTAGCACATGTCCCAGGTCCTGCCCTGTCTTCTCGAACTACAAGTACCGTACTTTTGGGCTTCAGGTCTCCAATCTCCCGTTGTAACCATCCCACATGCCAAATGCCACATGCCACATGCCACGTCTCTCGTTTTGGTTCGTTTCACCATTACCGTAGAAAGACACTAGAAGCCAAGTTTGAAACAGAACCGTTCGGTATATCCGTCGTCGTTCGTTGACGTTCATCGGGCAAGTCCTAAAGCGGTTTTCGACGAGACTTTCAAGGTCGAGGTTCACTGTTTGAGTGCCCTGCCCTGGCCAGTGGGCCTGACCAAGTCCGTCCGGGTTGGGTATGTACGGTATGTACGTATTCGAATGCTGTCTGAATGGTGGCGGGCGGGTTTTGACCAATGGGGAAATGTGCCGTGGAAGCAAAGCCCCTTTCGTTGCCGTGGTCAGTCGTCACCGCTTTTGGAGGATCGCTTCGCTCAGTTCTTTCTTTTCGAGAGAATCGAGATCGTGGAGTTGCTACACACTAATAGACGGGAAAGTTAGATGCCGAAGGAGGAGGAGCAGGGGAGTTCGTCATGATTGGAGATGCTTTGAAAGTGAAAAGTGATATTATGAGAGTTGAGCTTGTGATTGAGGCGGTTGTACATATGTACAGTATTACAGTAGTGTAGATTCTTTCCTAGTTGGACGTTACATATTGGATTGTGGGGGGTTCTTTTACTCGGGCCCAGTGGTTTGTATGCCCGCTGTCGAGCCGGTTCCGGAGGGGGCTTCCAGTGGGGGGGGGAAGCCGCTAACAAAGTGCTTTTTTTACACTACTCTACGTTAGTCGGTCCTAGTTCGAATTGATGACAAGGGCTGGCTGGCTGGCCTGTGGCAGGCAAGAAGGAACCCCGAGGAAGTGCCTGGAGTCTGGAGCTCAACAACCAAGGAACTTCCAATTCGATTGTCCAACTTCAAATTCCATCAGCAAAGACGCTTCCCACTTTGCTGGTGTTCGGGGCTATCATATACCTGACCTGACCATCGAACAGCTGCGCCCAACTTGTGCTTTCCAGCTCTACTTACCACACGCACATTCGCGGCGCCCACTAGCAACGAGATCGACGATTGGTTACATCACGCCGGACCACTCTAATCTTTTCGAAATCTTCAGCGAACGAAAAGAAAGCTTCAAGAAACCTCGCTTCTTCGCTACCTACCGAGCACGGCTCTCCCACGATTACGCCGGCAATCATTGACTCGATTGGGAACCGATTGGGTTTCCCCGCCTTTCTGACGAACCTGATCAGAGCTCAAAGCGAACTTCCAATTTACGCCCGCTAGTTCTCGGGGTTCAGTTGCGGTTGACCAACAGAAAGGAACGCCTACTGCCGGCAGGAAACCAGCAGGAAACCGCAAGCCAGCAAGCAACACACGGACAGCCGAAGCTTTTGCACGAACCCCTCCACAAAGGTCGAAAGCCGAACCAAAGCTCGTTCGCTCGAAATCGATCCGCCTCGCTAGGCCGGGCATCTCCTTGCGTCACCGGGTGCTGTATACCCTCGGCCAGTCTAGAGAACGACAAAGTCGTCTTTTCAGTCCGACGACAAACAAGGAAGCGCCGCTACACCAGTGAGCGTGGGATCGGAGTCGGATAGGATCATTACGGAAAGGCCAAGAGGGGGCACAGGAAATAAGCACACCACAGTCATGCCTAGGGATAGGGAGAATAGCGATACATCGGGCGCCCCCGGCCAATCAAAACGGCCGACTTTGTATCACCGCGACAGCAGCTCTTCTCAGGTCGGCGGCGATCAGACAGGCAATGGCAACACCCACCACCACCGCGCAAAGGGCCCCAAGCACGTAGTTGGCGGTTCTCGGCTGCACGGAAAAGCCCCCTCCTCCAAAGGCCTACACAAACACCATGGCTCGACCTCCACGGTGAAGCTGAATCGTACCAACACCGCCGCGAGCCGACAGGGAGAATCACCTACATCGCCTGAACGGCCGCCTTTCCTTGCGTCGAACCACCGCCGCTCGACGTCCCAGGACCTCGTGACTGTCTCTACCAACCTCAAGAATACTTCTGCGACGGCGCTGAAGCGCAATCGATCCAATGCCGACGTAGCCGGAACTGGAAAAGGCAAAGCAAAGTCTACATCCAATCTGCTCAAGCGGTCCACATCCAACCCCGCCGTCCACAAGCTCAAGGGCGAACGACATAGCAAGGTTCACTTTAACATAGGAGACGACGGTCAGGACGACGACGAGGACGATCAGGACGAGTGGGTGGACGCTAGCACATCAGCCTCCCCTCTCCTGTCGCGGCGCGGGTCGACAATCAACGGTGCCGAGACAGCAAACGAGAATCACCTGCATCCGTTGGCTTCCGCGCTACCGCCCCAGGGGCAGGTTGACAGCCCGCGAGTAACACAGGTTCAATTTCCGTTTCCTTCACACCAGCAGCGTGTTCAGCCCAGTAATAATACTGTTGCTTCCGCCAACAATATCTCCCAGCAGCAACAGCAACCGCAGCAGCAGCAACAACAACAACAACAACAACAACAAATGCCACAGCTCTCGAAACCGCCTACCAACAAGAATAGCAGCAGTCAGACTAGCATCGCGCCGAGCATTGCGCCAAGTATCGCACATAGCACCACTACCAGCCAGTCACATAACCAGCTTCTTACAGAACGCATTCTGAAACGAGTACCATCGATGATTTCGGCGCCCAAGATGTCCACAGAAAGCGTACAGGTCCAGCTAAACGCCTCACGGCCGACGTCTCCGGCTTCTTCGATGCTTTCTTCCCAAATACGTCCAGGAAGTAGCGAAAAGGAGGAGCTACTCACCTCGCGGTTTGTCGGAGGTGATCAGCTTGGATCTACTGGGAATCCCAGCAACCCCGGTGAATCCTTCCTTACCAGCATCCGAACCACGACAGAGAATGGCACCTCACGATCGATGGGAAGTCTCGAGCATGCCGGCCACCAAGGTTCCAAACTCGGGGCGGACTCGGACGACGAAGGTACTGAGATCAGGAGAACCACCAGAAAACGAAACGGCACCCAAACCAGCGTCTCCAGTGGCGTATATGGCGGTCTCAAAGATCTGAACCGAACTCAACAGAAGCTCAATCTTCAGCGAGCCAGCTCAACCCTGGACCAGCCACAGGTTCCACCGCACCACCCAACCCTTGGCCCACTGACTCCCGGCCTCCCGCTCAACGGAAACGGGTACGACAACCGCGACCCGCGCCTCACCAGAATCCTCGAGCGCACCGGCATGGAATACCTTGTCGTCCGCCGCTACCAAAACCCCGTAGCCCGCTCAATAGCACGCATAGCTCAGTGCCAGGCTCTGCAGAACGGGTCTTTGAACATGAACGGTGGCGGCCGCGCTTCCCGACCGGGAACTTCTCACTCCAAGCGCGGCTCCGAACTAAGCGGTGGCCGACCCAATTTCCTCCGCGACGGCAGAGAGCCGCGAGACTCGTTCCTCGCTCAGGCCACTATCAACGCCAACCATCAGCACAGCAACTCCATGTCTGCTATCCCCTCCAAAGCCGTCTCTGCCGCAGCCCGGTTTTCAGGACTTGGTGGGATCGGGACCAGGGCTAATAGTACCAGCTCTAGTCTCGACGGCGATGGAGATGGCGGACAGCCGCATGTGGGCATGTTGAACGGTGCCAATGGTGGTTCCAGTTCACGACTGAGCGGGTCGAGTCTGGTGGATAGAAGCGAACATGCGGAGACGCAGGCGATTCTGAGGGCCTTGTGGGACAAGAGTCTGGATCTGAGCGTTAGCCAGGAATAGGAGACCTGCGGGCTTGGGACTGGAGCTGAGGGGCTTGAAGCTGATATCACGAGGAATGGAGTGACGGTTGATGTTGGTGATGGGGTTGGTGTGACTGGGAAGATTGCGAGGAGTTATGATGGGGCGGATAAAGGTGCAAGCGAGGCTTCGGATGCGAGGACGCTTGTAAGTGAGAGCTGTGCTGCCTGTGGTGAGTTTCAGAATGAGCCGCCGCCAGAGTTGTTAAGGGAAGTGGTGGGGTTGGTCAGTAGTGTCAGTCGAAGTGCGTAGGAGTATTGTTCGACGAGAATCTGGTCGGGTTGAAGACGTCAGTCACGAGCTTTCATTGCTGAGAGAGGGGTTGGTTGCTTTGGAAAGGCGTTAAGGACAACGGGCACGATTATGCGTATACATAACAAAGAAACAGGTACTGGTTCATAGGTCATTGAATGTCGGTATGAGGTCAGGTCGTGTAGACGGATACATACTAGACGAGAATGGTGTGTGAGACGGGAAGGGGGGACACTCGAAGGATGGGTCAGCGTGATGTTTTACATGAGCATAGCATATTTAGGAAGCAACTACTGTATTTGGTCTTTGTCTGGTAACTATTTGAGTGTTTAACTGACTGACTTTCGAAGCCTTTTGCTCAGTGTAATTAGTGTGAATAGTGTGTTCCTTCCGGGTCGCAAGTTGGTGATGGTTCGGATAAGCATTTTCGTCCGTGCGTCATCCAAGGTTCCCGCGCTACATTTAATTGATCACGTATCGCATCGAGCCGTGTGCGCCAACTTGACTTCTCTTCCCAATTCCCATCCTTTTGCGCCCGACAATACAAACTTTTGCAATTTCAGTCAAACTACGACAGACCGCCACTCCAACCTCTTTCCAGCCCAGCGAAGTTCTCGGTAACCATTAGCGCCACCCGATTTCGTCACTCAACACCAAATACTTGGAAACAGTTCAAGATGGCAGCGCAACTCGAAGCGGAGCGCAAGGAGTACGAGACCCAAGTACGTTTTACCCATCCCCTTTTCCCGAAAGCGTCGTCATACTAATAGAAGCCCCCATTCTCCAGCTCGAACTCGTCGATACCTCGCTCCAGGATGATCCTCAAAACGAAGAACTTCTCGCCCTCCGGACCGAACTCGTCAACTGCATCCAACTCCTCGACGACTCCCTCGCCGAACTTAAAAGTGCTTCTGCCGCCGTCCCCGCTCAGAATCAAGAACCGCTCGCCATCGGCATTCCCTCCTCCTCATCATCACGAAAACCCTCCGGCCAAGGTGCCGCCGCGCCAGCACCAGCAGCAGAAGAACCACCAAAATGGTCGCGCGAGAACCACCCCGCCTTCAAGAAGCCGTCCGCCGCCGCCGCCACCACCACTCCGCAACCAGAGAAGGAAGAGGCGCCAGCACAAGTAAACTACCAAGTCAACGACACCGTCATGGCCCGCTGGCTGTCGGGCGACAAGGGCTTCTACCCCGCCAAGATCGTTTCCGTTACCGGTTCTTCGACCGCACCCATCTACACTGTCAAGTTCAAGAGCTACGACACCGTCGAGACGTTGAGAGCAAAGGACATTAAGCCCATGGCGTCTTCCACCACTCCTACCCCCGGCGCTGCTGCTGCCGCCTCTTCCTCATCGACTGGCGCAAGCGCAAGCGCAGGCTTCAAACGCAAAGCCGCAGATCCCGACACTTATCCCATCCCATCCTCCATCCCGGCCTCCTCTGCCGCAGGCGCAGCGGCCATGGTCAGGAACTCGGACGGCATCACCCTCTCCGCTGGACCTGAACTATACCCTGGTGCGTTGGCGGCGGCGGCAGCAGCGGCGGCGGAAGAAGCAGGAGGAAAGGGGAAGGGGGACTCCAAGTTTGATAAGGATGGGAAACCCAAGTTCAAGAAGATCAAGGCTAATAAGGAGCTGGAGAAGGGCAAGAACAAGTGGCAGGAGTTTACGGCCAAGGGCAAGTTTGGAAAGGGCGCGACGAAGAAGGAGAGTATGTTTAGGACGCCCGAGGGGGTGCATGGGAGGGGTGAGTTTCTTTCTTTTTTTTTTTTTTTTTTCCCCCTTTCGTCTGTCCTCCTCGCTGTCGTAATGAACAGGATATTCTTGCTGACATGAAAATGATTATAACAAAAACAGTTGGGTTCACCGGTTCAGGCCAGGCCATGCGCAAGGACCCTACGCGGTCTCGCCACATCTACCAGCCCAACGAAGATCTGGATTGATTTTGAGTCTGGCTAACTTGTGTTTTTTCTTGTGTGTTTTCTCTCTCGTCTTTTGTTCGGGGAGATGAATTCCGTTAGTCATCGAACAATCCTCTCTCTGTCTATCCATCCCGCTGTACGACCCGGACCGCTGTTATCTATCTCTAAACCACTTTCCTATCACGACTCGCGCATCTACGGACACGCAACAAGACCCTGATAATTCGGCCACGGGTCCGGCATCCATTCGAAGGGTCCGCAAGGTTCCAGCTCTCAAAAAGACCGCTCCATTCGACCACATCCATCAGCAACGTCATCATCATCAAACAACATGGACTCAGGCGTCACGGTTTTCAGACACGCTTGAATTTGGTTTCTTTCTTTTTCTTTTCTTTTTCTCCTTTACCTCCCACCCTCAAAACTCGAGTCAACTCTTAGAGACTGGGGCTAACGTGGATAATTTCATACATAAAAGGGAGAAAAAGAAAGAAAGAAAAAAAATTGGCATCTAGTTCGCTTGTTGTTTCCAAACGAAGCAAGGAGCATCAGGCAAGACGCAGAGCAATCAAATCAGTTTAGAGAAAAAGGAATCAAAAGGCTGTACGTGCAGTCATACATAGTATACGTAGTAGACCACACTATCATCAAAAATCGAAGCATGAATGAGAATGAGAGACAATCAATCTTTGCCTAACGACCACTTCCACATTCTCTGTCTGTCTTCCGCTTTATGAAACATGATGTTGTTTGAACAATACGACGCGATGAGTTTCATTGCTTTGGCGTTGTCTGTTTTTCGCTGCTAATAACCGCTTGATATCCTCGCAAGAATGTGGAAATAACAAATATATATATATATACATAAAAATAAAAGTAAAACACGTTATGGGAACCATTGTAGAGGTCTTGCAAGATCCGAGTGCTCTAATGAAAGTAGACATAAGACCTCATGTCGTTATAATGCCCAAACAGGTTTGCGACAAAGGGCCTTCACAAGTGACTTGAAGACAGCTCGACGTGTCCTAACGAGCTAAGGGGGAAGATGAGTGGGACCGACAAATGGACACCCAAGCAAGAATAATCCAGCGAGGGAGTCTGAGGAAGAAAAAAAAGCCACATATGATGTCGTGACCCCGGGGGGGGGGGGGGGGGGGGGGGAGTATGGTGTGCCGTCGTGGTATTTGTCCCGTTCCACACGTCGTCCTGTCCAGAAAGCCCAGATTGAAAGCTTCTCCATCTCGTTGTTGGCTGGAGTCATGATGCCGATGAGTGATAGCTGGGTGTTTGTTTCCGAATCTTGCTTGGATTGTTGGCATTGATGCTTGCTTGCTTGCTCAGAGGAATACTGACTGGGCACCACGTCGAACGGATAAGCTGTTCAAATTATGGGGTGTATGTCGATGTGGCGTGGTGTGCTCAGGGAGGCAATGATGGGAAACATAACTAGTGGCGAGGTTTGGTTTTCGTTTCTCAAGACTCAAAGTAGCAGGGTCTGGTATGAAGGAAGATGGCCACCTCAACGATAACGGGGACGAGATAGTAAATGGAAGTCGGGAGAAAGGCTCCAAGCAAGCAAGCGGGAAAGTCCACCGATGGATGACCAAGATGAGAAGAATGCCGATCAGATACAGTTTCGTGGAGAAACAAATGAATGGATATCGACCTTGACCGTCGTGTTTGGCCTGCGTTCTGCTTTTTGTCTGTGTGGATGGTGTTCGTAGCTAAGTCCATGAGACTGAAGGATAGACGAGTGTCTCCAGTGTTGTGTGCTGCTGTTGGTGGCCGTTCCAAAGAATGCTGGAAGGTAAAGAAAAAAATGAGTGTCCGAAGTTGTCATACTGTTGGTGATATTTCCAAAGAATGTGCGGTGGGATTGATGAATGATGATAAAAGTTCATGTCGGTAGACTGGAACAAGACGTCGTAATTTTGTTTTCCACGTCCTTTTATGTTGAACATAATCCCCCCCCTCTACCTCGAGCCTGTCCATATGATATTCCTTCTCAGACTCATTCTCCTCTTTCCCCGACTCCTCATAAAGCCAGAAGGAACTGAGCCAAAAATAAAAGAGCCATATGTCAACCATCCATGGCCCTAGCAGCCCCCCCCCCCCCCCCCCCCCCCCCCCAGTTGTTACTGTGATTTTGCGCCTGTCACGCGATGTCAGACTCGCACCTGCCTGCGCAGTTCTCTCTCCGCAGCAGCGGTAACAGCAAAGACCAGAGGATTCAAAGAAGGAGGAGCGTCGTGAGAAACCGAGGCGATTTCCGCTCAAGACTGGTGAGTGATTATTACCGATACCCCCCAAAACTAGTCCTGAAGGTCGGGAGGCTCCTTCTTGCTCTCGCGCGACACTCGTTGCTGCAGTGATGACGACGGCGGGTGGATGATGATCTGTGGCGGAAGAAGTGAGTGGGAGGAGATAGCCAGTGTTGCTGCAACGTTCAAGTCTTTCAGAGCTATCGGTGGTATACATCATGATACTGAGCTCATAGGGACCGGCTAGGTTCTATTGCCGTACTATCCATGCTCGGACACCATACCCGAACTCGCCCATGACAAAACCGATGAGACCTTTCGTGGCTTAGCGGGCGAGTAAGTCGATTACTTGAAAAAAACCGTTGCAAAGGACTGTGATAGAGATCAAGAGAAATCGCAAATACATCGAGTACGCTCTCTATGGGATATTTCTATCCGGATGTTGCCTGAAAATCAGGTTCAAAGGTGTGAAAAGGACGCTTAGTTGAATGCGTAGTAAGATTATATCTCAGGTGTCATGTCCAAAGGGTCTCAAACTATTTTGTCTAGAACGAGCCGAGCTTTCTGACGTGGTGATTACTGGTTTGGCTTTTGGCCCCAATGATGATGAAGAGGTTGTCAAAGTTTTTCTTCTTTTTTTTTTATAGCCCATACTGGTGACCTCATATACGGTGATGATGGGGGTTATATCGGCTTTCCCGAGTGTGGTATCAAGTGTACTCAGGTGCCGGTGAGCGTCCTGGTCTTGACGCTTCGTAGTGTGTGATGAAGTGCAAAATGCCCGGCAGTGCCTCTCCTTGCTACGATTACCCATTTTATGCCGCGTGTGCTCTTTGTGGAATGACGATACGAAGCGTATATAAAGAGCAGGAGCGATAGAGGCTCTTCAAATGAAAGAGTCCAAGAGTCATGACGTGGGTCAGTCTTCTCCTGGCTCAGGAAGATCGACTCTTGAAGCCCCTTGGAATTCTCGGTGATATGTGGTACTTACTGTAGTCTTAGTATGTTACTATGTCTGAGTACTATCCACAAAGTGTTACTCAGAATCGAAGCTGCACTTGTTAGAGCGAGGAGTGGACGCCGAAAGTGTGGTGATGCCTGTGTCGGTGACGATAGTAACGATTTGTTGGTCGAAAACGGTCGAAGCTTGTGTAGTGGCCTTGTGGGAGTTTGCATCGTGACCACACTTTCATCGAGTCAACTTATCGGCCTCCTCGTATACCCGCCTCTTTCACAACCTTGGGATATCTCATCTTGCTTTTCGTGCCTAGGTCGAGATGCATTCACCACGTGCAGGATCCAGTTTCGGATAGATACCCTACCCCTTGACCAAACAAGGCAAGCAGGTAAAGCACGTAAAGCAGGTAAGCTAAAACCTAAACTTTGGAAAAGAAAAGCAGGGTAGGCACATACAGCCAAGCGCAACGATACCTACCGCAAAGACTCGGGGCATAGTTTTTCAACTTCCAGGGAAATCAGGCATAATCAGACATACATATGCCCGATTATGTGGATTTTATGCCTTCAGAAAAGAGTGGGGGAGACGTGTTACTATCCCAAAGCACTGTAAATCAGATTCCTCTAGAGCTCTGCCTTTTCCCACCTATTTTTTTAAGGGAGTTGGAGGGTGGGGATATTCAGAATTACCATCGTGCATAGAAATCTTGGTGGGCATAAATATTGCAGTGTGCTTGCAGACCCTGCTTGATTTCCCTGGAAGTTGAAAAGCTATGCCCCGAATCTTTGCGGTAGGTAGGTATCGTTGCGCTTGGCTGTATGTGCCTACCTAATGTGGTCATCGAGAAGACAAGAAGAGAAACTTTCAATCAAAAACAAAAGTTCCGGGGAAAGTATGCTCAGTGCCTCAAGAAAGAAAGTCGCCGAAATCAGTGACATCATGCCCCAGCCAAAGTGGCTTGTATGTACGTCTACCTCCATGATCAAAATAATGACCCAAAGTGGGGATAGGAAGCTGGGGCGTTACAGTAAACACAAGTGTCTAGACTCTGGTTGCTCGCAAGAGTAAGAATCACGAGAGGCAATGAGCGCGCGTAGATGGGATAGTTGATGTGACATGGAAATTCCGTTCGAAACGGAATGGCGAGAGAAGTATTAGAGATTGAGAGGGAATTCGACTTGAGAAACGAAAGCTCGAACTCAACACCTGACAGGATTGTATGTAGTATGTAGGTTGCTAGCAAGAAACAGGTACGACACTCTGCTTCTTCTTCTTCTTCTTGTTTCCCCATCAGGGTACCAAAAATCACCAACTCACTACCAGCCCCAAACATATCAAGGAACATAATCGCTTCCAATCAATTCATATTTACTCTAGCAATAACCGCCCTATCTACCGCTGGGGAATATCCATACTCATCTCCGCATGCTTCATGCTTCTTTTACCTATGCTACCACGCCCCGATTGTATCGTGACCTTGCTGCAACCCAATCCTGTGATCAGGGGAGGACAAACCTCTTATGACCCGCTTTATATTTCTCCTTAACTCTCCCAGCTTTCCTTGCGTTTTTCCAGCCCTTCTAAGGCGCTAAAGCAGGAGTAGAGCCCTGATCATCTTGCTTCTCCTGTTTCCCCTCCTCACCACCACCACCACCACCACCACCACCACCGACAGCGCAAGAACCTTCTTCCTCCTCTTGCTTCCGCTGTTTCTCAGCAGCCAGAGTTGAAGAAGAACCTGTTACGACAGAAGGAGCAGCAGCAGCTTCCTCGATAGCGGGAGGCGAATCTTCATCCTTTTGCTTCTCTTCTTTTTCCTCGCCACCAATAGCAGCAGCAGCAGCAGCAAGGGGGGAGGAGGAACTGACAGCAGGAGAAGACACTTCCTTGACAACAGGAGAAGACACTTCTTTGATAGTAGAAGAATCATCCTCCTCGACGGCTGGAGGAGAAACGTACTGGACAACAGGAGAGCCTTCGTCGCGACGAGAGCCTTCGAAAAGATCTTGCTCGAAATCAGGAGCATAAGGTTCAGGCGCAAAAAGCTCCTGCTGCTGCCTCCGCATTTCATCATCGTCAGATTCCTCGCTGACGAAAGGGGGAGGAGGAGACAGATGATCAGCAGGAAAATAACTATAACCACTGCCAACAGCAGCACGAGAAGTGTGGGCTTCCTCCTCTAGCTTCTGCCCCTTCTTTTGCTCCTCAAGTTCCTCACCAACAGGTTCCTCGCCAACAGCAGGAGAAGAACCATTCTACTCTTGCTTCCCCTGTTCCCCACCAGCACCACCATTACCACCAACATCATTACTAGCCGCCGCCGCAGCAGCAGCAGCAGCAGCCGCTGCCTCCCGCTCCGCAAGTAGCACCTGCGGCCTATACGGTATAAATCCCCTCGTCTCAGGCGGTCCAGGCGGGAATTTAGCAGGAATAAACGCCGATCCCCCAATCATACTCGTAGGCGCCATATCATTCGGTCCACCCCAATACGCGCCATCCGTACCATAACCACCGTATCCACCACCCATTGTTCCTGCTGCTGTTGTGATTCCCGTGCCAACAGCACCAGCACCAAAATTATCAAGGCTAGTAGCCGGGCTTGGCTTGACAACACCAGCAACGGTAAACGGTCCTCCGAGACCGATGGGCTTCCTGACGGGGGTGGACGGCATACTACTGCTCGCGCTCGCGCTTCCCATGCCGCCGGTGGCGGAGAGGGCGCCACCGCCGGTTGTTGTTGTTGATGAATTGGAGATTTCAAAGCTTCCCTCGGTCGTCCCGGGTGCAGGCACGGGAGGAGTGCCGACGCGGTGTACGGCTCCGAAACCAGCGTCCTTTGCTGCACCGGTGGAGATACGTGGCGGCTTGAAGTTGAGTGTTTTGCCCTTTTTGTAAAGCGCTTCCAAGACATCGTGGAAGCTCCCGTCGGCCATGAACTCTTCGTACTTTCTGTACAACTTCAGCGCCGTCTGGGCGTCTTCGATAGAGTCGTGGGTGTTCTGCTGGATGTCTTCCTTGAGCAAATACCAAGCCAAGAAAGCAAGCGAAATCTTGCGCTGAGAAGGCGGCTTCATGAAGATGATAGACGTATCGATAACCTGATTTCTAGGCACTTGGATATTGATGACGCGAAAATCTTGGCTGAGGCCGTGACCGAGGAACTTGCAACCCAGGTTAACGAGGACCCAGAGTTTTTTGTAGGCAGTTTTGGGCGAGACGAGGTTGCGCTGGGAGTTGATGGGATCCAAATCGGTGGGTGTAATACCGGACCACTCGGTGAGATAGTCAACAATGGTTTCCTTGATGTGGATGTAATCATCGATGAAGGCAACGCCTTCTCTGGAGCCTTGGCCGCGGACAACCGAGGCACGCGCGATAGCGTGCGAGATGGGTCGAATGGTTTTGGATTTCCCGTCTTCGTCGATATGGATCTCTCTCTCCTTAAGTCGAATAAATTCCGTATCAATTGCGATGACAGTTTCGGGACCGGGAATTTCTGTCTCTCGGTCGAGTAGTTCGTATGTCTTGAGGGCATGTGGGTTGTTATCCCTGAAGAGGACGGAGGTGTCCAGACGTGTCTTCCAGTCCATGTTGAAGCGATGGTTGGCCGCCTTGACCTGGAACATGACGACAACCGGCATCTTCCAAGCAGCGTTGAAGGTAAGTGCCTCAACCTTGGAAATGCCCCGTACCGAGAAGTCGTTGAACAAATGCCAGCGATCCTGGTCTTTGCTCTCTGGCTCCGCGCGCCCAACTATACATGATATCAGCATCCACCTTCACCTCATCCAAATAATAAATATACGTACCATTAACAGTAGCCACCAAATGACTCTTCTGTGGTGACTTGGTCTCAACGTTAACCACCGTACCCACCAACGAGTATACTGTGATATTATGTATCCCCCTGTTGAGATGCAACTTGAGGTCATCCCCTTCATAGCAGTAAACATGGCCTTGGTCAACTATGATACCAATCTCCTCCGGCAGCCATCCAGGGGTAGACCACAACTTGCGGTGCTCGGCAGTGGTGATCTCTGTGCAGAGCGCCAAAACAGCCGGGATGTTGAAGATGATCTTGCGCTGGTCAAGGTTTTGGTAGCGCTGACATTTGGTACAATAACCCTTGTTCACAGCCTCGTTCTCGAGTCCAGCCTTGAGCACTTGCGAGAAAGTGATGCGTTGTGCCTTCATTCCGCGAATGTTTGGTTTCGCTGCTGGGTAGCAGAGCTTGTTGACGAATGTCGTTGCTGTCCTTGGGCTGACATGTTGACAGTGCATACACTTGATCTGATACCTCGCGTCGGTCTCTAGAAGTCTCTTGACTAAATCAAGAGAATTCGGAGGCTGGTTCAGCTTGAACAGAGTCCTTTCGAGTTCGGTAGAAATCGGAGGAGTGCCCTTGTAGTCCTGGCTGATCTTGTCGAAAAGGAACATGGTGAGGTTCTTGACCAGAGTGCTTGGGTTCTTGTCTTTGGCGATATCCTCGAGGACACCACTAACGGAAGCTGCTGATAGGTTAGCTGCGCACTGTATATACCCCATTATACCCAACAATCAATCACTCACCGTTACTAGTATGATTAAGAGCCCTGAGCATGTTAGTAGCATGGCAAGAAGGCCCTTCACCTTTCTGCAGCATGTCAAAAACATAACCCAGCTCGCACAGCAGACACGGATCAGCTAGACAGGCCGTAGCAGCGTGCTGAAGGGCCATGTTTCGCAACAGGGGGGTGTAGTGCATGACCTGCAGTAGGGAATTGGCATAGGAGTTTGTTATGTTATTCTCCAAGCCAGGGTATGGGGTGTTGTTGAAGAAACTAATGACCATGTCAGTACGCTACCCCCGAACAAGGAATCAAAAATCCTATCTGCACTTACCCAAAGTCAAAGTCATCCACACCGAACTTGCTATACTTAATCTCACATATCCTGTATTCAGGCGGCGCCTCCGGCCTCAGACTCCAATGATCGTTGTTCGGAGGCATCATCGCCGATTCGGTAGTAGCAAGAGCGTTGTCTTCTGAACCCGTCTGTGACTCGCGCGCCTTTTCACTCAAGAACTTGGGTGCTCGTATTGTGTTGGAAGTCTTCATAGTCGACCGGGTATCTATGTACTGGTTTCTCTGCAAGCCCGTCTTGTTGGGACCAATGTATCCCCAGTCGGTCTTGGTAAGAGTGCTCAAGATGTTCGGATCGATCTGCTGCGGAGGAGCGCCCACGTCGGAGATGATATCCGGCGGCAAGGCTGAGAACAGCTGTTCTCGGTAATAAGGCAAGCCGATGCGGCTCAGGGGTAGTTCCTCCAACATGTCTGGATCTGGCGGCAACAACGACGGCTGGGGAGGGTCCGGCAACCTGGGCGGGATTCCTATCTCGGTAAACTGGATCTTGTTGGGCGACCCCCAGATGTAGGTGTTGTGCTTGTTATCCGCAAGTGCTTTTCCTTCTCCGGTTCTCGACACGTCGAAATGCAGCACCACGCCCTGAGGCTGCGTGTAGCAGACCTGGCTGTTGCTTGGATTCAACAGATCCGTCACGTGGATTTGGCCCGCCTGGTTGACGACAATGGCCGTTGTCAACATCCTCGGGTGCATCCTCACGTGAGCGGCCAGCGGCGCAAAGGGAACTGGGTTCATAGCACTCATGTTCTTCAGGTCAAACACCTTGACGTAAGGGTCGAGTATGGCCGGGGTGTTGTGTGTCTGCCTGTGTGAGCCACCGCATGTGACAATAAAGTCGTTGGACGTGTCCAGATCGTTGATGAAAGCCCCGTGGGCCTGCCATTGTTTCTTGATAGTAAAAGTAATGGGGTCCAATATGTTGACGGTGCCCTTGTTTGTTGCCGCGCAGATGTACCGGCTCATCTTGAGGAAGGAGTACTGATCTTGTGTTGGGAGCTCCTTGACGACCTCGCCCTTGTTGACGTCAATGACCAACATCTTGTTCTGCCAGCCGGCCACGAGGATCTCGGAGGTCCCCTTGCTAGTGAAGGACATGGCACGCAGATCCTGCATGGACTCATGGCGGATACTCCAGATGGGCACGCCACTACGTGCTGCCATGTAGACGCTCCGGCTTCCGAGGAAGATGACGCCCTTGTCGACGAAGAGGAATTGGCGGAGGGGACCGTCGGTTTCGGGGTGTATTCGGAAGGCAGTGAATCGCTTGAGCTCGCGGCCGATGAAGGAGCCGGCAAAGCCCTTTTGGGTGCCGATCCATAGCAGCTCATCTTGGTTATCAAAGGCTATTGTCGACGCGGGTCCGGCATGGTAGTCTGGATGGATTGGCGACGGGTAGGCAACACAGCCCAGCTGAGAGACAAGAGCATGGTTAGTTAGCCAGAGAGGCTTTGTCGAGGACCTTGAGGGAGGGAAGGGTGGAAGCTACTTGCCTGGGTCCAATCCCGAGAATCCATGACCGTCTAGTATGTCATCTTTGGTGGAGAGGAATACTGCTTGGAAGCAAATACCGTTCCCACAGTTTAAGAACTGCAGACTGGGTTGGAGATATTGTAGAAGATAGACTAGAGTTGGTGAATGGGAGAAGAGCGAAGCCAATGCTTTGTCCGACTCCAAGATCCCCGCCAAAGATGTACGTACCTCTCTGCCTAGGTCTATGTACCAGGAACCGTCCGGGTCTGGGCCGCAGGGCAGCTTCGAGGGGGCCCCGCTACCCAGCAACACTGCCATCCCTTGCATTTCCACACATAACCCTGACCCTGAACTGCTACGGCACCCTCCACAAAAGCTGCTAACAATTTACCCCAAAACCTCCAAACAAAACTTGGGCAGGTGGGAAACTCACGACGCCAAACATTTGTCTCACGACATAATCAAGACATTGAACAGTATATATCATTTTCGATAACAAAGGGATGGTAATGTAACAAGTTGTCTAGCAAGCAAGACTAACAGAAAAGGTATACTACACCAGACAACCAAAACGAAAATGCCATCCTATAACGTAGACTAGTCAGGAAGACGGCATGAACCAGTAAACCGAGATAATTCCAAGCAGCAGTGTCAATTTCTCCAAAACGCCCCAACTGTTATTCTATGCAATTCCGCACTGGCATCATCACCATCTCATAATCACTATCTCATCCGTCACCACCAACCTACTTGGTCAACCAGCCCAAGTAATCAGCAACAAGCAGCGTCACCATGCTACAAAATCATCGTCAGCTCAAATCCATTCATCAAGTCACACATCACCAAAAGACTCGGGGACAGGAATCACTCACGCATGCGGCGCAATGCGCACATAATACGTTCCAAAACCCCGATAAAACCTAAACACGCCTTCCTGCTTCGCCACTTTAGCAAAGCAATCCACCATACCATTATATGGTAACTTTCCATCCGGGCCCCTCGTCTGCTTCTGCAGTCTCGTCTTGACAAAGTCAAACGGCAAGCTAAAGAACGAGGCAAAGAAGCCGGCAATAGCACTGGCACTGAGTGTCTGCACCTTGCTCGACCACTGCGTCCTGGCCTTCAGCTGCGCTTTCGCCTCCGAGAAGAAGGCCAGCTGACCAAAGTTGAGCGCCATGGCGCGCACCACCGTGGGGGCGGCACCGGCCCAGAGCGCCGCGACGCCCTCGTTTCGCGCAATGCCGCCGAGGGCGTCAATGACCGACTTGTAGTTCTTGCGCTCCGCCACGGGCTTGAGGCCGTCGCTTTGCATGCGGATGAGGGCGAGATCGGCCGGGTTGCCGATCATGGCGGCGAGACCACCGGCCGCGAGACCGGCCGAGGCCCGCTCCTTGAAGCCTACCGACTGGCCCTTCTCCTTGGCCCGCGCCGAGAGCCGGCTCATGAAGGTGTCGAAGCAGCCGATGCGGGCCGTCGTGTACACGGCTTGTCGGAGGAGACCGGCCGAGAGGCCAGTGTAAAGGTCCATGGCCTTGCCACTGGCGATAATATCGCGCGTGACGCCGAGGGGGGTCGGCTTGGGACCGCCGGCCTTGCCCTCGCCGGCCAGCTGGATACGCACCTTGATCATGTCGATGGGCTGGATGACTGTTGTGGCCACCATGCCGCTGAGACCACCATTGATGAAGGGGAGCGCTGCCCGGACGGCCGGAGTGTGGAGAAAGTCGGTGGCGGCAGTGACCGTCTCGGCCGTGGCGTTCTTAGCGGTGTCAACGACATCTGATGTGGCGGCCTGGGCCGATTGCTTGACAGTGGACATGGTTCTTGGAATTTGAGGCGTATGGATGAACTTGTTGACAAGATTATAGACCGACTGAAGAACAGTGGGAAGACACCGACAAGATACACGTGTGTATGTGTTGTCCGGGGTCTCTCTTATACGTTTGTTGATGAGCCAGCAAGTCCTAGCGGGTACTGCAGGCTTAAAGCCATGTTAGCCCCAAGTCATCTCTTTTTATATGGAGTCTCTTCTGCAGAAATATCTCGATCTGGCAACTTGGATGATTGCTCCAGCAACGACATCAAGATCCCATCGGACTTGAACCGAACCAACGCAAAGGGAAAGAAAAAGAAACGGGATAAGCAGAGTAAGCCGTCATCTATGCCGTCAGCCTCTGCCCTGTCTGGGTTCCTCCAGGGAGGGCTCTAGTGGTGGCGGCCATCCTAGACGGCCGTGACAGAAGAGAAATCATACGGGATACCCGATCGGGAAAAGGAGGAGCTTTTCGAGACCTGTTGGGAAAACCCAACCCAAGCCAGCCTCTGATATGATATCCCGCGTGGAGGTGGCACGGTGGTCATCGGGAAAGGTAGGGACTCGTTTCTTCTTTTGCATGCAGTACGAACGGTTTGGTGAGGTGGGGCCGGTCTGGTCAAGGAACACTTCCTCCATTCCACCATTCCACTTTGCGGCTGCGGCAAGGCTCGGGCTCAAGCGGGGAACGGGGAAGCCCGGGCCGGGGCAGCTGAAATGGGGGACTCCAGTCTGGGGATGTCATTGAGAGACGGCAAAAGCTGGGTGAGGCGGGTTTGCTATGAAAGCTTCTCCCAGAAACCAAACAAAACAGAAAAAAAAATCACCAGATAATCACAGGGATGCTCAAAGACGGATTATTATGGTTACTCAACCATGATCCATGGTCATCGCCAGGTTACAATTCTTGGTGGTCATGTGAAATGATGAGACGGCATCACACGCAATGGACTCGAACTTACTGCGGAATGGCAAGGCGGTCTCTTTTCGCAACTGTAGGGACACTCCCGGTAGCTTTCGTCTTGTGCGAATCGAAGCCGGCAACAAAATTTGGGACGAAAGAGGCAAAGCTTCGGATATCCTCGATGAAGGGCAATCAATGTCCCGTTTAGCTGAAGTTCGAGGTTTTTGTTGTTGCACTTCGAATCCGTATATTCCAGTGTCGTGCTGCAAGCTTATGAAGCCCTCGCGGTTGGATGTGTTTGCTGCCGAAATGTCAGAGCGGGGTCGCGTGCTCTGCTTTGCACGGTCAGTTTTAAGGACTGTGACCGACGGTCGAGTAGAAGCGGCGAATAGTCCTCCTAGGCAGCAATCCAAATACGACCGCAATGGGACTTGGTCGTCTGAGTGATTCCTTGAAGAAAAGCAACTGAATATTGTTTCAAGATGGATGGAATGGTTGCTGTTGAGTTTGGTGGTTTCTTTGTCGTCACTTGATGTCTGGTTTCGTCCTTCCTGTGTTGACTTGGCGTCCAAGTCGGAAACAAGAGATGCTTCTGATGAGAGAACAGCAAACAAAGGAAGGAAGAAGGGGAAGTTCCTGGGTCACGGCAAGTTGATATCGATGGCTCGGATTACAGATGCATCATCTGATGGGGAGAAGGGAATCGGCCATTTATTTATACAATAAGGTCAAGTCCGACTTGGCTTCATCCGGGTCGGTTGCTCCCATCGATACACCACAGTCGCGGCGGCTTATAAGTGGAGGAGGACCAATGGCTGGGCTGGACGGGGGAAAGGGAGGGGCAGAGGAAGTCTTGGAAGAGTGTGACCCCGGATCTTCAAGGGAGGAACTGAGGCACAACCGGGCTGGATGCTGGATGGAAGGAATGATTTGAAGAGCGAATGATGTAGGTTTCGGTTTTATTACCGACACGATCATGCACAACAGGAACCTGTCGGAACAGCAAACCAAGACGGGGTCGCAGCAACGACACCATTGCTTGTTCATGATACCTACCACAACGTTCCGACTGACAGTAGGCTGTTTGAGGTTGAAGCAACACGATTCAACTGAAATCCAGCCATGATACTTACAATGTCAAGTTGAAAGGCCATTAGCCATCAAGGTGCTATCTTCACAACCGCAGTTGCCCTCTCCCATTCCGCGCATGTTGACAATTATGGCTATCACATGTTCTCAGTAAGCCAGTACCAGTGCTAGGTCCTTTTATCCACATCAAACATTAACAACAGATACCCGTCTTCCATTTCAGCTGGCGACCAAAAGAAAGCAATATTGACATCAACATGTGCACTTGCTGATTGCACCTCTTGTCACTTCAAAGTCATAGCCTGATGCTGTACCTGTTATCCCCGGGCCGCCCAACTTTAGCACAAGGCACATCATTGGAGCCCACCTCAATCAATGCGGGGGAGATCGGAACCTGGGGGAGGGACCTCACGGACAGATGGAGAAACGTCAATCAGGAGAGAAAGGGGACATGATCGTCCACGCGGCTCTCGATAGGTGCGCCTCTATCTTTCCAACCGACCCGACCTTGATGTTGTCTCGGTTCGATAAGTGGACGGGAACGTCACCGGACTGGATGCTTGATGGCGGATTCGCGGGACCTCTGCTGTACAAGGAACTGAGTGAACCCTTGAACACTCAGCCCAGCCCAGCCCAGTCCAGCCTTTGATCCCCTGGATGGAAGCCCCACCCTTCCCCGTGTTAGTAGCAACACTCCCTCCACTGGAAACCTAACCCAAGAGAGAAACAGGGCATGCGCATCTCCCTTTCCATCTTGACGACCGCTTCACTTAACAATTTGTTACGACCTCCATCAACACCAAGGCTGGTACCTAGGTATCCATCCCCTCCTGCCCCCGGTTCACTGATCAATCGCGTGGAGATGACGTCAATGTCAATGCTGCCCGTCGGTGGCCCGCTACGTATGGAATGGAAGCGCCTGAATGGCACTTTTAGCGCCCCAGGCCCACACACGGGCAGTCTGACAGCGCAGCCGTTCGTAGCGTTGCGCTTGGTGGGTGTTAACGGGCAGGACCCATACATAGGTACCTAGCTCATAGCAACCCACGGCAACGGAGCAACCCGAACCTGGACCTAGGTAACTCTCAGCATCCGACCGACCAACAACCTGCCCGACTCTCCGCGTGATGGAATTGGCCATGTATGGTATTGTCCTTCTCACAACCCGTCATCAACTACTACTCACGTAGTGGACCATCCCCCGGGTCCAGAAACCCTCCCCCGAATCACCGCCAAGCACATCGTTCGAGACCCGGGTCACCGGTGGAACGATATCGGCTAATTCTGGGGATGGCCAGGGCCGGGGACGGGGAAAGCAAGGCCGACGTTGCCGGAGCTGGATCCGCTTTTCACCACTTCGTGAGACGACATGGAAGATGAAAGTCGACGGCATCGATACGCGTGTGGGATTGGATTCATCATGTGTTTATGGAGAGAGTCAAGAACCTATCGATACCTGAGTAGTATCTTTAACTTTCAGCATGTGTAAGTAGCTACCCAACAAATGAGTTTTGGCAAGGAAGATCTCGTTTCTGTCAGTGAGTACTAAACAAAACAAATCATTGACTATCTACACGTGGTTACGGTTATATCACAGATTGCCTCTACCAAACGGTGAGCACGTCGAGTGATGGGCGAGAAACAATGCTATCTAATCATCAATCCAGATAGCAACTAAAGAAGAAAAAGAGACAGAAAAAAAAACATGTCCTCCTCTGACGAAAAGACCCCAGTTTTAGTAACCAGAGATTCCTGGACATGGTGTTCTAAAAGCGTTCTTGGTGATATCAAGACTCGGGGCAGCCTAGGGACATGCCTCTTGTCTCATGGTTTTATATAGTACAGTCGAAGAAATCAGACTAGGAACGAGACATGATAGTCTCTCTGTCCTGCTAAGGATTGTTGACAGTTATCAATGTCAAATTCATTCATTTCAACAGTCAAATAATCCGGCATTCAACCATAAGCCTACGAAGAGTTAACAGGCTCTCATTCTCTAAACCCCCTTCATACCTCCGATTTTCCCTCACCTGTCCATATCTAATATCTCCTTCCCCAACAACACTCCACATCCTCGTACCCAGCACGATTATATCTTCTACTACTTAATACCCAGTACTAGGAAACGTAGTCAACCGTCCACCATCGACGACAATCACGTTTCCATTCAGGTACGCTCCGGCCCGCGAAGCCAGATAAAGGATTTGCCCAGCCATGTCAAACTCATCGCCCATGCGGCCGAGAGGGACCGTCTTCTTGTCGAGAGGGATGACGCCTCCGCCGGTCATGGAGCCGCCAGCGGCTTGGACGATGGGAGCGGCCATTTCGGAGGGGAAGACTTTGGACAAAGTTAGTTACCATGAAAAGATCGAAAAGGGGATAAGGGGGGTGGTGATAACTTACGGCCGGGGCAAATTACGTTGCAGCTGCGAGGAAGAGCAGGTTAGCAAGTATTCTTTGAAAAGCGGTAGAACCCCCATTGTGAGAGGGGATCCACGATAAGACAACAAACCAAGAAGCCTCCAGGAGTCGGGCTTAAAGGGACACTCGTCCCGAACCACATCCCTAGCTTTTCTCATTTGAAAGCCGCCAGTCTGTCCAACTTCTTTCACCTCTCTCTCTCTTCACCTTCATGACAATCCCCCTACTCCTTCATCAACCAAAACAGAAAGAAAGAAAAAAGAAAAAGAACTAAAACTCACCGAATCCCCCACCTAGGCAACAACACAGCCAACTGCTTCCCCACATGCGTCGCCGCAGCCTTACTCACTCCATAAGCCCACCCGCCCGGAGCCGCCTTATTGAGTGCCGCAATCGAACTCGTCACCACAATCTGACTAGCACTCTCCTTCCACACCATCTGTCCCTGTCCCTGTCCCTCCTGCTGCTGCTGCTGCGCCGCCAACGTATTCCCCTTCTCCAAAAGTTCCAAACACGCCATACTCGTATACCACACGCTGCCCACATTCACTCTAAACGTCTGCTCCCACTCCTTGTCAAAGTCCACCGCCAGAGCTTGTTTGCGAAACTCGGATAGACTCTTCGGTTGGCCAGTCTCTTTGTCAACGACAGAAACCTGCGGCCCGCCGACGCCGGCGTTGCAGACGAGCAGGTTTAGATAGCCGGTGTACGGGTCGGAACTGATGGAAGAGACAAGAGAGGAGAGGGAAGAAGGGGAGGTGACGTCGCATTCGAGGGGGACGACTACCGGTTCCTGGTTCTGGTTCTGGTTCTGGGGGAGAGAGGAGTTGATCTTGTCGGCGGCGGATTGCAGGACGGAAAGGCGGCGGCCGGCAATGTAGATACGTTTGGCGCCGGCGGAGGCGAGGGATTGAGTCATCATTAGGCCGATTCCTACATTGAGGGTGGCTTGTTAGTCGGGTTTCAAGCATCAGGGTGGGGGGGGGGGGGCAGAAGAGAGACGAGAAAGGAGGAAAGATGGAAGAGTGGCATACCGGAACCACCGCCTGTGATGAGAGCGACAAGACCCTTGACGGAGAAGAGGTTGCTCACGTCGATAGGGGGCACGGTGGCCGAGGAGGCTGCTACGGGGGCGGACATGGTGACTTTGTTGACAGATATCTTCTTCGAGTTGTGGAAGTTCGTGATATGGTGAGTAAGGGGAAGTGTTGGTCTTCCGTGGACTGGGTGAGTGAAGATGTTGGAAATCGAGTTACTGTTCGACTTATTAGTGACTCTTCTTCTCTAGACTGTGATTCAGACACTTTCAAAAGATGGATGGGAAAGTGAAGAAAAGCTGAGATGATCATATTTTAAGTTTTTACATCGGACCTGCTAGAAGCTCCGATTTGCCATGATGTCATGAGAAGAGTTTGGGAACTTACGTTCGTCGTGAACCTGTGAGTTCTTGAGAGTTCGTTTTTCTAATAAACTATCGCAACTTCGTCGGTTCAAAAGGTGTCTTTTATAACGATGAAATTACAAATCAAATATGTATGAAGGAAGCCCCGGTCGTTGTCATAGACTCACTCACCTTGCTCTTCCCCTCATACGCTCGGTAGCCTCCGGAGTGGACCCGCTCAATCGGCCCCTCCTCCTAGGCCCGTTCGGCATCTCCTTCCGACGGGAATAGCTCGTCATCGGCCCCGCTCTCCCCGCCTGTTCCTCGGGGAGTTTTTCAGTTGGGATGGTCGACTAGCGTCAGTTACAGCTTGGCTTTCTTGGGACATCAGTCCCCATTGAATGATCTTCAATGATCTGGGTCCCCGGGACGGGTATATCCGTATATCCTCCGGGTCCAAAGTAGACGTTTGGGCAAACGAAAGTCACCATCAAGTCAAGCAAAACGAACCTGGAGACATAAGTTACCCGGACTTCCCAAACGTAACAAAACTTTCTCATTCCAACTGGTATTTTGCTCTATCTCCCTAATGCTTCGTCTCGAAGAACGTAAACAGAATCATTGCTAAGGCTTTCCCCGCGCTCAAGCAAATAACCAATGTGAAGCCTAAGTACTTGATCCCTTTTACATCTCAGACTCGAGCAGTGCAGTTTCTTTGCTCGAATTCGCCGAAAACACCAATCTTCTCTTGACCATTTAAGCAGAGGTATCGGTGATGAGCTTGGTGATCTTGCCAATAGCAATGGTTTGACCCTACAAAGCGTGTTAGTCCAATTTCATATCAAGCAACAGACAAGAAGAAACATACCTGGTCACGGAGGGTGAAACGACCCATCTGGGGGTAGTCCTCGAACCGTTCAACGCAGACGGAGCCGGCACCACCGGTAACCTCGAGACGAGCAATGATGCTGTCGCCCTTCTTGGCGTGCGAAGGAGGAAGCTTGGACTTCCTGTTGGTGCCCTTTTGGAGCTTGTGGAGGAGAGCGGCGAAAGTAACCTCCTCGATAGCGGCGTGGACGTGGAGCACGCAGTTGAAACCGGCAGTCAGAATGCTCTTGAGGTCAAGAATACGGATCTGAGCCTCGAAAGCGGTGACGTTGTGGACAAGACGCTTGGGCGAGCAAAGGACGAAACCGGGCATGATTTCTTCTTCTTCGATGCCACGGAGACGGAGACGGACTTGCTCACCGCACTGAGCAACGGGAACCTCATCTTCCGTCTCGCCGTAGACGGCCGAGATTTCAACCGCCTGCTTGTTAGGCATCATGATCAAGCTCATACCCTTCTTGATCACACCGGCCTCGATCTTACCCTCAATCATGGTACCCATATCACGATACTTGCCAGAAACAGCCATCATGAAGGGGGCGTTGACCTTGCGCTCGAGAGAGCTCATGTTGTCGAGGTACTCAAGCAGCGAGGGGCCATCATACCAGGGGCAGAGATCCTTGGGCACGCGGTCCTTGATACCCATGGTCTGTTGGGCAGCGACGGGCATGAAGAAGACATCCGTCTTCAGGTTGTAACCAGTACCCTTCAAGAACTGGGCAAGCTTGGTGGTGCACTCCTTGTAGCGCTCCTCGGACCAGTTGACGGTAGGGTCGTCCATCTTGTTGATGACAACAACGAGCTTGTTGACACCCTGGGTCTTGGCCAACATGGCGTGCTCACGGGTCTGACCGCCCTTCTCGAAACCGGTCTCGTACTCACCCTTACGGGCGGAGATGACGAGGATACCGACATCGGCCTGGGAAGCACCACCAATCATGTTGGGGACATAGGTCTTGTGGCCGGGGGCATCGAGAATAGAGTACTTGCGCTTGCCGGTCTCGAAGAAACCACGACCAACCTCGACGGTCTTGCCCTTGGCACGCTCCTCGCTGGTCAAGTCAAGAGCCCACGAGAGGTACCAAGTCTCACGACCCATCTCCTTAGCCTCCCTCTTGTACTTGTCAAGTGTACGCTGGTCGACCATGCCGGTGACGTAGAGAATGGCACCACCGAGGGTAGACTTGCCGGCATCGACGTGACCGATGAAGATGATGTTCATGTGCTCCTTGCCGTAGATTTCCTTGAGGGTCTCTTCGTCAACATCGGCGGACTGAATATCCTTCTCGACAGCATCGACGTCGCGCGAAACCTTGTTGCCGGACTTAGCGGCCGAAGGGCTGGCACGGCCCGAAGAGGGAGCGGGCGAAGTCCTGCCGCTAGCAGCAGCAGACTCGGTCTTCTCAACAGCCTTGGTAGCAGTCACCTTGGCGGCAGCCTCAGCGGTACCCTCCTTCTTGGCAGCCTCCTTCTTGGGCACCTCCTTGGCGGGAGCAGTGCCAGAGATGGAGAGAACCTTGGCCGCGGGCTTGGGCGCATCACCACCGATGCTCAAAACCTTGGCGGGAGCATCGCCTCCGATGCTGAGAACCTTGACGGGAGCGGCAGCCGGCTTGGGGGCGTCGGCCTTTGGTTGCGCCTGGGCAGCGGGCTGCTCTGGCCTCTTGACGATCTGAGGGGCAGGCTTGGGCGCATCGCGGTTCTGCTGTTGCCTCTGCTGGTAGCCCTGGTTCTGCTGGTAGCCACCGTATTGTTGTTGCTGGCCTGTTATTCACGTCTATCAGCTACATTCTTCGATGAAAGACTAGATGAACAAGCGGCGGCCTACCGTAGCCCTGGTTATATCCCTGCTGACCGTAGACAGCGCCATAACCCTGCTGCTGCTGCTGCTGGTTGTTGTTGTACTGTCCGTAGCCCTGCTGGCCGTACTGGGGGTAGCCGCCGCCGCCATAGCCCTGCTGGGCGCCGCCGTAATATTGCTGCTGGTACTGAGGAGTGAAGCCGGGAGCGGCGAACTGGCCGGGAGTGAAGGAGGGGGCGTTGGGGGTGAAGGCAGCAGCCCCGGGGCGGAAGGTGCCGGCGTTAATGTTCATCTGTTGCTGGGCCTGGCGCGCCAGGCGCTCGTCCTGGTCGGCGGCCTCCTCCCAGTTGTTCTGAACGTTTCCAGACATGTTGGATAGGTAGCGGTCGCGTGTGATTCGCGGGAAGGTGCCGATAGAAAGTGTCTGGTTTCGGGGTCTCGCTCGTGGGCTGGAGAGTGGTGAGAATGAGGATGATGGTCAGCAAAGATGAGTTTCGACTCTGCCGGCTGGGTAGCGACGTGGGTGTGTATAAGGTAGTTTCCTAGCGAATCCTGAAGTCAGGAGATGGAGATGGATGATTTATACTGGAAGACAAAATAATGGTAAGCTAATGCGACCACAGACAGCCCTATATCAACTACTACCTCTATACACCGTACTTACCCTGACGACGACCTGTACTTGGTTGTAGTACTCTGAGTGACCAGTCCAGTCGGCGCGTCCAACTTCAGGTACGTAGCAAGCGAGCGAACAAGTCGAAGAGAGAGAGATTTGGATCAAGAAACCTAACGCTGGCAAGGGCTGTAGGGCCCCACCGTTGATTGGGGAGGGCGTGCAGTGGTGGCGGGGTACATGACAATTTTTTGTCCCGTTCAGTTGTCTACTGTGTGCGCTAGGACGGGATTGCCGCCACACACGGTGCGACTCGGAGAGTCACTCGCCGGAGAAGTGCGTCCAAAGCCGGCATTCAGTGGAATGGGATCAGCAGAATCACAGTGCGAACCTTTGCAACGAACTAAAACCCCTGGTCTCTCTTGGCACATGCACTGACTGTCCCAGGCCGGGCCGTCCATGAACCCAAAAGAGACGAAAAGAAGCCCTGGACCCGCCCACCAACGTCACTCTTGAGGTCCTGAACATCAAACGGACGGGACGAACACTAACAATTAGGCATCGCCCAAGTTCAAGTTCACTTGCTGCCGGAGAGCATCAAGGTAGCTACCTGTTCCGTCGGTACATAAAACTCCCACACAGGACAGGAATATGATATACACCGTACCAATCAAATAGGTAACCACACATTCTTACTTGACCAAATCATGGACGCACTGTTGGCCAAGCTCGGGTCTCATGCGGTCAACTACGCCATCAGATCAGGCATCGCAATCACTTCCACCTACGCCGTCAACCAGTGCTCGAGGCTGCTCAAGACGGTCGACGACAAAGGAGTGTACACCGAGCTCAGGAAGCTGCAGAAGCTTCTGGATAGTAAGATCAAGGTGAGTGGCCATGATTATCCCGAGTTCAACAATGCTAATCCCCCTTCCAACAAAGACACTGACTCCTTGCTAATACGAATATTCCCCACTCCAGATTGTTTCACCAGCTATCGACCTGATCGAGTTCAAGTATGCCCAACCTACCTCTCTTCTTGCTTACCTTGTCCTTGACCCTTACAAGAATGTGACTAACGCTGTGTCCAAGATCTGGCCGTGGCAATGTCTTCCTCGAGGCTGCTGTGCCTCTTGCCAAGTCTCTCCATCGAGACATCATTTCTCTCGGAAAGCGCCTAAACGATGCTGCTACTGCCGAAGAGAGCTCCCGCTCCGATGGCAAGAAAGCCCGCATGTCGGAAGCTCACCATGTTGAGCTGCTAACTATCATCAAGGAGATGAAGGAACTACTGGCCCGCATAGACAGAGAGATCCCTCTGATCCAGCTCGCCATCACTGCCTCTGGAGAGAGGATGAACACGACAGTGAATGCTGGCATCTCTCCGTCAAGACTGATGCAGGCGAGTGCCTTCTTGTCATTCGGGGACTCACACTTTGTGAACAACCCTAACCGAGCAGTCCCCATTGGGCCTTCTTTCACGTTATCTCTTTACATGCTCTTCCGCGGTCATTCCAAGCTGAAAAGTGCCAGTTCCGTTCCTGCCACTCCTAGCACTGGAGGCAAGACATGGACCAGAGAGCCATCATATGGTGTTGGCCAAGGTGAACGGAAACCCATCTGGCAAGAGGTGGTGCACAAGGCTCGTGTACGGCTGGTTCGCACACCGCTAGGCTGGAAGTTTGACAAGACTCGCGGATACTGCCCCGGTGAGTCTTCTGATGGACCCGTAAACGGGTACTCTGCTGCCGTTGATTCGGCCCTTTCGATGCTTGGCCGCCCAGACGAGTATGCCTATCACTTGGAGATCATTGAAGATCTCGACGATGGACGTGTACACGATGATGATGCCGCAGGTGAGCCATTCGACGGCATCGATATGGCTGGAATTCGAGACTCCATTCCCATACATCAAGTTTCCAAGATCTTCTACACCGACACAGGACGACTCCTGAACATCGGTAATGCTGAGGAGGGCGACAACAACCCGGTGCTATTACTGAAGAGAGACCTTCATGCCCCGAATCCGATCGAGCTCAAACGCCAATGGTACGCCGATCCGGAGCAGGCGGAGGCCTCAGAAGGAGAAACAGCATACGACACGGCCGCCGAAGATGATGAACAAGCCGATATCGATGCACAACTGCTGGCAGAGACCAAGTCTACTGAACTTGCGACCGCGGCAGAAGAAGGTCGATTAAGGAAAGCGTTAGGGCTGCCATCACATCTGGACCCTGAATGGCTCGCCTTGGAGGTCTTTGTCGAGAGTGATGACGAGTCTGACGACGATGATGATGGTGATGATAAGTCCAGCATCCAGTCTTTCAAATCAGCTACACCACGCGACAAGGTAGTCGACTCGAAACTCATTGATCAAATTCGCAACGTCTCCCTACAACCATACCCAAACACGCCTCCGAACCAACGGAAATACGTCCCATCGCCTTTGTCATCAACATCATCTTTACCAGCAGGAGGAGCGAATGGCAAGCAGCTGTTCCAGACACCAACACAAGTGCAAGGGGCTCAAAAGGAACCCAACAGCATGGACTCGTTCGTGGCCAGGTCACCATTCGGTGCCATCACTTCGTCACTATCGCTCATGGAAATGTTGATACGACTATGCAGCCTGCAGGAGTTCCAGCAGACGTCACACCTGTCGATTCCAGATCACATTCTTACCTTTTTCTTGGAGGAGACGTCGACGACCGGGCTACGGGGTGAGGAAAAGTGGGATATACGGAACGAGGCGAAGAGGCGTATGGGTTTTGATCCTTATACGGACACGCCTACCAAGTCGACTTAATCTGATGAGGGACGGAACCAAGGAGAAAAGGGGCGATAGTGACAGCATCTTGAGACGAAAAATAGATGATGCCTCCTTTGAAGTCTCTGTACAACAAAGATCTTATACTTTATAGCTACACATACAAACCATCTACACACTCGAGTACCGTTCATCCTCGACTTGGAAGACCCGTCCTGTGATCCATCATCTTCCTTTACCAACCCCTCCCACCCAACCTCTCACTCCCTCCCCTCAAAAGACATCTTCCCCAACCCAACCAACTCGGCCACCCGTCTCCCCAACCCCATAAACACCTCAGCTTCCTTCCCCCCAGGCTCACTAACCACCGTCGGCTTTCCCCTCCCGCCATCCTCCCCAATGCTCGGATGCAGCGGCACATCCCCCAAGAACTCCATGTCCATCTCCGCACACACCTTCCTCACCCCCTCGGTCCCGCCAAACACATGCGTCTCCTTCCCGCACCCAGGACAGCAGAAAACGCTCATGTTCTGCACCACCCCCAGTATCGGAATGTCCACCTTTTTAAACATATTCACGCCCTTCACCGCATCTTTGATCGCCAACGTGTGCGGGGTCGTCACGATGACCGCTCCGTCCACGACAACCTGCTGCGCTATAGAAAGCTGGGTGTCGCCCGTCCCGGGAGGTAGGTCCAAAACCAAAATGTCGAGGGAGGGGTGGGACCAGTCGACTTCATGAAGGAGTTGTTGGATGGCTTTGAGGAGCATGGGACCGCGCCAGACGAGGGCGGAGTCTTCGGACCCTAGGAGGTAGCCGATGGACATGGTCTTGACGCCGTAGGAGGTTAAGGGGATGAGTTGGTTGTGCGGGTTGAGGGAGGGGGATAAAGAGGGGGAGGAGAGGTTGAAGAGGGTCGGGATGGAGGGCCCGAAGAGGTCGGTGTCGAGGATGCCGGTTGTGTAGCCGAGGCGGGAGAGGGAGAGGGCGAGGTTTGCTATGACTACTGGGTTAGAGATGTATAAAATAGAAAGAACTGAAAAAGGGGATTCGAGGGATTTTGCTGAGCCATAAAGAGGATAGATAAGTGTCTGTGGGGGTATGTTCTGACTTGTACGATGTGTGATGTTGTTTACTTTTCCCTGATCCAGTGGCTGGACAGGGATGAGGTGAGAAGATGAGGAACACTCACCAGCTATTGTGCTTTTTCCGACACCACCCTTGGCTGAAGAGACGGCAATGACCTTGTTTACATTTTTGATTTTACGCTTCTGAGGAAGACCGCGTTGGAAACGTGGAATGGTACCAGTTCTGGGGAGGCCCTATAATTGGATGTGTTGGTCAAGAGCTCCGAGTCAAATGTGTAAGTCGGGGGAAAGGTAGGTACCTACCAGTGGATTCTCATGCTGGAGAGGTCTTGTGGCTTGTAACAGCCGGCTTATTGTTGGTCTCATCTTCTATCCTGCCCCTGTGCCTAGTAACCAAACTCAAGAAATCTGAAAAACGCAAGAATTGGCTGTTGATTTCAACAGATGAAATCGCCATAAACTGAAGTCAGAGTGAGTGAAGTTCAGAAGTTCCCCAACTTCCCCAATTGGCGTCCCGAGGAACACTGCAGTGGTCGCAGTGGGTGGAGCCCGTCTCCTGGTGCATCCGAACCCCTGCTCATCGGTCCCCACTTTGCCATCTGCCCGCTGTCACCGCCAAAATTTCCCGTTCTCCCAGGCAAAGCTCTGATTTTTTCGGGCGTGGGGTTGTTCCCGTTGTTCCATCAATTCGGATCCTCTGTATTTTTCAGAACCCATTGATTGAATCCATTCCCCCAGGCGCCATCTTGAATATTCCTCTTCTTTGGCGCCAACACCACAACCACCACCACCACCACCAGACAGAGCCGCCACCATGCCATTGTACACCACAAAAAAGAGCAACAAGCTGCGGGCTTCCATGTTCGATGAGAAGCCTGCAAAGGGTATGACAAACGAAGCTACAACCCCAAGACCCCCCCCCCCCCCCCCAGTTACTGATATTGCATTCCTACAGACTACGATCCTGAAGCCGAGCCTCGCGATGGTGACGATGATCAGAGCGGAAGCGAAGCCGACAGCGATGTTGAACGCGCCGAGACGGAACACTATGTCACAGTTGGGTATGTCAATACCTTTTCTAAAACACAACATCAACTAATAACCAACACCCAACAGCAAGAGCAAGCTCCGAAAAGCAGAAGCACCCACACTTGGCCCCGAATACAGCGGTACCCGCGTCAGCCGCAAGGCCCTAGAGGAGAGCGACGAAGAGGACTTTGATGACGACGAGGAAGATGATGACGAGGACGACCTCGAAGATGGCGAGTCCGAGTCCGGCTCCGAAGAGTTCGCCGACCCAGATACCGCGGACCTCGAACGCGACCACATCGACGAAGACGCCGAGATCTCCAGCGACAATGCGCTAGGGGAGGATGACGCAGACTGGTCGGAAAAGTTCACCTTCCGTGGAAGCTCCAAGCCCAAGACACCAGCCAAGACCCCCAAGAAGGACGACCTTGCGGTTCGCATCAAGAAGAGGCCCACTGCTGCTGACTTTATGTCCGGCTCTGAGGATGATGAAGAGGAGGAAGATGATGAGGATCTTGAGGAAGACGAGGAAGATTCTGAGGAGGGCGAGCGAAATGGCCTGTTCGACATGGAGGCTGAGGAGACAGAGGACGATGAGGGTGAGGATGATGAGGAAGAACTCGACGGTGCTCTGCTCTCCGGCAGCGACGACGAAGAGGGCGATTCCGAAGAGGACGACGAGGATGACAAAGAAGGCTCCAGCGACGAGGACGAGGACGAAGATGACGAAGACGAAGACGAAGATGAGGACGAAGAGTCTGGGGACGACGACGAGAAGAACGACGTTAACGCTGAGCTCCGCAAGATCATGGCCGAAGACGAGAAGAAGATCGTTTCCACCTTCTCGAAAGCCGCCGAGGCCGACGCCCAAAAGGGTGTCGCTGTCCGCTCCCAGCGCCGCATCTTCGACTCCATCCTCAACCTCCGCATCCGTCTCCAAAAGGCCCTCATCGCCGCCAACACCTTCAACTGCGTCGAGAAGCCCGAAAACTTCAAGGAGAAGCCCTACGAGGCCGCCGAGGAAGCCGCCGTCAAGCTCTGGAACACCATCGACTCGGTCCGCAACAGCTTCCTCCCCGAGCAAGTCAAGGCCAAGGCCGGCGAGAAGCGCAAGCGCGACGCCATCGAGCTCGACACGCCCGCGCAGGAAATCTGGGAGGTTCTCGAGGCCGTCGAGGGTCCCGCCAACAAGTACCGCCGCCAGGTCCTCGACAAGTGGTCCACTCGCGTGCGCAGCACCACCGCCAGCATGACCAAGGAGCGCCGCCTCGCGCAGTCTGCAGGCTCCCAATCGCTCGTCTCCGTGCTTGACGACCAGCTCCTCAGCGCCGACCGCCTGATCAAGAAGGCGCGCACGCCGCGCTCGTGCGCCCCCGCGCAGGCGGCCAAGAAGGTCGAGGAAGACGCTGAGATCTACGACGACGCCGACTTTTACCAGCTGCTGCTCAAGGAGCTAGTTGACCAGCGCAGTTCGGATTCCGCTGCGCCTGGAGAGTCCGTGGCGACCGTCAGGTGGGCGGCGCTCAAGGAGGCCAAGACGAGGAAGCAGGTGGATCGGAAGGCGAGCAAGGGTCGCAAGTTGCGGTTCACGGTGCATGAGAAGTTGCAGAACTTTATGGCGCCGGAGGATAGAAGGTCGTGGGAGGAGCATGCTATCGATCGGTTCTTTGGCACGCTGTTTGGACAGAAGATGGTGCTTAAGGAAGATGAGGCGGAGGCAGAGGCGGCGGAGGAGGATGAGGAGATGGGTGGTGTTAACGTTGAGGAGGCTGGTCTGAAGCTTTTCCGGTCGTGAGTGACGGTAGAGAGATACGAGGGAGAAGGATATATCCTGGATATGGATGAGAAATATGCATAGATTATAGTTGGAGAGAGAGCGAATGCTCCTCTGTTGCAATACCCGCATTTACGAGGCGTGCAAAAGAAATATATATGTTCTTGACATCATCAGCTTCGACAGTCATCATGATATAGTTTGAATTGGGTAACTACCTAACAGCAATAATTACGCCAAACCTTATCCAGCTCGTTCTAGCCTCAGGACTTGCTAAGAAATGACAAGTCTCAAACAGAGTTGTTCATAAACATAACATGCTAACATCCTGTACCTATACCCAGACAAGTTCCAGACCAAACCAAGCATACCGAAGCCCAGCCATTCATCATGTATCATAACCTCATCTATAAGCCCATTGCTCCTGTCCATCTCACCACCTCCGCCCAAAAACCTCATGCTCCCTCCTCGCCCCCGTATGATTAGCCGCCGCACCAACAGTCCTCCTCGCCGGCGTCCTCCCCGCAGCAGCAGCAGCAGCAGCATTCTCCTCACCGTTTCCAGACCCACCATGATCAGCACCATAGACAGCAGCCCTACCACCACCACTACCACTACCATCATGTTTGAACAAGTCCAAAATCTCCTGCAACCCCAACTTCAATCCCTGGCCCTTCTTCTTCTTGTTCCCTCTCTCCGTCGACCCTTCGACCGCCGTCTGCGCCAACAATCTCTTCTTCTCCTGCAGCTCCAGGATCCTCGCCTCCACCGTCCCTCTCACCGTCAACTTATAGACAACCACATCGACCGTCTGCGTCAGCCGGTGCACGCGATCGATCGCCTGCTCCTCGACAAAGGGGTTCCAAAAGGGTTCGACGATAATCACCCTCGTCGCGGCCGTCAGGTTGAGTCCCAAGGATCCGCACTTGAGCGAGCACAGCAGGATACGAGTGCGCGGGTCTTTGCGCAGGGAATGCAGAGACGCTTCGCGGGCGTCGTTGGGCATTTTGCCGTCGTAGCGGACGTGCTTGATGTCCGGTAAGTGATGCCTCAAAAAGGGCTCGACGAGGTCGAGCATCGAAGTGAACTGGGAGAAGACGATGAACTTGTGGGTGGGGGCTTCGCGGCGGAGGATGGCGATGAGCTCGTGGATCTTGGAGGAGATTTGCACGGGACCTTTGGGGGTGCGCTTGATGCCGTATTCGGCTTCGGAGTCGGTTTCGGAGGAGTGTTCGAGTTCTGAGTCCGAGATGGCAGAGTCTTCAGAGGAGGAGGCGGCGGTTTCTGATTCCTCGGATTCGGATTGCTTGACGACTTGCGAGCTGAGCTTGGAGACCGAGGCGAAGGTATCATCTTCGTCGCCGGAGCCGACTATTTCGTCTGAGTTGACGCTTTCGTCGTCGTCATCGTCGTCATCGTCACTATCTTTGACGACGAAGCTGTCCTCTTCTGGGTCCTCTGAGTCTTCAGAGATCTCTTCGTTGGAGTCGATGTCCTCGCCGGTGCCCTCGGCGTTCTCGTCCTCTGTGCCGCCAGCAACACCAAGGTCGAGTGCGCTTCTCTGTGATTCGCCCACGAGCCAGGTGCCTTCATCCTCTTCATCGTCACTATCGATGACTCGCTTCCTGTTATCACGAGATTTTTTGTCCTTCTTAGGTGTCTCCTCCTCGTCTTCCCACTCTTCCCCCTCTTCCTCATCATCACTGTCCACCACAACTTTCCTACCCCTTCCTCTGGTCTTCCTCTCAACCTTTACCTTCTCCTTCACCACACTCACCTTCTTCTTTTTGTGCTTCTTGCTCTCCTTGCTCTCCACGCTCCCCTGCGTACCCTCCTGCTCCTTCATCAACTGGCTCAAACTATCTTCACACCCTTGACATCTCACCTGCCCCTCCTGAATCTCCTTCTTCGTCATCTCCCCCAGACACATGTCACACTGCCTCGCCTGGATGCCCATCCCGCCCATCATATCAGCCAAGTCATCCACACTACTGGTCTGACTTTGCGAATCATAGGCGTTCTTCTTCTTTTTGCCACCAGGCGTCGGCGCAGTCGCCGAGTCCACCGCCAACGCATCCCGGTCCTTGTCAAGCTTTGTCTGCGCCAGCCTAGGGTGATTGCAAGCCTGCCTCAGCCGCAACAGCAGCACGAGCGCGTTGGCGTAGTTGACCGTGCGGCCCTTCATCATTTTCTCGAGACTCTGGTCGGCACGCTCCTCCAAGGCCTTGTAGAAGGCACTTTCGGCGGGGCTGAACTCCGTCTCGATGGTTACTACTTTACGCTCCGTGACTTTGAAAGCCGCTTCAGGCGCCTTTTCGCCATTCTCTTCGGCCTTGGCCAATGCTTCTTTGCCGCCGGCTACAAGGGCGCCCTTCTCGGTGAGAACTTCCTTGGTGCGGCGTTTCATGAAGCAGCGGAGGATGCTGTGCAGGCGTTGGATCGCAATGTGGCCCTTGCCTTGCTTCATGGGCGTGTCGATCTGGGCTCGCCACTCGGCTAGGTTATCGTAAGGCGCGATGCGCAGGAAATGAATGAGGGACTGGAGCTCGTCAAGATTGTTCTGCATCGGCGTGCCCGTGAGGCACCAGCGGTATTCGGAGCGCAAGGCACAGCATGCCTTGGCGGCTTTGGTATTGCGGTTCTTGATGCTGTGGTGTCATATGTTAGCCTGTGTGAAGCTTTGGAGTATATGACCTTCAGAACCAACCTATGGGCCTCGTCGAGAATGACGCGGAACCAGTGTACGCCGAAACATCCCGCTTGGGCGCCCTTGTTTGGGTCGGGGTGAGACTTGTCGTGCTCTGACACCAGAATCTGGTAGGTAGTGATGACCACATCATATTTGGCGAGCTCGGCGGGAACTGTAGATCGCTTTGGGCCGTGGTGAACACATACTTTGATGTTCAAGTCGGGCATGACGCGATCCTTCAGTTCGGCCTCCCATTGTCGGATGAGAGCCAGTGGCGCAACGACAAGTGTGGCCTTGCTGATGTCTTTGAAGTGGGCTTTCCAGCCTGGGGCGGAGGACGATTCGGGTTTTCGGTTGCCAATGATCAAGGAAATAGACTGCAATGTTTTGCCCAAACCTAGATGAAAGTTAGCATAGAGTCAAAAACAGACCAACATAGAGTCTACGTCTACATACCCATATCATCTGCGAGAAGTCCACCCTTGGGAACACGGCCACGCTTCAAAGGGCCAAGCTCGCGGTTAATCATCCATCTGACACCCTCAACCTGATGCGGCAGCAAGGGAACAGCCAGACCAGGTAGATGCCCAGTAGAAGAAACAATCGACTCCTCCTTCTTCTTGGACTCTGACACCGCACCCTTCGTCTTTGCCTTGGCTCCCTCGTCCTCACTCTCCTCATCATCCAGTCCACCCTCCAACAGCGCCTTCAGATCCTCCTTCGCTTTGTCGGGATCAGTGTAAAACACATTCTCTCCAAACGCGGCCGCAGTCCCCCTCGAAGCCGTTCCCCTACCCGGCTGTAACGGCGACGGTGCCGGTGCCGGATCCACATCCAGCGAGCTGAACAGCTGCATGCCCATGCTGTTCCTCTTGATTTCCGTCGACGGCTTTGGCGGGGCATTGGCCTTGAGAGGTCCGCTAGATCTGTACAAGTCCTTGTGAAACTCGGGTCGGTTCTTGCCCCTGTCGTTGAAGAGGTTGTTGTACTTGGATCCGCCGATGGCGTGGCTGCTGGTGCCGCCGCGGCTACCATTGCCGTGATGGCTGGCAGCGTTCTTGGTGTTGTTGCTGGTGTTAACGGGCGTGAACTGAGATACTAGCTGTGTGGGCTGGCCGAACTTGGGAATGGGTGTGAAGGCATGATCCTGACCGAGGCCGTGGACGGTCATTCCTCCACCATGAAACTGTTGCCCTTTGTCGGAGGAAGGATGGCTCGGTGTAGTAGGGCTGCTAGCCGTCAAGTCAACAACATCTGCGTCTCCGCTGAAGATGCGGGATGAGGACGTGTTCTTGTTGTTGTTGTTCTTCCCTTTGGGCGTGCCATTGCTGCCCTTGCTACTGGCAAAGGAAAGGTCTTGTTGTGAAGATGACATGCTGATGCCCTCGTCTGTAGCCTGTGAGTTGATGAGGTCGAGATCTTCGTCACTCAAGGAGTCGTAGGCAAAGGGTTCAGAGAGTTGGCGACGGGAGGCCATGGTTACAATCTAGGCGGGGTGGTGTTTCCCTAGATGTGAAGGTACCTAGGTTTGCTGGATCGATAAGTAGGAGGTTGTCGCTTGCGCTTTCTGCAAGGCACTGGCACTGTTTGTTTGTTTATGTGTTTAGTCAGGAGCTCGCTTTCGGAATGTTGCCACTTTCTGTAGATGGGTGCCTCCGGTCCAGCCAGGGGAGGTAAGCAGGTTGTTTTGGTATTGATGTCGACTTCCAAAGTTTCCAACACATAAAGTTGTCCCGAGGCGGCTTGCTTTGCTGCCTAAAAGTTCCACGGATTCGGGGAAGAGGGGAGAGTTGAGGTAGTCTTGAGATTCAGCTCGGATATTCTTATGTACACGGAATGTTTGCCAGTTGGCGCTCCTCAAGTCATCAACTTCAAATTATCACTTTCCGAGGGCGGGGTCGTAAACTACTCCGTCGCGTGTTGCAAGCTTGTTGGACGCAAGTATTTACAAAGTGACGAATCTAGCTTCGGGAATGGCATCCCAGGGCAACCGGCATGGCAACCGGCAGGTAGCTTACCCCGCCCCCGCAGTGAGCCCTTCACCGGGGCCCTCGCCGCGGTGTACTGTAAATAAAAGGGTGAAAATACACGTATAACCCCAACCCTGGCTCTCTCCTAAGACGAAGAAAGGACAGCAAGTCATACAAACATTCCGTTATCACCACCTGTTGAAGAGAGAATGTTGACAAAAAAAAGTAAAGCCATCAGAGTCTATAAGCGCTTTTATCTTTCCATTTAACGAAATGCCCTTAAATCTCTATATATGTAAACTCAAACAACCATCCTCTCCACCCTTCCCTCCAACCCCGTTTCCTCCTTCTCATCCTCCAACAACACCACAAAATCATTCGTAGTCTGATACTTCAAGTCCAACCGGTGATGTTCCCTCCTCACTCCCGCCGGCAGTTCCACTCCCTCCTTCCACTGCTCCCGTACCTGTTTCTGGCTTGTCGCCGACCCGTCCCTATTCGTCACCCACCCATTTCCATTCCATCCCAAACTTGGGCCTCCCCTATGCCCATGCCCACCCCCTCGTCCTCCATGTCCTCCTCTTGCCGCCGCCGCTCGCTCCCTATCTGCCCTCGGCGCCGTGGGAGGAACCCTCCCAAACGGTGACGCAGGGTTAGCATAAGCAGAAGAAGGTTCAAAGGGGCCCATCATCCTCGGCATGCGAATTGATCTGTCGTTCGCTTCCACTGACAATCCATCACCCGTTTCCATGAGCGAGTACTTGATCGGAACGGTTGTGTACTCTTCCGCCACGCCTTGCTTTATCTGGGCCTGGTTTCTCGAGGAGTGGGAGGAGAACGTGGAGTGGGTGACTGGCAATGGGCCGGTGAAGTAGGGGTAGTTGTAACCGTAGATGGGGTCGATTTCCACCGGGTTTGAAGGGCTGGAAGGGGTTGGTTGAAGATTGGCTTCTATCACGCCTCCTGAAACGCCAAGATAGAAATTGGGAGCCGAGTCGGAGGCTTTGGCGAGGGACCATGTCCGGGTGAAGCCGTGTTGGTTGCTGCGGTCGTGTTCATGGCCGGGCACGCCGCGCGGGAGGAAAATGGTTGCGTTAGGCCGGTAGTAGAGGTGTTTTGAGAGGGAATGCCAGTGACATTCTAGGCCTGCTAGATAGTCGCATCTTGCACGGCCGGTGGCAAAGGCGTTGGGTGCCTTGGAAAAAGGTTGGTGAGGCTTGGGGAACGGTTGGCGACCCAGACATGGGAGAGCCGAGGTGTAGGAGTAGGGTTTCGGCCATCGGAAGTCGAAAATCTTGATGGTTGCGCCCGAGTTACCAGCACCAGCAACGAAGCGCTCCGTACCGTAGGTGAGGATGGCTTCGACATGGTCCCAAGGCTGGATATTGTCCTGGTAGACGGCGTCATACGGAGAGGACGTTCGTAAATCCAGAAGGCGACAGGTACCGTCTTTCCATCCCGAGAGAAGCAGTGTTGTCCCGCCCGACTTTTGCTCGTTGGGATTGGCGTAGACAGGCGAGAGCGAGTTCGCACAGATATCTGCATCAGGAATACTCAGCCCGCCCACGCCTCCCGAGCGGATGATACTCTTCGCCGTAGTATGATGCGTCCACCCCGACTCCGTGATCGAAAGGTACTGCAGTCGTTCACTACACCCCTTAAGCGCCAAAGCCATCACATTCCCCTGACCGCCCATCCACTTTGCGCTGCACAACTGAGCCGTGCTGCTGTCCAACACGCTCCTCTGTAGATCGTAGACCACCACCGGTGACACCTCCTCGTCTTCCCCTATTTCCTCCTCCCCATCCGGCAAAGCATAAACGCCCACCGCTTTCTTCGTCGCCGCCGCCACCAACCTCCTTCCTCCTGGGGCATCATACAACACATCCACGCTGTTAATCGTATCCTGCACCAGTCTTTCCCCTTCCTCCCCTTCATGTGGTTTGAACTTGACAATCCTCTTCCCAAACCTCTCCCCCTCCGCCTCCACCAGGGCCAAATCCCCATTATCCCTCCCCACCACCACCGCCCTTCCATACCCCCTTCCGTTTCCACTTTCTTCTCCGCCTCCGTGTTTCTTGACTCCTCCGGATCCCTTCCCTCGCCCACTACCACAAAGCGGCACATCCCCCTTCACCACATGCAAAGCCCTCACATCATCATACCCCTTCCTAAACCCTTCCTCTTTCCCACTGGCTTTAAACCAACTAAACTTCGGCGCACTCTTACTTTTTTGTTGTCCACCTCCCCAATCTCTCCTCCTCGCTACCAAATCCTCCCCCGCTCCCCAGACCAGTAATTCCCTCCCCGTCGCAAAGTCAAAGTGCGCATCCACCACCGACTGGAACATATTTCCCCTTTGCTGTCCCTGCCCACCTCCTCCTCCTCCTCCTCTCTGTCCATGTCCAGCTCCAGCAGTTCCAGCTCCAGCCCCAAAGTCAGCAGCAGGATAAATAGCACAAAACCCCACCGCCCGCTTATCCCAACACCTACTTTGCCAAGTCAAACTCTCCGCTACGTCCTGCCATGCGTACCTCCCTCCTCCTCCTCGATTTCCATTTCCACTTCCGTTGCCACTTCCACTTCCATTTTGTTGTTGTTGCCCTCCTCCACGTTGTCCTCCCAGCAGCAGCAGCGAAGAAGAAGAAGAAGGGGCAGGAATAGGGATGCTCTGCACCAGCGAAGGAAACCTCGCAATCACAAAGGCGCGCCACCCCTCCGAGGTTACGAGCTGACGTAGGCGGCGACAAGTCAAGCCCAGATGAGCAATGTCGGAGGCGGTGGTGAGGGAGGATAAGATCAAGAGAAGAATTTCGTGGGGGAGGTCTGCTAGTGCTAGTGCTAGTGCTGGACACTGATTGGAGGAAGAATGATGGTGGTGGTGGTGGTGGGATACCTCTGGGGAGGTCATTGTTGCTTTCTGGACAGTTTGGTTATTGGATGTTGTTTATAGGGAGTTGTTGTTCATGAGCGGGAGGGTTTGGTTTGGTTTGGCGGGATGAGAAAGTGGAAGGTAAAAAGTGAGGTAAATAGGGTGGATATGTGAGGATGGAGAAAAAGAAGGGAAAAAAAGGAAAAAAAAAAAAAAAAAAAAAAGATATGTTTCAGGTAGAGATGGTGGTGGTGGTGGTGGTGGTGAGCAAGTCAGATAGACGTGAAGAGTATTTTACCCACACCCCGTATTGACCGTGGTGATCTGCCCGGGGAAAATTACTCAATGACGTCGATTCTTGTAGGAGTGGAAGGGTCCAGATGGGTAAAATTACTGTATATTAGCGTATTGACGCTTCCCATCCGGGTGCTAGGCAGCAATGCCTCATGAGCAGCGCCTAGTATGCTTTTCCACCATGATCTGAGCAAAAGATAAGACAAATGACCCTTATCAAATCCGAGTTCTGGACTCATCTCATTGAGGCAGTGTAAGCTCAGCTCCTGCGACGTGGTCGCGGTCGTGGAAGAGAATTTGGCGCTAAACAGTGATCGCTATTGAATGGCCCCTTTTTAGCGTGCTACGCGTGTACAGAGAATCCCGTTCATGGCTAGCAATGACCTTCTTTATCTGTAGCCGAACTTCGCGAGTTCACACTTTTGGCTACATTATACATTTGTCATCTGGCACTTTGCTTAAGACGTGTTTCGAACTACTACAATTGTATGACTATCTGCGTTTTAGTGGACAAGGGCATAATATATACACACCATAACCAATCACAGTCCCCTTTTCACTCCGTAGACCAACAGACACACACTCACACTCACCCTCATCAACACAAACGCCACTCAAATGACCCAAGCAAACATTCTGTATACCGCTAAAATTCCAAATACCACTAAAATAAGTCTCAAAGGCTCTTTTTTTACTCGTACTCTTTTCTCGCTTCTCACTCGTCGTCGTCCCTCCACTTGGGACAGACCATCCAACCAACAACTCATCATCTATCCTAGCCTTACGAACCAAGACCAATCATCAACCCACACACCAGTTCCCAGAGATTAGCACATCCCTTCAAGCGCCATAGTCCTCATATACCCCCCCTTCACATCCTCCGGCAACAGCCCAAACAACCTCGGATCAGCACCCATACCACCCATCTCGCTCTGACCATTCACCCGTCCCTTGATCAATTCCTCCGCCATATCCGCCACCGCCGCCTCCCTCTTGACATCATTCGCGCCCGACGCCTTGAGTCTATCACCCAGCGCAACCAGTCCATCCACCAACAACTTGTCAAGTCTCCTCTCGTCCTCCTCATCCTCTCCAGCAGGCAACTTATTCCTCAGCGCCGCAACCTTAAGCGGATAAAGTAGATAAACCGCCGCTCCTCCACGTTCCCATTCCTGCGCAGACCCAAGCTTCTCCTTAACCTTGAATAGCAGCTGTGCGAACTTGACCAACCTCTTCCAGTCACGCTCGATGACCAGATCGGGACCCACGCGCTCGACGAACGCCGTATTCGCCTCCTTGTAGTTGCCTGCCCACACGAGCGCCAGGAACTCCTGGCGATGGTCTTGCTTGGCGCGGAAGTCGAGCGCCTTGGCCTCCCAGATCCAGGACTCAGCGACACCGAATCGGCGGAGGGCCGAGAAGGGGGACTTGGGTTCATGGTAGGAGCCGATGAGGTGGGCGTGGCGGCCAAGGTGGTCACGGATGGCTGTCTCGCGGGCGACAGGGTCGGAAAGTGTGAGGAGGACGAAAGTGGCGGGAACCCAGTGGCCTTGGGCGGTGAGCGAGGAGGCGAAGGAAACGGATGCCTGGTCGAGCTTTTGCTCGGCGTCGGGACCGAAGGAGATGAGGTGGGTGAAGTAAATGGAGCGGGTGAGCAGCCAGCCAAGACGGTCGGACTCCGCCCAGTTGAACTCACGGGTGGCGAAGGTCTTGAGGAGAGTCCACAAGGGGCTCTGGGGTTCAGGCTCCTTGTCTTGCTCGATATCGTCCTGGAAGGCGTAGATGGCCTTGGAAATGTCGAGCTCGCCATCAGCGGTCTTGCTGTTGTAAAAGAGACGCAGACCGAAGGATTGCATCCAGCTGAGGTTGAAGCGCTCAGCGATTGTAAAAGAGGAAGCACGGCTCTCAATAGGGGCATCCTTGACACCAGCGCAAACGCAGGCATTGCCAGAGAGGAGCTCGTAGAGAGCACGAATAGGCTCGGACATCTCAGACAAGACATTCGCCTCTCTCCAGTCATCCAACTGGGTCTTGAGGTCCTTGCTCTGCGAACCGATGGTGGAAACAAGAGTAGCGAGGCGGAAGTCCTTGCCGCCAATCAACTGGTCGCAGGCATCAGAGATGCGGTTACCGGCGAGAAGAATGATAGCCTTCTCCTCCGGAGTAGACGCCTCCTTAAGCAAGCGGTCAGTATCCGCAGCGACCAACTTCTTCCAGAAAGCGGGAAGCTCAGCCTCGTCATTGGCAAGAAGGAAAGCCAAGTCCCAGACAGGATCGTCCTCAGTAAGATCCTTAAGTTCATTCAGAGGAACATCGTGGTGGGCGTTAGTAATCTCAATATACTGCTGGAGCTTGTTGAGGGCTGTCTTGGTCTCCGAGGCAGAGGCACCTCCCTCGACGGGGATAAGGCTAGCTTCGTCATTGGCAGTGGTGATCAAGAGCTCGTTAGGACCCCAGGTGGCACGGGGAGCAGGGGCGGCGGCTTCGTCATCACCCTTATCGCGCTTTTGGTACGGCCACTATAAAGCAAGAGAAAGTCTTAGTCTGTATTCATACAACAAATAGTGTAGGCGAATAGAAAGGTAGTAAGGTACAAAATAGCCGTGCAAGCTTCACAAGACACATAAACCAAGCTTGAGCAGCAGACGACACATCAGAAGAAAAAGGAAGCTTGTAAGGTAAGGAAAGAAGAAACAGGCTAAGCACCAACCTTCAGGAACCCCCCTGTTGGAGGGGCAGGCTGAGCTGGGCCCCTTGCCTGCTCGAAAAGCGACTTCATCAAGTCAATGCTCGTCGCGAACCCTCGCCCTTCATGCACAACTGGCTCACGGGGAGCAGGACTTCCGCTCTCTTTGGCCTCCCATGCCTCGCCCGACTCGTTTTGTTCCCGTAGCAAGTTCCGATCTACCGTCCTTGGCGCCCGCACGCTCGCCTGCAGAATCTGTGTCCAATCATCACCACCGGCAACCTCGATCTTAGTAGGGGCTGTCGATCTCTTAGCGGCTCTCATCCGCGCTCTGAGGACACCGGCGGGAACGTTGTTGGTGTTGTCGGCGATCTGGGTGAGGGCGAGGTCGTATTGCTCTTCGTGGTCAAGCTGGGATGACTTTTCAGCATCGGGATCGTACGCGTCCTGTCCATCCACCATACTCTCATCGTCAGGCCACTCCCGAGACGGCAACGGAGCATCGGCTCCTTTGGGGTGAGAGGAGTGCATACCCTGCTGCTGATCGGCATCTAAAAGCTCTTCATCATCGTACATGGCGCGCTGGTCAAAGGCGCCGGGGATGGCGCGACGGCCGGTGCTGTGCCTATATTCGAAGGTGTCATCGGGGTCGACTTCGGGTGAGGTGAATTCGTTCTTAACAACAACGGCCTCGGTGGAAGGGCGGGGAGTAAGCTCAACCTCGGTGATCTCTTCATCCTCGGAGTCCTCATCATCATCAACAAGACCGTAGGTGGTGAAGTGCTCAACGGAGAAGGACCAAACACCAGTGGGAATGTCGTAGCTCTCGAAAATGGTATCTGTGATCGTCTTCAGTCTTTCGATGTGTTTCTCAAGGCGACGGCCGCCGACACGAAGTCCGCCACGAGGGTAGCTGTGCTCGAGCGAGATCAACGCGGGAACGTTCAGGCCCTTGCCAACCGGGGGCTTGGTGGCGGCGTTGGGATAAACGGTGCAGGAGCGCGGCACCAAGAGGACAATGTTGTCATACAAGTTCTCGACGTCAATGTTGCTGAGGTCAACGGGGACCTTGAAACGGACACTTCCGACATTCTCGCGACCAACCGTGAAGTCAACAACGCTCTGGCGCTGCACCCTGTTCATGGCCTGGATCTCCTCCAACTTGGGCGACATCCAGTAAGAGCCAGCATCGACCTGCTTGACAGGCTTGGCGTCGACACTAGAAGGAGACGCGACAGAAGACTCCTCGGGAACAATGGCAAGCTCGTTGCCCTTGATCTGCTCCATTTCGGGGGAAGCATCAGAAGCCTTGGAGCCGTTGACAGCGCCGTTAGTGCGGCCATTGGCAGAGGAAGGCTTCAGGAAGCCCAAGTCACTGTCATCGTCAAGATCGTGGAACTCCTGCTGCGAGGCAGCACCGTTCTGGGTCGCCTCAACGTTGCTGGTGTCGAAGCTGACTCTCTTGGTCAACTTACGGGCACTGGTGTTGTTGCCGTCCTGCAGAAGCTTGCCCTTGGCCGCCGGAGACTGGAACAAGTCGCTGCGCATGTCCTTGTTAATGATAAGCTTCTTGTGGCTGCAGCCAAGCAGACGGTTGTTGTTGTTCGCCGAGAAAGCACCGGGGGTGAGGATGCTGTCCTCAGCATTGAAGGTACGGCGGAGGTTAGTGGTGGAGACGGGCTTTCCAAGACCGCGGTTGACGCTACCAGCCAAAAGACTCTGTCCGAAACCGCCGGGGGTGCTAATCGGGGAGGAGTAGGTGCTGTAGTTGAACCCGAAACCCCTCTTCTGGGGCGTAACCATCCGAGAGGCATTCGCCGGGCTCAGCTTGTACATGGGCAGGATCGAGCGGCTCTTGGCCTTGGAAGTACCGTTGAGGGGGGTGGCGAGCGGACCAGGGTTCTGGATTTGGTTGTCAGGCAGGTTAGAGAACAACGTGGCAGCGCCATAGGCGTTGATATCGTTGATACCCGCAGAGAAGGCCTGGGGAGCTTGCTGGTTTTGGGCGCCTCCGAGAAGGGAGGTTCCAAGACCACCAGCCTGCTGCTGAGTGTTGGTCTGTCCAAACAAGCCGGTGCTCTGCTGGGCAGGGGCGCTACCGAAGAGGCCACCGCCAGCAGCGGGAGCCGAGCCAAAAAGACTACCCGCGGGCTTCGCCTGGTTGTTGGCAGTGCCGAACAAGCCGCCTCCCGTGGCAGGCTGCTGGGTCTGCTGAGTACCAAGGCCGCCAAAGAGTCCACCAGTGGCAGCAGGCTGAGCCGGGGTGGTTCCAAAAAGACCAGTGCCAGTCGTAGCCGCAGGCTTAGCACCAAACAACCCACCAGAAGCCTGAGTGGTGCTCGGCTGGCCGAAACCGCCCGTGGTCCCGCCAGTGCCAAAGAGACCACCACCAGTAGCAGGAGCAGTAGTAGTGCCACTACCGAAAAGGCCGCCTGCGGGCTTTGCCTGGGTGTTGCCGAACAAACCGCCTCCTGTAGCAGGCTGCTGCTGAGTACCGAAGCCACCGAAACCCGTGCTTGCGGGCTGTTGTTGGGTTTGCTGCTGGGTACCAAAGAGGCCACCGCCGGTAGCACCAGTGTTCTGCTGAGCAGTGTTTCCGAACAGACCTCCGCCAGTGCCTTGGGTGCCCGTGGTGCCAAAGCCACCGGTTGTACCCGTACCAAAGCCAGTGCCCGTGCTGGTGCCGGTACCGGTGGTAGCACCAGTAGTCCCAAAGCCGAAGCCAGCAGGCTTAGCAGCTTGCTGCCCAAAGAGACCGCCGCCAGTAGTACCAGTGTTTTGACCGAAGCCGGTGGTCGTCGTGCCAGTGCCAGAGCCAAATCCTCCCGTCGTACCGCCGCTACCAAAGAGACCAGTGCCGGTGGCAGGAGTCGTCGTGCTCGATCCGAAAAGGCCACCAGTGGCGGGCTTGTTCTGCTGACCGAACAAACCCCCCGTCGTCTGAGAGCCGAAGCCTCCAGTATTCGCCGTAGTCGAAGAGCCGAAGCCACCCGTCGTGCCAGTAGTGCCGCTGCCGAACAGGCCGCCGCCGCCGGTAGTGGTGGTGCCGCTGCCGAAACCGCCAGTCGTGCCAGTGTTGGCGCCGAAGCCAGTCGATCCAAAGGTAGAGGTCCCGAAAGCACCAGTGCCGCCCTGACCACCGAATCTCCTTCCTTGCTGATAATCGACCAATCTCAACTCTTCGGGGGACCACTTCTTGTAAGCATCCATAAAACAGATGTTCTGGAACGAGACCTGAGACCCATTGGCTTCCTTCTCTTGAAAAGGAGCGAAGGGGACGATCGCGGTGCCCGGGGGGTCGGGAACATTGGTGCCGATGCCGGGGTTGTTGGCGGAACCGAAGGCGCTGGTAGTACCGCCGCCACCGAAGAGGGAGCCGCCGGTGGTGTTGGTGGCGCCGAACCCACCAGTAGTTGCGGGAGCGCCAAAGCCGGTGGTGGTCGCAGGCTTGTTAGCGCCGAACAAACCACCACCAGATCCAAAGCCTGTGCCGGTGGTCGCGGTATTCGAGCCGAAGCCTGTGCTGCCGAAGCCGCCAGTGCCGGTGGTCGCAGTCGTGGAAGATCCGAAGAGACCTCCGCCAGTAGTCGCAGGGGTAGATCCAAAGGCAGGCTTAGCTCCAAATCCGCCACCAGTGCCAAAGCCGCCCGCTGTGTTGGTGCCGAAGCCACCACCTGTCGTGCCAGTAGTGCCGCTGCCGAAGAGGCCACCGCCGGTGGTGCCTGTAGGCGCGGGGGCACCGAATCCAGTAGTGGCTGAGCCGAAACCTGGACGACGAGGTCGCATGTTAGCTTTCGCATGGGACCGCGTGTGGAGTATGACGCAGTAGAGAAGCGAGGGAAGCTTGGAGCTCCGAAAGAGGGAGTTGACAACAACGACGTCGACGAAGGGGAAGGGAAAGGGAAAGGGAAATAAACATACCTGTGCCAGTGGTGCCGGTGTTGGTGCCGAAGCCACTCGAGCCAAAGCCGGAGCCTGTGTTAGTATTCTGGCCGAAGCCACCGCCGCCAAAGAATGACATGTTGTCCTTCTCGCGCCGTCAAGTCGGCGGCAGAGGGACGGGGAAACAAATCGATGATTCGCGCGTTGGGCGCACAATGGGGGTGGAGGCGGTGGGTGATGTGGTCGTTTGTTTTAGCTTTGGTGGTTATGCACTTGTTTGTTGTTGATCAATCGATGCAGACTGATGTATGGATTGAAATGTGGATGCGAATGTTGGATGTTGTGGGTGTGGGGAGAAGAAATGTCTTGGATGCGCGAAGTGGCACCCTTTGACGCGTTGGTCCAAAAAAAACCGACGGTCGGGGGGGGGGGTCGGGCGATGGACGGGTTGACTGACGATAGCCCGGTGCGCGAGTATTTGGGGGGGGGGGGGGAGGAGAGGGGGGCTCGCGGGCAGAAAACACCACAAACAGCCTCGTCTATACAGATTTGGATAATGGGCTGGTCAAAACACAACTAAAAGATCAAAGAATAGCGGTGAAGCTAAAGACTAGAAAAAGGGTGAATAGTAAGGTAAGTAGCCAGCTGAGATATCGCAAAGCGTGGACCACCTCCTTCAGTTGGTTCTTGAAGGGTTTCTTTCTACGCCTTGTCCCGTTCTGCTCTGTAAGGCAGTCAGTGAGCAGTGCTTGGCTGAATCCGGTCGGGTGGTGAAGGCGCGATGAGAGTGGTGAACGACAACGGAACGACACACTTTCAAGCCGATGGACTCCAGACAGACAGACAGCCTGGAAAACACAGACCAACACAACCGGGGCAGCAAGAGAACCAACTTGAGACAGAAGGGAACCTGGGCGACTCGTCAAATTTGCTGGGGAACAACTGAACAGCGGCCGGGCCCAAGCCAAGAACTAAGGATCCACTCTTAGCCTGTCCTCCAACCAATCATACGATGTGGATGATACTCTAGTCCAACTGGATTCTTAAACAGCGGGAAATGGCTCGTGCACCACTTTCGCCCGCGCAGGCAGTTGGACCAAGCAAGAGGGAAGAACGGAACTTAGCTATGACCACCTGATGATAATTGGTCAAAGGTAACAACCGTAACATTCAAATCAATGACACTTTGAACAGACCCGGCAGAGACACAGATAGACCAACAAGGCGACAGTCAGTCAGGAAGAAATAAAGTTGAAAAAAGAAGATGATGGATGACTCTAGCGAACAAACATTTCAAGGCAACTCTGGCAGCTCTTTATACTTTCCCAAACTACCCTAAAGTCTCCTCTCGTCCCGACAGCCCGCCGACACCTTGGTCATCTCACTTTCTCAATCACGTGGTCACACATCCGGCGTAGTTGCCTGGACTCTTTGCACACTAGTTACCTCGATTCAGCGACCTGGTTGGCGAAGAGGCCCAGCTTATTAATGAAGCCAAGTCTGCCTTGCGGGATTGCTTAACAATTACTAACAGATCACGACGGGTTCGACCACTCAGACAAGATTGTGTGTGTTGTTCGCCGACATTCTCTGCTGATAGCCTCACTTTGGGAGATCTTGGTGCTGTTTCAACTGTGTCAGAATTACGAGAGCACCGATTTAGAAGGTAATAGGGTATAAATCCCCCGGTGTTGGACGGTTCGTTGTTCTCGTCTTCTCGGTCGTTCTGGTGTGGTTGTGCTGTCTCAGGCATGGCAAAGTTTCGAAAAACACATTTGTCGCTTGCGAAATCTCAAATACGTTCCGTGGATTTCTTATTCTTTCAGGTTGTCTCTTGCCATTATCACCAGTATCTGCTTGAAGTTGCTCGACTAGCTCGTCGCGCTGATCATTTCCCCGTGTTGCCTTGAAATCAGCCGTGCCACTCTACTTATGTTGAGATCGAATGGCGACTGGAATCTATCTACACCCCCAAACACACCATGAACGTGGAAACATTGAACACTCGTGTAATAATGCGTCTTTGAAAAAGATAAAGAAAAAGTAACTGGGGGTCTCTAGAATAATACCATACAAACAAAATCCCAACCCTATACACCATGAAATCAACAACAACGCAGTCAGAGTTTTAGAGCCACTCCCCAATCCAATAACTCTGTTCCTCTCTCTCACACACCTTGCTCTCACTCCCTGCCTGCTCCCGATTCTCTAGGTTGTTTCTCCACCTCTTTCGCTATTCAGGCCCCTTCTACTCAGTTGCTCGACCTTTGAGCACTCTTGACACCGCCACCGGCTTCATCTCCCTCCTCCTAGAAAGAGATCAAATCACCCTGGCCACCCTGCTGTTGCCTTTGCTGTTGCTGACCACCCGCCGCAAATGGGTTGCTGCTACCCATCTGCTGCTGCTGATATCCCCCGCTCATACCGCCGTAACCCATGTTCATGCCCATACCGGCCGGCCCCGTCGCCGCAGGCATCTGCTGACCTCCGTACGATACCGTCGGCAAGCCCGTGAACTGCTGCTTCAAGAAAGGGTTGTTACCCGTCGCCTCGGTCGTGATCTTATTCAGGCCAGCACCTGCACTGTTGACAAACGTTCCAGGGGCGGTATGTTGCGCCGGAATACGGAGATTACCCGTGTTGCCGAACGTGTCCATGCCCTCTCCGCTGGCGAGCAGGGCGTTAAGCTTCTGCTCGTGCTCGCTGAGTTCTCGCTGGGGCTGCTGCGGTTGCTGTTGAAACTGAGGTTGTTGCTGCTGGGGCTGCTGCTGTTGCTGGGACTGCGAGCCAAAGGTATTAAATGGCGAATTAGAGGAAGTGACGGAGATTTGGGGGAAGGATGATAGCGTCTTTTGCTCGGGGAGGCTGCTCAATGCCGGCATCGATGGCGCCTTGTACGGTGACTTCTGCGCGAATGGGTTGTTCGATCCTGTCGGCATTGGCTTGATGGCTGACTGCTGGTTGTTGTTATTGTTGCTGGCCCAAGGGTTGTTACTACCGGGCTGCAACGTCGACGAGGAGTTGTCGAATTGGGGCTGCTGTTGCTGCTGGTTCGCGTATGGGTTGTAGCCCGTTGGCTGGGCCATGAAACCTTGGGGCTGTTGCTGCTGCTGTTGTTGACCGTAAGGATCGTAGATGCCGGTAGGCTGGGGCTGGAAGCCGTTCTGGAAGCCGTTCTGGTATCCCGTCTGCTGATATCCCATTGGTTGCTGCCCGTACCCGGTGAATGCATTGTTCATGTAAGCAGTTTGTTGAGCCTGCAGCTGGTTCTGATCAAGTGGGTTAGCAAAGAAATCCACCGCACTGCCTTGCTGATAGCCTTGGTTGAAACCGGTGAACTGAGGCTGGGTCGTCTGCGCTGGGGTATCATCAAACAAAGCCGCGGCATTCGTCTCCTCGAGCTCCCGTCGCCTTCGCTCCTCCTCTTCCTTGCTGAGCTTGATGGCTTTGGCGAGATCATCGTCGTCCACCTCGGCGAGAGCCCTCTCACGTCGTTTCCTGTCCTCCTCCTCTTGGTGTTTGCTCGCTTCGATCGCCAACTTGTACTCTGCATCGTCCTCGTCGGCATACTGTGCTCTATGCTGCCGGGGGCGGGGACGCGACGGTTCGGCGTGGTGCTGGGGCATCTCCTCCCCGTACTGCATACGCGATTTCCAGGCTCTTCGGTCAGTACGCTCCTCGCGCAACCTCTCCTCGTCCAGGAGCAGCGCAGTAAGATCCTTGGCGGCGACACGGACTGGTAGTAGAACGTCAGCATACTGAAAACAAGGCCTCCAATTGGCGTGGGTTCCCTACCGTTGTTTCCAACATCCTTGCCCTCCTCGTCAATGTATTGGAACTCGCGCAGGGTCTTGATGATAAAGATGTTCTGCTTGGCCCACGTCACCACCATCTCGGATCCCTCGTGCAAAATGTAGTCCATAACCTTCAATGCCTTCAGGACGTGACGCCAGTTCTTGCCCTTATCGTTCAGTCGCTTGTCGAGCATGTCCATGATTTCGTAGAACTCGGTGCTTCTGCAGTTGGTACAACAAGTCATTAACGGGAACTCGGTGTAGTCGCTTGAGGAACTCGAGACGGTGAACTTACGTGCCGTACGTCATCTGGGCGATTTGCCCCATCTGGGTTCCTGTAGGTCCCCATGGGTCGTTACTTGTCGCTATAATCGATCAAAGGCGTCAATGTCAGTCAAGCCATGTCTTCAAACGAGGTGGTGATGTGTGGCTGTCGGCCAGCGAGCCAGTTGGAAGCGCACATTGCCAAGGACGACATGGCATCACACGCAGCGGGAGAAGCGCAGTGGGTGGAAGAAGGATAGAGGCAGTAGCGACAGCAGAAAGAGAGCGAGGAATGACCCACCATCGCGCACTTTGACCTGGGCGGCCGAGTAACCCTTTGTGACGTTTTTGACGCTGCGAATTACCTTGGACATGATGGGCGGGCTTCTTCGACGTCGAAGAAGCTACTAAGCTGATAGATCGAATCGATGTCAAAAAGAAAGAGAAGAATGAGAGGCTGTGTCGGGGGAGTCTCGCTCAGCGGGACAGTTCTCGTTGCGTGTCGCGGGAAGCCGTCGGTTCGGTGGTTAGCGTCTGATTACAATCAGTCGGCAGTGGAGCTATTGCAATTACAGACGGGCAGGGAAGGTGGTTGATGTTGTAGTGCGACGGTTTGGCGATCGGTCCACGCCGCTCACAAGGTACTTCGGTACGATAGGCCGTGGTTTCAAATTATATTCGCTCGGCTTGTTGTGTGTACCGTTCCAAAAGCTGTGCCTTTGTCTTGCCGTGTGTGTGGTCTGGAGCGCGCAGGTTCAAGGTCGGTCTTGTTCTAAACTCTGGGGTAAATTGGTCGTCTGGGGATCCTCGTCCGTCAACAGGACAGCGGCGCCGGGGGGAGTGGGAAAAGATGTTGACCGGGTGGAGGAGGGATTGGATGTTTGGAGATTAGGCTGGACGATTGGCGTGTGAACCTAGGTAGGTTAGGAGGCGTCAATTGGGAGCAGGTGATTAGGGCGATGTTGGGAGGAACAGGACGGAAGAAGTGGAAGAAGGAAGAGGGACCTGAATGAGAGGGGCCAAGCTCAGCAGTTGGCCACCAACTGTTACAAATGTGACGATGCGACGCGCAAGCAAGTGTTCAGGTCCAGTCCAATGCGCAAGGAACTCCCGTCGGTTTGTTGGAAAGAAACCTCTCACTACTAACCAACCACCACCAGCAAGTAGCCTTTAGGTATTGATTCGAGCTTGTTTTGGGCAATGTATCGTTGGGTACCTAGTGTAGGTACATAGAGGTAGAAATCCCTCTCCCCAGCCTGGGCTACCTACCTAGGTTGAGATTACGCAGTTGATTCGGTCCCAAGCAACCCTAACAGCCCCAGGTGATGTTCCCTTCTCATCATCTTTTCAAGATTACCCGCCTGTTAGTGCTAGACCCCTTTCGGCAGCTTATACCGTAGCCGATCATTATGTCAGGGTCATGTACCTCTACCTATCTGGGCTGTAAGTAGTCCAAATATCCGAACCCAACCCACTGTCAGCCTTTGATTTCTCCTTTGCGTACCTTATATCCGTCGACGACTACCGAATTGTTTTCCTACCTGAGTTGTCATGTGTTAGGTAGTAACCAACCCCTCCGAGTCTGATCACTGCCCTGCGCCATCCTGGGCGTGCTGCTGCGGTGACGAAAGGCCGTGAGTGGCTTGGCACGATCCCCCAATTCAGTTCAAGTTCCACTTGACTCCAGGTCATGTCACTGCCCATCACTCATTCATCGGCATCCCCCTTTCCCGGAACCAAGCAGGCAGTTCTCAAACAACCTAAGTACCTCTACGCTGCCTTCCATCTTTGTGTTATGACCGGGACCAGTCAGACTCTCCCAATGAGGAAGAAATCATGCCCAACAATATCAATCCCTCTCCTCTTATATCATCAGGGATTTACTCCACGAATTGTGCCTGACTGACATAATGAGAATTGATGGGGTCCCACTGAGCTCAACCCAAGTGTGTTGTGAGATAGGCTATCCATTCACAGTCTGTTGGTGTACCTTGTTCCTGGATTTCTACAAGTATGATGGGGACCCTTTTTCCCTGCAGAGGGGCTTCGAGTTCCAGCAAATGACGTAAACATTCACGACTTGCCCTGAGGAGAAAGGCTCTTTTGCGACGGGACAAGTGACGAACGGGGGGAAATCATTCGCGGAAAGAGTCAAGCAAAATTACAAGGGCAGAAATGGGCTGCATATGCAGTGGAACACCCTTGTGGAGATTTTTTCTGGGTTTTGGTATTCTTCTAGAAATAGAAGCAATAACAGTGCTGCTGAAGTTATCACGACGGAAAACATTACCAGAGCCGGGGTTACCAACTACATTCACGATGCGATTGAGGGGGTCTTCAAGAGTAAATAACTGCTGCGCATCACATTTCAAGTGCTGATGCTACATACGTAAAGAACAATGATGCCCCTCGCTATCAAATGCTATGGACCTATACCGCCGACCAACCAGACTCCGATTGCCCTACTGACGCCATGGCCTATCCGTGATGCCCTCATCAGGCCCTAATCTTCAACAAAATAAAAAAGGTGAATGGAAGAAAATAAAAGAAAAACAAATTTCAAGCCAGCTTGCCTTCCCCATCTTTTGAAATAAACGTAACAGCAAGGTAAAATAGTAGAGTAGAAAATAAATGAAACAACATGGGGTCGAAGAGACTGACAGGAGGTAAGAAGAGGAAAGAACAAGAGGGCGGGCATCGACATGTTCGAGAGGGAAAACCCCGTCAGGAGTCGTCATGGCCGCCATCGCCATCGCCATCACCATCATCCTGACCATCCTCACCATTGTCACCACCATTCTTCAGATACGAGTCGTCAGTGCCGTAACCCGGGTCACGCCACCATGCTCTATTGGGTTTTGTTCTCCAGGTTGGCGGCGCTGAAGCAGGACGGTTGGCTGAAGCGGGATTCGGAGACGCAAACCTTACCACTTTCCGTGGTCTTCCCCTTGGCCGTCTTCTTGGTGTGGCCCTTGCTCCTCCCTCTTCACTTCCTGTCCCTCTTATCGTCATCTCCGGCCTCCATGATAACGCTACTGATTCCTAATTGTCGTCATCCTTCATGGTAATATCTGCTTGTTCGTCTTCTCCGCCGCCATTGAAGCTGTCGCCGTTATTGGCACTCCCAGCGTCCTCTCCGTTTCCGTTCGCGCCAGAAGAGTTAGCACTCCGGCTCCCACTCCCACTGCCACTACCGCTCATGTTGTAACCGGCGGCGCTCTCCGCAGCAGGGGTAACATGCACCGTATCCCTCATCCCTTCCTCGCCCTCCTTCTTCGGTGTCGTAGAATCGAGCGATTTCTGCTTCGCCAGCCAACCAGGAGGAAAACCCGGGCCACTCTCGGCGTTACCGTAGTCGCTCTTCTTGGTACCCTTGGGCCAACGGCCAGGCCCGCGACCGGTGCCACCTGCTTTGCGCTTGCTGCTGCTGCTACTGCGGGGCTTGATGGCCGAAGATACGCGGCGGACACCGCTCGTACGGCGAGGGTTTCGTGGCCGGGCGGCGCTGCCGCCGTTGGTGCGGACGGCTGGTAGGCGGGCAACGGTGTTTCGGATGCGGTCGACGCCGGCCCCGCGCCGGGAAGTGTTGACCGGTGGAACGACCTCGAAGCGAGTAGGCGGGATACCCTCATATTGGGCCATCCAGTCGTCGGGGTTCTCTTTATCTTCGCCATCGGCGTCCGGTTCGGTCTTAGCTTTCCGGTCGTGGTCGTCGTTAGGGTGGACGGAGCCGTGGACGGAGCCGTTGGGAAAGAGACCGTTGGTTTTAAGGACGGATCGAGGGGAGATAACTTCGGGCTGGACGATACCCAGCTCGTTAGGCTCGGTTGACTCGAGAATGGTTGGAGCTGAGGTGTCAATCTCCATCTTTTCGACCTGATTTGCCAGACCGTCAGGCTGAGGAGCATTACCGTTGAGAACGGTTCCTTCTTCAACCGTTGGCTTGGTCTCGTCGTCCTCCCTAGGGGCGATGGCGTTTAGTGCTGGCCCAAGCTCAAAGTTCGTGGCATTGCTCCGGCCCATAACGTAAGGAGTCCATGTGAGGGCTTTTGGTTCCAGCTGAACGTATTTCTTGGCCTCCCACTTTGCGACGTACTCCCGGCAGTAAGGTAGGTCGACGCGGAAGGCATAAAGTTGGGTCTGGGGATCGCGCACCAAACATCTCAAGCCCTCCAGTGATGAGATGACGTCGTCTGGCGTGAGGCCCGTGTCATCGGAGATCTTCTTGATACTCAGACCTTTCTTCTCCTTGGGATCACCGGAGCAGTGCTCAAGGAGGTACTTGCACATCACCAACCTCCAGTAGTTCCGGTAAGACACGAGGCCCATGTCGGAAAGAGGCTTTTCTGGGGAGCCAGTCTTTTGCTCGACCCTGGTGAGGAGATAGGAGAAGTCGATAAGGAGGTTGCCGTATCCCTTTCGTTGGTGGATAGGCAAGGTGAGAATACACGAGACGTTGTTCTGACTACTCGCGCGCTTTTCCTTGGAAAAGTATCCGACGAAATGGTAGCCATATTGGTCATATTCACAGAGGACGTAGAAGAGAAATGGCTCCACGTCGTAATAGAGGGTCTTGGACCCAAGGAAGAGCTTGGCCAGCAAGCAGAGATTCTGGCAGTAGACCGGATTTTTGCGTCCGTCGACTTCAAAGACGGATATCGAGCCATGGCGATAAATCTCGTCGCCTGGTGGGTGTTTTGCGGGGCACTTAAGCTTATGTCTCCATGCCACATAGTCGGAGTTCATGTACTTGAGGCAGAATTCGCAGATATATAGAACCCGATTCCTGCTGTATTCCTCAGGATATGGTGCGGCATACCATGTGTCAATCTCCCAGCCTCCGAACTCGATGCACTCGATTTGGCTGGCTGGACCGGCCGTCTTCTTGGACTTCTTGACTGGTGCTTCGATCTCGGCTTGCATCTTCAAGAGTCGTTGTCGCCATTCCTCCTCGGCCATTTGCTTCGCTTCATCGAAACGCCGACGATCCTCGGGTTGAGGTAGTGTCTTGGACGTGTCCGCCTCGGCGTCGGTGAGGATGCCACCGTACGGCTTTCCCTTGAGTTCATCTGTCTCCTTATCGTAGAAGGAATAAAAGGGTTGGGTATAGCTTGTGCTAGCGAACGGTGCCGTGGAAGGTTCCATTGCATCAGCTGCTGCGGCCGCCCTGCGCGACCGACCTGATCTTCCTGACGTTTTACGCCCAGACCGTCCTGAACGGCCGGATCGACCTGATCGAGCAGACCGGCTTGATCGCTTGCTGTTCCCCTTGGGTGGTTGCGATGTTATCTGCTGTAACTTGGTGGGATCTACACGCATGCGCAGCAAGATGCTGCTTCGTGTCTTCTTGACGATGTTGACCGGGGCCGCAGGATTGGAGATCTTAATTCGCAATGACCGGGCCGATGTCGGCCTCGCTTGTTCGTCGTGGCCGGCTGTGCTCTCATCGGGTTCTTCTTCGGTGCCCACGGTGTTCCGGCGTCGCTTCCTAAGGCTAATTATGTGCTCTGGGGGTTCTACTGAAGACGTCTTACGTTTCCTAAGTACGCGGGATCCATCCATAGGATCCTCGTCCAGCACGAGTTGGTTGAAGACGGAGTGGGAGTCCGGGTTTGTGTGTTTTTGAGGAGGCAGAAGGTCCCTAGCCAGTTTGGGTGCTGACGCTCGGCGTGTGGTGGGGTGGGTAATGGTTTCCGTCCCGTTCACCTGCGTCGGCTCGTGATTCTTCCCCGCGGCGGTTTGTGACCCTTCTTCACTGGCGCAATTCGGACATTTCCAGGCGTCGAGTGCTAGTTATGGTCAGTGTACGTAATGTAACATCAATGGTATCGATGCGGAAGGGCTCCATTAAGTTCGTACCTTGATCACTGGGCAACGCATTCGCTTCCCTTGCACACTGCTGGTGGGCTACTAGCCGTCAGCTTCTAGCTTTCTCTCTTACCAGTTCGTAATCCATCCCGTAATTTCAACAGAACAAGATGTACTGACCGTTGTCTCCACATCCAGCACATGCAAGATACTCCTCGAATTCCTCGGCCGGGTCGTGGTCTTCGTCTTGCTTGCAGAACATGCAAAGTCCACTGTCTCCCTTTTCGGAACCCTCGTCATCATCGTCCTCGTCGCCCGCAGGTTCGTGCTCAGCCGCATCTTCCCAGTGTACCTCGTCCTCGGATTCCGCATCACTGACGCTCGCCGAACTTGCCGACGAATGGTCGTCTTCCTCCTCCTCGCTTTCACTTTCGCTATGGTCAGTGTCACCCGGTTTTATCTTGACGGCACCGACACCCTCGTCATCGTCGTCCTCGTCATCGTCATGGTCCTCCTCCACGCTTGGTAGGTGTTGTTGCGAGGTATGTTCCTCGGAGTGGACGGAGTCGCCCTCGTCTCCTTCGGCATCTTCATCGAACCCCTCGGGGTCTTCACCGTCGTGTTCCTCTTCTTCGCCGTGTTCATCACCGGAGTCTTGGTGGTGGTCGTGGTCATCATGGCCGTCGTGGCTGCCTTGGTCCGAGTGTTCGGCATCGTCGCCTTCGCCCATTTCCTCGTCGTGGTGGTCGTTCTCTTCCTGTGCATCGTGCATCTCTTGGTCTTCGTCGGCCTCGCTAGGCTCGGGCTTGGCGATGATGTTGGACGTCTCGGAGGTAATAGTGACTTGGTCGACCATTGCGACGTCCCCGTCAGCGGTACTGGCCTCAGCCTGGTGTTCCGACATCATGACGCTCTGCTGCAGCTCCTCCGCCCTGAGCTGCTCGTCGGCCATTGCAGGTTGTGTGTGTTCTGTTTTGTCCTTGTTGGTTGTCCGCTTTGTTCTCAGCACCCGGCCTGGCTTCCCCGCACGGGCACCCCTTTGGCAAGTCTCGTCAAGCGTAACCTGGCCAGAGGGCACTCATACCAGCTAGCTCGAAGTTGGTGTTTCGGGCCTTATCATGCCTGGAGATGGATGAACAGTAGAAGGCGACCCAAGTTTATGTATCGGCGACAGTTTTCTGTGTGGGTGTGGTGCTTGGAGGCCGCAGCTGCGAGACGCTGGTGCCTACTGGAAGCAGGTGATTTTGTTTGCGACAGCTCGAAAGGGGGGTTGAAAACGCGCTGATCCGGGCGACAAGGCTGCGTGTATCGTGTCGTTCTGCGGTCGCACTAGGTCGATGATGTCAAAAGACGCGTCGCGTAGTTGTTCTTTTGTCGTGGAGGGCCGTAGTCAGTGCTCAAAGTGCCAGTGTGCTTGTTCGCGGAGTGTTGTCCCTGAGAAGTTGCCCGTCCCTTTGGAGTTCCAGACGCCCTTACCAATCGAGGTTACGTTACCGGGCCGATGTACGTGCAAGGGTACACGTGCTTAGTCAGTTGCAATGCAACCGCCAAGCTTCCAGCTCCTGCGGGTCCAGGCGGGTTGGTGGGGGGGTGGTCTCTGCTCCACTGGAAACATCCCAGGCGACCGAAAGCTTCCATTTCCAGCTGATTTCCACTTCCTTTGAGCGCCTGAGGCATCCGCGGCCCGTCTCCGCCAATTCGTCCAAGACGCTCCACGGCATCTGCCATCCCATCACCGCACCAGACTTGGGACCTGTATCCCGGCCACTGCAACTGCTTAGCTGCGGATTGTCACAACAGAGAAGCCACAACATAATCATACCATTGCACAACGACTTTAGGTCGGTTCCAAGTAATTCGAAAAATAGTGTTGCGGCTTGGCTGACCGAATTGACTAGGTCCAGAGAAACCGCCGCGATGCCTGTCCCATTCGAGGCCCTCATTCCCTATGCCATCATCGTCACGGTAAGCTCCACCGGATCAGTGCGCCCGGAGCGGGGTGGGGGGATCGGGTCCCGCTGACGGAAACCTAGATGTTCGGCGTCACGGGCGCCGGCCTGTCTGCCATCAAGACTGCCCAGAACGGCGGCAAGAAGGCGAGATGGTCGTTGGATACCTGGGATAGAGTGCGTAAACCCTCTGCTACTCGTTGAGCTCATGGGCTAACTGTTGTATAGCAAAGTACGCACCACTTATACCTGCGAACTGCGCGAGTCATGATGCGCCTTTGCGCACATCCACCCTGACAGCGACTGACAATTGGTGTTTTTATAGTGATGGACCGCGACCGCAGACTTACCGGATGGTTACGAGGGCAAACAGATGCCGCAGATGCGCCTTATGGGTTTGAGTACAACAACCCGTGGAGAGTATGTTGCTTTGATTTCCGAGCTTTACGATACACATGGACTGACTGACACATGCACTTCCAGGTTGAGAAACGGTTTTCGTGATTGGTCAACCGACCTTTAAAACAGCCACCTCCAGGGCGGATTGTCAAGAAGATTATCGAGAGAACCAGGCTCACCAACGATATCACGACGACCCGCACCGACGACCACTTACCGATACGTTCGACGATGTCAATACGGCGCCCTATTCGGGCCATACCAGCCGTGCGGGAAAACAGAACGCTTAGATACAGGCTAGGTAGACAGCACTGCCTAATGGTGCTTCCACAGAGTATAGAATGCTTTTCAGATCTGAATCTGTGCTCTGTTCTTGTTGAGACCCTCCAAAAGCATGCATGCCTGACAAATCTCCTGACTAGACATGTAACCGCAGCGCTTGCAGTTACCCAATGTCTGCCGTGTTACTGGCTTGGGGTTCCTGTTCGTCTTCAAGGGCACTGCACCATCTGTCTCTGATTCCGGTGCCTTGCCGGCCAAGGAGAGCTTTGAGACATCAACCTCGAGCTCTTCGGCAGCCTCGTTCTCTCTCAGCTGCTTCTCCATGGCGGCCATCTCGTTGCCAGAGGCAGCTCCGTTTGAACCACAGCCGCCAATGCCACCATCATCCTCTGTAGCAGTTGCCGCGGGTGGCTTGGATTTGCCCTTGCAACCACAAGATGAAGCCGACTCTCCTGGTACTAATCTCGCCATGTCCTCGCCGCTACGGAGAATATCCAAAATGGCGCTCGGTCGTATCCTCTCCAGTTGCTTGATCAGAGCTCTTGCCGTGCCGCGGAACGCCTCCGGGCTGTAAATGCACTCTGTGCTAAAGTAGTCCAACTTCTTGTGATACGCATACATGACAATCTCCTTTTCGTAAGCATACTTGAGCGGCTTACTCCTCTTGACATCAGAACTGTCGTCTCCAGTTACAATGTTCGTACTCCGTGCCAGGCGTCCCATGTCTCCACGCAGTAGGTTCATGAGAATCGTCTCGGCCACATCATCGGCGTTGTGTCCCGTTACCACGTGCTTGATGTCGAGCATTTTGGCCCCACGATCGAGCGCCTGTCGTCGGAAGACGCCGCAGTATGTGCAATTGCCCTTCTTGCCAATCGTCTCGACGACCTGGTCCATCGTCCACCCGTAGAGCTCATCATACCCTACAATCTTCAACGGCATGTCGTACTGCACGGCATTTCGCTTGACCGTCTCCAGGGAGTCGTCTCGGTAACCCTTGATGCCTTCATCGATACTGAGTAAAACGAGTTCGAGTCCGTAGTTGTAACGTTCGTTAAGAGTCTTGAGGACTGAAGCGAGCACAGTTGAGTCCTTGCCGCCTGACGCGCCGATAGCCACTCGCTCGCCGGGGTAAAATAGTTTAGATGATACGATGGTATGGTGAACCTCCTCCTCGAATAGTGTAAGGAAGCAGCCCTTGCAGACTCTGGCGTGGTTCTTCGGCCGCTTGATGTTTGCTCGCTCGGTTTTGCAGATGGCGCAAAGTGCTGGAGCCATCTTGGCTGAGATGAAGGGGGTTGAGTGAAAGACTGAGATGGGTTGTCGTCGAATACTATTTTGAGGGTTCCTTCCTGAGTCCACGGTGTTTTTTATGCTGGGAAAGTTATTTGCTGCGTAACCAAGTGTCCAGACCCGACCTCACGTTGAGACATGCCGATGTGCTGCAGTCATCAACAAATTATTTGTAAGATGCGTCAAAGGAAGGCATCAGCGTTTAAGACAGGCCGCGGCCTGGACCAGACCAGAAAAATGCGATAAGCTGCCTGGATTGCCGATAAGGGACACACCGTGGCGTTTGCCCAAGACCTGACCAAGCTTGCTGTAACGCCCCACTCATTTTCCAGTCCAGCCACAGCTGTCTCTCTCCGTCAGCCCCCACCAAGTGGACACCAGCCGCAAAATATCCGCCAACCCTAAAAATTCCACCACCACTTTTTCTCCGCGCGTTGGAATTCTCGATTTTGAATCTTTGTCTGTTGCACCTCACGTACACTTAGGAACCTGAGCCAACGCCGATAATCAAAATGGTAAGCACCTGAACGACTACGACTCGATACTCACGACCTCTGCGATCGTCTTTACGACGCGCGCATGTGGGATATGTTGGGAATGCTCTTGATCTCTGATTGAGTTGCATGTTTTCCGCTCGTCGGTCCTTCGGGGCCGCGGGTGATGACCTGGCTTGAGTTGGATCCGCGTGCATGGCAGAAATGCTTGCCCGGCCACTCTCTAGAGTTAACGAAGACTGAAGTCAAATGGACCAAAACATTTACTGATGTCTTCTTCTCAATGATAGCCTCAGAAGTCTGGCAAGAAGGCCGCTCCGGCCCCCTTCCCCCAGGGTAAGGCTGGCAGCAAGAAGGCGCCCAAGGTAAGCAAAAACAGCTCCATCTCCATCTGCCTCTTCGAATCTCGGTGTGCTAACATGCAAACAGAACCCTCTCATCGAGAAGCGCCCCCGCAACTTCGGCATTGGCCAGGCTATCCAGCCCAAGCGCAACCTCTCGCGCATGGTGAAGTGGCCTGAGTATGTCCGCCTCCAGCGCCAGAAGAAGATCCTCAACATGCGCTTGAAGGTCCCCCCTGCGCTCGCCCAGTTCCAGCAGGTTCTCGACAAGAACACCGCTGCCCAGGCTTTCAAGCTCCTCAACAAGTACCGCCCTGAGACCAAGACCGAGAAGAAGGAGCGTCTCCTCCAGGAGGCTACCGCCATCAAGGAGGGCAAGAAGAAGGAGGACGTCTCCAAGAAGCCCTACGTTGTCAAGTACGGTCTCAACCACGTTGTTGGCCTCATTGAGAACAAGAAGGCTTCCCTCGTCCTCATCCCCAACGATGTCGACCCCATCGAGCTCGTTGTCTTCCTCCCCGCTCTCTGCCGCAAGATGGGCATCCCCTATGCCATCATCAAGGGCAAGGCTCGTCTCGGCACTGTCGTCCACAAGAAGGTATGAAGCATCCGATAATCCCAGAGCTACAGCATGCAGTGAACTAACATGGTATGTCTCAGACCGCTGCCGTCCTCGCCCTCACTGAGGTCCGCGCTGAGGACAAGAACGAGCTCGCCAAGCTCGTCTCCGCCATCAAGGAGGGCTACCTCGAGAAGAACGAGCAGGCTCGCCGCCAGTGGGGTGGTGGCATCATGGGCGTCAAGTCCCAGATGAAGATTGCCAAGCGCAAGAAGGCTCTCGAGAACGCCATCAAGGTCTAAATTCGACCTATGGTGTAATCCAGAACGGTTGGGACATGGCGCTTACACTATCGGTTGGCGTATTGGACATACCAAAATCAGATCAGGGTCAAATGAACTGCCTACTTCCGCCGTAGCAGACGTCCCAAGGTTGCTTTCAGACGTTGTGAATAACAAATGATACCCAGTTTTTGCTTTCTTCCAGTGTGATGAAGACCCATCTCCCTTCCCCCCAGGTCAGTTTACCATGGATTCCCGATCCCATCCTCCCATTCCCCCATCTCATCGTGAACTTGAACGGCATTAGTGTGTACAACATTGAGCTCATATACCCACGCTCATGTGTTGAAGGATTTTATCGTGCCAAGATAAACTTTTTGCCCTACTATTACCAAACACTTTAGTCCTCTTTGCTCTCGGGACTTTCGTGCATGAAAGTAGTGCTACATGCCATCACTTGACGATGGTTTACTTGACTGTTTTTTGACTTTTGGGTTCGGTCTTTATGGACACGAGACATTTGGTTCCTTGTCTATCCTTGGCCATGAGGCTGGCCCAAACGGTCTCGATAACATCTTATACAGAATAAATATAATGCTATCTAACAATTGATTTTCTTCATCCTTCCCTTGTTATGTCTGGGTGCTGTTTGAATTGATGGCTATTGCCAAACTCAAAGGAACTGACAGAATCAATGCGAACCGGCGCTAGGGAACGATCGTCAGGGACTGCCCCCCCCCTTGTTGTTGTACCAAAATACCGAGAATCCGGCTGTCCGGTGACGGCGAATCGACTCCGCCGTTGGCAATTTGGGGAAATCTGAAGCTTATCTGCCACTTTGAGGTCAGACAATGGGTGATCCATGATGGGTTCAAAGCTGTCAGAAAGTTTCTGCGCAAAGCACCCTTTTCGCGCCCTCGTGTCCTTCTGGTTCGGATGTATGTGGATGCATTTGATATGGGACCGGGACACCCATGATGATTCCCAGAGTCGCGAGAGCTCTTGTGCTTGGTCCATCCCTCCATTCGATATTTCCGGCGCTGAGAGGGGTTCCTCCACCGGCGTTCTTCACAGTGGCTGACCGGGGCGTGGGTGGTGCCTCCCAAAGTCTGCATCCCAACTCCTCCCACTCGGCCATGCACCGTGACAATGCTGAAGACAGAAGCGCCTTCCCGGCATTTTGTTGAGAAAATACTTCTTATCCTGGACTAAACTCCAGACGAGATTATGGAAACAAGCAGGGTTTGGCTTTCCAGTCCGAGAATATGGGGAAATCTAGTTCATCTACAAAAGCCGGCGGGTGCCCCCCAATATGGCGGGTAGCTGCAGTTCGAAGGTATTTTGATCTTGAAGTCCTTTTGTTCTGATCCCTTGTGCCTCTCCTCGCTCTGATATCAACAACACAACCAAAGTTTGCGCCCTTCGCATCTCAGACTACGGCCGAGTTGAAGACGACGGCCTCCTGAAAAGCATATCCACCTGGTAAGTCCCAATCTCTCTCGATACTTCACTAGACAACAAAGTCAAAAAGATCAACCAGCCTCCGAAAATACCGTTCATGTCGGTGACGGGTCTATTCTTGGCGTGTGGTTGTGGATGTCTGTACTCTGGGACCTTACATTTGGTCCCTCCCGATTCATCGGATCCCGCAAGCCTCAAGTGAATCAGTGGGGTTCAGCTCCAACCCAGTCCACCATCATACGGGGACTTGGTGAGGATACCGGGCATTCCAGGAGATTACAGCCTTTGCTTCTGGAAGATTGCAACTGAACGGTATCGAGTTTCCAGAGGTCTGGTATCGGAGTTGGGACTTGAGAAGAAAAAGAGGGTAGGAGGAGAAGAATCATTCAATCTCATCCGGCTGATGAACCACACAAGACGCCTGGTCAACTCAACAACATCCGTCTACACCATCTCTTCAGTTGTTATTCCACAAGACAGACACCACATTCCGTACGATTGGATGTCCTGTTATCGTGAGCCAATACATTCGGGATCTACAAGCTCCTATACTTACACATGCGTGGACCGCAGGCGGATCTCGAGCTCCTCTAGTCTACTCCGAATCCCGGGTACTGAGCTTACCTTTTGATACCCGCTTCATATTCTTATATCATCCCTCCACTCCTACTCTTACGCCGCCGGCCCGCGTTTCTCTTCTCATCAAACGAACCTATCATCCTCTGTCCTCGCTCGAGCTACTTTTTTGTCCAGGGTCTCAAGTTTGTCCTCCCCCGCTTCAGTCCTGCTGCACGTCTTGCTTTTGCATAACACTGCTGGCTAACACAACCCGATAGTTTAGCGTGACGTATCTTTGCCTCGTCTCTTCAACCTTTGATACCCAAACTCGTTCCATCTTTCAAAATGTCCGCCGATAACACATTCCACTACGCCTTGAGCTCCAACAATGCTTGGGCTGGTTACAAGGCCCATCAGAATCCCCAATTCTTCCCCAAGCTTGCTGGCGGCCAGTCTCCGGAAATCCGTAAGTCATCATTCTATCCCACTTAGCTTGCCTCTCTTTTATCTGTCCTAACTTGGTATCAACAGTCTGGATCGGTTGCTCCGACTCTCGCTGCCCCGAGACCACTATTCTGGGCATGCAACCCGGTGATGTCTTTGTCCACCGCAACATTGCCAACATCATCTCCCCCACCGACATCAACACTACGGCTGTGATCGAGTACGCCGTCGCCAATCTCAAGGTCAAGCACGTTGTTCTCTGTGGCCACTCAGCCTGCGGTGGTGCGGCCGCCGCCCTTTCCGACGTCCGGGTGGGTGGCGTTCTCGATACCTGGCTGCTCCCTCTCAAGACGGTCCGCTTCAACCACGCCGAAGAGCTCGAGGCCATCACAGACGAAAAGGAGCGTATCATGCGCATCGCCCAGCTCAACGTGGAGGCAGGCATCAAGGTGCTCATGAACAACGCCACGATTCGGGAAGCCATTGCGGAGCGTGGGCTCGAGGTCCATGGTGTGTTCTTTGATATCAGCTGCGGACGCATCAAGGAGCTCGGGTGCGGCACGGCTCACGCGGGAAAGGGCGACCATGTTGTTAGGGGCAAGCATGGTCAGCTTGTGTTTGGACAGGATGGCGAGGCTGCGATTGCTGCTGCGCAGTAAAGTACACCAAACTCAACAAGAACATGGAAGCACATGGTTGAGGTTCATGTTAAGATTGCGGGGAAAGATTTACACTACACTAGCGAGTTCGCCAACGGGCGACCAAGAGACGGGTTGCAATGGTGTAACGGTGCCTTTTCTGGGGGTTTGGCTTGGTAGACTTGGCAGGTCGCGCGGGATGTCATGGCGATCTATCGGGTGTTGAGCAAGCCGGGCAAAGGGCATTGACATGTTCGGCAACGAGATGTTTTGCATTTTTGGGTCATTTGGGCATGGATTATCATGCTGTTGGAGAAATTACATGGATGGAGGGACTCGGAAGAAGGCTGGAGCAGCAGCAAGCAGCACAAGATCCTGACAGTCCGTGCTTTTCTCATTATGGTTTACATCCTTATCACGGATTTTTCTACGGAGGAGCATGTCATTGCATGGAGTTGAGAGTTGAGTTGGTTTTTTGGGATATACAGAATACATGATTCATATTTACCTACAGGGCAATGTTCGATATTCATGATGTTCCTTACTGCTGTCCTGGCCCTTCTATCGTAATGTTGACCCAAGAGCTTTTCACGAGGACCTGGGTGACGGTGAACAGAAAATGACCAATAGAAAATCACGACTTATACAAGCACACAGCCATCATTAGCTTCCGCGGGTTCCGTTATCGCAACCATTTGACGGGCAGATGGACAGTACATGACTCGAACGCAAAGATGGTGCGAGATTGCTGATTCCAGAACAGACAGAGAACACTAGCGGTCAAGGTTTCAGGAATTCGAGAGTCTACATAGCATTCATGACATGCAGGCAAGCAATTCTTGACAATGTGCATTGTTTGGCTGTTGTTGGTGAGTGGCTTGCAACAGCAACCGACAGTCAGCACAGTGAACCCTTATCGGTGTTTCCGGATAGTGTCCATCATTGAATCCGCAGGATACACCTGACCCTAACCCTACAAGCAGAGCCGTTGCTGTACCCCTCACTGTACTTTGGGGAACGACAGGTAACCCCACCTCACCCACCTTCTAAAAATGCAATGGACGACTTTTCGAACGAACAGGCGGCCTTCATCCCCTCCTCCGGTTTCCGGCCATGACGTGAAATGTTCAAGAGAAGGAAAGAAAAAAGAAAGCAACCACGTGCTGGGCAAAAACAAGCTTTTCACAGTCCGGGTCTGGACCTTTGAGGATACCTAACCTTGTGGCAAATGGCATTGAAAGCCATCCTTGAATTTTGGAGAAATCCACCCGGCATGAAGTTGACGACGTCAGGGCTCCGGGGAAGCTGGTCGGGCGGTCGCCGTCTGATGTGCAATGAGCGGTGGAAAGGGTCGTCGAATCCCCAAGGGAAATGGTTGACGAACGGTTGGGAAGAGGAAATTCGTGACAGTTGATATTGGAATCTGTTTGGATGGCTTTGTGATCAGTAACAAACGAGTTCCCACCTCTAGCTTCTCTCCAAACGTAGAAGTTTGTAGGTGTTAGTGTGGATGATGCACAGAAGTGGACCGTAACGCCGTGAATGGTGTAGAAACCACCACCGGGTCTCACTTGCCGGACCAAAGCAACAACTGAAAGCCGGGGGATTACCTTCCGTTCCGGATAGTGAAAAGGTGGTGTCCATTCTCATCCGATTCACCTTCTTAAACTGAATGTCTAAACCGTTGACCCGCGGACGGGAGCCAAGCCCAAACGGACATGATGCAAACCATGGAAGCCAACGGATTACTATACTACTTGGTTGCTGGGCACGGCTTGGCGGATCAACAGTTCAACGTAACCACGCCATCCAACTTGGACATCCCACTTGATATCTGAAACCGTGGGGAACATCGAGACCCTTCTGTCTCACAAACTTCCCCAGCAGGGACTCATTCGATATATCATCCATCCAGACATCATCATGACATTCTCCATCCTCACCGACGACGAAATCAAGTCGCTGTTGGACAACCTCACACTAGACGAGCTCGAGTCCTTCCGCGAGAACCTTAGAGATGCTCTCCACGTATACTCTACCGGAGCTCATACGCCCGGCCAAGCTCTCATCCACCAGCCCGAGCGAACGGTAGTCCGCAGCGGCATCACCGGCGCCACCACTTTGTTCATGCCATCATGTAGTCCAGCCGGTCACGGTGTCAAAGGTATCATGTCTTCGCATTACATCGCAAACGGGATGGGATACTAACCAGGCTCCCCACCAGTCATCACCCTCTCCTCCGCCGAGCAAATAGTCAAGTCGACACAACAAGAAGAAGCCGGCCAAGACGCCTTCACCCCGCTCATCCGGCCCACGGGCGCCATTACCTTGTTCAACCCCAACGGCTCTCCGCGGGGCATCATCCACGCCAGCACGGTAACCGCCTTCCGCACGGCACTGGCCTCCTTATGTCTGGTCCATAAGCGCGATCATGTCAAGACCATCACCGTCTTCGGCTGCGGCGAGCAAGCCTACTGGCACGTGCGCCTGACCTTACTCCTGCGCGGGTCCACCATCAAGTACGTCAACGTGATCAACCGGCGCTTCTCGCCCTCGTGCGGCGCCATGCTGCGGCGGTTCTACGAGGTCTCGCCTGCCATCAAGGCGCGCGAAGGGTGGACGAATACGCACTTTGGCGTGTTGACGCCCAGCTATGGCGAGTATGAGCGGTTGCTAAGGGACCAGGTGCGGAGCGCGGATGTGATTTTCTGCTGCACGCCCAGCACGGCGTGTCTCTTTGATGGAAATATCTTGACGGAAAGGGATGCGAGGAGGAAGGGCAGGCTGATTGTGGCGATTGGAAGTTATACGCCGCAGATGAGGGAGGTGCCGATTGAGCTGATTCAGCAGGCGGTGAAGATTCAGGATCAGGCGGGGAAGAGGGTCATTCACCATCATAAGCATGCGATCGAGGGGGGCGTGGTGGTGGTTGATACCCTGGACGGAGCGTTGAAGGAGGCCGGGGAGTTGATTGAGGCTGGACTGGGGCCGAGGCATTTGGTTGAGTATGTATTACCCTCCTCTGCTTGGTTACTTTTGCTGAATGATAATACTAACGAAACGTTTACAGACTCGGAGAACTAGTAATGCTCAACCGCATCGCCCTCTCCGAAACCGACAACGACTCCTCCCATACTTCGACAGATGTCGACACCGACACCCTCTCCGCCTCCGCCTCCACGCTAACCATCAATATCGCTCCCTCCGAGGAAAAGGACTCCTCCTCCTCCTCTAACAGGGACAGCAGTGAAAAGACAAGGCGCCCTCGCCACAGCCGCCACCTCTCCCTCCAGAGCATCGTCCACCGCGCCTCCCGCTCCCGCAGCCGTAGCAGCAACCCCGATCGCGGTGACGACTACGAAGAGAAAAAGAAGGAAAAGAAGAAGAAGAAGGAGACGGAAGACGAACTGGCCCGCTGGCTGCAAAAGGGCAACGTCATCTACAAGAGCGTCGGTCTCGGATTGATGGACTTGACGGTCGGCATGCAGCTGGTGGATTTCGCGGAGCAGAAGGGCGTGGGCACTCATATTCCGGCCTTTTAGGAGAGGAACGGGGTTGGTAGTATTCCGCTTATGGGACTGCAGGGGAAGGAGATGGTGGAGGTTGGGTTGGGGTTGGAACCGTTGGATGTTGCTGGTGGTGATGGTGATGTTGTGGGTGGTGGTGATGTTGTTGATCTTATCGGTGGAAGTAAGACTTCTGCTGAATTTGGGAGTGAGGGTGGTAGTTCCAGACTGGAGTCGAGTGAAGACTCAATGGAGGGAAGTCAGGATCAGGAAAATGGTGCTCAGGGCCACGGCCAGGGAGGGATTCATGTGGCTTAGAAAGCCCAGGGAGCTGCTCGGGGTGAAGCCAAGGGAAAAGAGGAGGAGGAGGATGAGCGTGATGCTACTGGTCATTGTCACGGTTTCGAGGTGACGAAGAAGAGAGAGTATCATGGGTTTGATGAACGCGATTTTGCAGCAGAGCAAGGGAGCCAGGAAGATAAGGATGATGATGAGGAGCAGGAACAGGAACGTGGGTTCCATATCCCTCATATGCCTCACGTCCAGGACATTCCGATTATCCGGAAGTTTAGCAGACGGAGCAGGAACAGTCTTTGAGTTGGCGGCTACAAGCTCTGTCAAGAATACTTTTCATCTCCAGACTTGAGAAGAGTCAACACGGTATAAATGTTATGAGTTCATGTTTACGATTCAGGAAAGGCATAGCAAGTTCTCTCTCTCTCTCTTCCAGAAAATGAGTAAACACCAGGTTATGTAGCTACATGGGTAAATAGACACGTACCCAATGCTGCTTTCTAAGTATTCACCTCCAATTACACCCAGCATAAATATGCCATTCCTTGACCAAATTCCGCGCACGTAAGTGAGACAAATCCCGAGTAGATTAGTCTCTTCGTTGCACATAGGTATTCTCTCTCCCACGCTCCCCGCCCAACTATTTCCAATACCTTTTCAAAAGATCGATAGACCTCACAAAAGTCCAAGACCAGCAGCACCCATCAACCCTCCCACAATCATGTGAACCACAAAATGCACCACCGGTCCACCAAGTGTCTTTTGGGTCTCATCCTTCATATCTTCCTTTTCCTTCTCCTTCTCCTTCTCCTTCTCCCCCTCCTTCTCCCCCTCCTTCCTCTCCTCCTCTCTCATATCCTTCTTCCTTTTCTTTTCATCCACCGCAGAAGAGGAGGAAGAGGACATACAAATCCTCTTCCAAGCTCTATACAGCGGAAACACATGGTAAAGACTCAAACACGCGGTAATTCCTCTAATCAGTTCATCTTTTTTATTTTCCGGACGCAAACTCGTACTAGAAAATTGATGATGGAACAAGAAGAGGAGATAGAAAACCAGGCAGTTGACGCTCAACAGCAGGCCGCCAAAGTTGCGGAGGATGAGACGGGCTTCTGTTGCTTGTTGGGCGGTGATGGGTGGTAACTGTCGTGGAGGATGATTCGTTGAAGAGGAGGGGTCCTCGGTGGTGGGAGACGGAGATAGAGATGGTGATGGGGAAGAGGAAGACGAAGAGAAAGAGGAAGATGAAGAAAGAAGGGGAAGTTGCGATTCAGGACGCAAGAGAAAGGAGAGCGAGGCGGGGGTTTCGATCAACAAGTGGAGGAAGAGGGGGATGTGGGAGGTGGGAAGGCCTAGGATTGTGCGTGTGGTGATAGGCATTGTTTGTTGTTGTGGTCCCGTTTTGGTTGGGCTGGGAAGGGTTGTTAGTAACTGAGGCATCTTTATCTTCTCTGTGAGACGGGGAGGGAAGTATCTTACCTTGATTGATATCGAACTTGAGTTTTGTTGGAGAGAGAGAGGTGTGGAAAAGCTGGTACCTCTAGTGTCGTCAAGTTTGGAGGCGCTACCTCGTGGAAAAAGGTTGCAATTTTCCAATGATGTCAAGGTGCGGCGTGGGTTGTTGTTGTTGATGTTAATGTCAATGTAAATGGAGACTTTCTGTCCCGAAGTTCGGATTAGGATCCAGGCTTTTATCTTGTTCTGGACTTGGATTTCGGGGGTTTCTTCCTTCGGCTGGTTGCTTACTCCATGCTAGAAGAAGACAAGAAGGCCAACTCAATGCAACGTGAAGCCGTTCCACCAATCAGATCGCTTTGTTAGTTGGAATCTGGAATGAACACCGTTGTCTTGATAAGGCAGTTATTGTAGGCTACAAGATATCAAATCCACAATGTCATGAATATGGATGCATATAGGAAGCTTTAGAATGACGGCTGTGTAAAGCACCTGGCGAGGTCACCTGTTAGGACGAGAAAAGAATTAAGCTTTACCTGCTAATTTCTGTTTGTTGTATTTTGTAAAGCCAAATAATCTACACAAAGCAAAAATTCAAGCATCCTACGCCGCGCTTTTGTTATCTCACATTATCAAACCAAAAGTGCAACGACACCAATGTCTTCCCTCAGAAAAAGAAATGCCATTTCACCCACATTTTCCATCTCCCAAATCCCCATATCTACCTACCCAACAGCCCTACCCAAACCTAGCCTTAGCCAACGCCTTCAACCCCTCCATCACCCTATCCTCTCTCTCCTTCGCCTCCTGAATCCTCTTCTCTCGCTCCGCCGCCCTCGCTCGCTCCATCTCCTCCCTCCTCAACTGCCTCTCCGTCTTCTTGACTTCCTCCCTCTTCATCATCCGCTTGTACTCCTCCAACCCACCTCCATCTCCTTCACCCATCAGTTCACTTTCAGCCACCTCCCCACCTGGCGATGGTTCTCGGAAGGACTTGAGCTTTTCGTTTAGCTCTTTTCGTTTTTCAAGTCGGCGCTCGCGTGTGCCGGCGTCGGCGCGCGGGACCAAATCTTCGAGTCGTTCTTTTTGCAGGGCGCGATCGGCTTTGCGTTGGGCACGCAGGGCTTCGAGGGAGGAGGCGCGCTGTGTGGCAGACTCTTCGGCGAGGGTCTCGCGGTGGAGGGTGAGGTCGGTTAAGGAGGGAATAGTGGGGCCATGGGCGTGAGTCCGGGAGGAGGAGGAGGACTGGCCGGGGAGGGTGGGGCCGTAGTCGGAGTCTGAAGCGTCGTCTTCTTCTTCTTCTTGATTTTGAAGAATCTGGGGAGGGTTGGAGTCGGGCTGTGGTGTATCGTTGGTCTCGATGGATGGTCTTGCTGTTGTCGATTCGGGGTTGTCACCCTCAGACATCGTTGAGACCGCCCTCCCCTTCCTGTCTTTCTCCTTGAGACTGCTTGCTTCGGCGATGGAACGGGGTACCCTACCCTCTGCCGCGGCCTCCTTGGCTGCTCCGGCGAACCTCTCGGGATCATACCACCCCTCTGCCAACTCGCCGCGGTTCCACTTCTTGACGAAGCTCTTCCATCTACCGCGGAGTTCGTAGTCGTCTAGGTCGTCGATGTAAAGTTGTTTTTGGATATCGAGATATTGGGCAAAGAGCGGTTCGAAGTTGGGGTAGTCGGAGCGGGAGAGCTGGCGGGAGTTGAAAGGGAGGGGTTTGGGTGGTTCGTCCTTGGATCGTTCATATGAGTGGGAACGATGGCGGTGGTGGTCTCTGTCCTCGTGCCGCCGCCGGTGGCGATCCCTGTCTCTGACCCGGTCCCTCTCACGGTCTCGGCTTCTTGATCGCTCCCGATGTCTATCACGTCCCTCTCCATGCCTGCGATCCCGCTTGTCGTCGTACCTCTCTGACCTCGATCTTGACCTTCTCCTGTCGTGATGTGTGGATCCTGAGCCACCAGGGAGAGGTGACCGCGATCGGTATCGGTGGCCTTCGGCGTTCATGTTTGAACCAATAACTGGCGTTTGCTCGGCGTATGTCCTGATAACCAGATTCTTCGCGTAAGGATCGGTATACACTCTTTTATCCTCGAGTTTTGTTGAATGTTTTGTTGTCTGAAGCGGTATGTCGCTGTATTATGATAGGTGAGATCCACTTGTTGATCTCCAGCTGTGAAAGGAGTTGCCAACGAGGTGATGAAACGTGGATTGTGTTGATATGGGCCAATGAATCGGGTTTCTAGAAGACCAGATGTTTACAACTCCCAAAATAATGTTATAAAGATTTAAATGTTGAAATTGTTTGAAGTTGGAAGTTGAAAAAGAGATGAAAATGCATGCAGGATGTTGTTGATCTCCCAGAAAAACGGAAGAGCATGGAAGGTCAGGGATGCAATTGCTAAACGTTGCACCGTTTTGATGTAGGGTTCCGTTTACAGACCGTTTGGCTCAGAGCGTTGAGCATATAGTTGAGAGAAATGTTACGCAAACAACAATCTGCCTCACACTGCTGGTTAAAAGCGAATTTTGAGACTGTGTTATTCTTGAGAAAGAGAATCTAGTCACTGGTGAAGCTAAAGTGAGACCACGTTGAGCTACAACTTCCAAGTTGCCAGCAGGTCACATGACCGTGATTCGTAAGTGGGTTTCAGCGTTTTGGGTGCCGTGTTTTCATCTTAGTGCTGAGGTGTGCTTCAAAGTTTTCAGGTGGTGCATAACTCACTGCAACAAACTCCAAATTCGGCATATTGTTCTGCATCTTGTAGTACAGGCGTTACAGCGGTGTCAACTCGGCGGATTCCTCGCAATAAATTCGACAATTTCATTCACCATGTCGAGACCTGAGGAGGTGGTCAACCAGGTCCCCGAAGATGAGGGCTCTGATATCGAGGCCGGCGGGCTCTTCGAAGACCCTCCTGACTTTTACCCTCCTTCGCCTCCCCCGACTACAGAGCACTACACCATGAAGAATGGCGACGACATTACCCTGCACCTCGTCGGCCACAGCCCTCTCGAGGCCCACACCCTATGGAACGGAGCCGTCATCATCTCACAGTACTTTGAGGATCACCCCGAGGAGGTCAAGGACCGTACTGTCCTGGAGATTGGCGCTGCTGCTGGTCTTCCCAGCTTGGTGGCTGCAGTGCTTGGAGCCAAAAAGGTTGTCGTGACCGACTTCCCGGATCCGGACATTGTGGACGTTATGTGGAAGAACATCCGTGGCTGCCCCATGTTGGCGGTTGACCGCGAGGAGGATCGCAACATTGTTGCCGACGGCTATGTATGGGGTGGCAAGGAGGCTCCCTTGCTGGCCCATTTGGGTGAACAGAAGGAAGGAGAGGCTGGGTTTGATGTGTTGATTTTGGCCGATCTTCTTTTCCGTCACTCGGAACACAGCAAGCTGGTCGACACCATCCAGTTTACACTGAAGAAGAAGCCCGGCAGCAAGGCGTTCGTTGTCTTTACCTCCTACCGCCCATGGCTTCAGCACAAGGATTTGGCTTTCTTCGATCTCGCCCGCGAGAGAGGCTTCATTGTGGACAAGTTCCTTGAAGTCAAGACCGAGAAGCCTTTGTTCGAGAACGACCCCGGTGATGAGGAGATTCGCAAGACCGTCACTGGCTGGACTGTGCGCTGGCCCACGGACGGCGAGAAGGCGGCGGCCAAGGCGGACGCATGAGCTCGATTCCCAAGCTGAGCGGAAGATGAGAGCATTACAAAACCGGTGATGAGAGAATCGACATCATTTCAATTACGATCTAGACAATGATACCCATATTGGCGGCCAGCCTGCCGAAAGGCAACTCACCTTGGACCAGTCCCTTTGCTCAACTGTTATTCGCTCTTGGTGAATTTTGACCTATCGGCTCAAGAGTCGCGTTGTATTTGCGACGCCGTAAGACGAGCAAGAAGGGGTGAAAAGATTCATGGCGGGAAAAGATATCACGTTGCCAAAACTGTAGGAAGAGGACTAACACGGCGAACCAGAGATTGCTTCATGCTCACTCCTCTAACGAGCCCTCTGTCATTCTTGACAGATGTTCAGGGACCTTGGACCACGAATCAGGTCAAGACAAGATATGAGGCTCGTGAAGTCAGTGAGACAAGCATATATTAGGTAAGAGGGGATTCACAGATGGGAAAGGGTAATTCGTCTTTTTTTTTTTGTCTTTGTTGCCTGGTTGTGGTGACATTGGAATCAGCATTTTGACATTTGTCTCGCCAGCCGCCAACCTTCACTGCCCGCCCGTCAGGCACCGCTTACCCTGATCGAGACGTTGTGATGAACCCCTGTCATCCACTAGAATGGAAGCCCGGGGCTGTGCCCCCCATCGCCAGTGGCTTTACTAGTGTACGCAGTAACACTTGGGAATGCCTGCCACTTCTCCCACTTAGCTTCTGACGATGACGCGGCCTCCTTTTATATGTTCCTCTCTTCAACATTTACCACGCCCCCATCTATTTCTAGCATGAAAAATCTGCTAGGACTCCTACCCAGAGAAGTTTCTTCGGAAGCTAGCTTGTTTCATGCGCGATCGTCGAGGAAGGAAACTCCCGAAAGTGACACAGCATGCAGCCTCTCGAGCTTACCACCACCATCGCCACCCCAACACGGCAGCGATGGACACTGCTTGAGGTGCAGCCAAGGGCTTGTACCACGGCACAAAGGCCCATCTTACTCGGTCTCGCCCACTCGGCACTTCACTCTGCCCGGACCTCTCCATCACTTGCCCCGTTGGCGCTGCGGATGGAACTTGAAGAGCCCTACATAGTATATCCATGTATAAGCAATTCCCGTCTGTGGCAGTCCACTACCGGTTGGGCCGTACCATTCAGACCAGTCAGCATGGCCTCTTTATCTCGAGTGGGACAGGACCTCTCGACTTTGGGGGCACAGGGCAACACAGCCTCTCCATCAGTCCATTCATCTCATCAGGGCACTTCCCTTGAGCTGTCAAGTTTCTTCAGTCTGGACTCCCCCACATCCCTTCTCAAGCGCCGGATAATTGATCTTAGTCCCGTCCTTCATTCAAACCTCACATCGTGTGGTTAGAACCTCGATGGTCTCAAGCATCTAACAAAACAATTTGACCTTCCGCATCATATCTACTTCTTTTGTCTCTTGACATTCAATTGCTGATCTTGGCTGTTGGGATAAGCGGCCCAACCCAACCATATTTACTCGTATCACTCACATCAGGCTTCGTCATTGCCAGCCTAGCCAGCAGCCATGGCGTGGGAGCTTTCATCATGGCTTGTAGTCATGCGGGCGTTCCAGATCGCTGCCGCTCTGGTAGGAGCGACCACGAATGGCTTCGTCACTGCAACCGTCTTCAAGAACGGACAGCTTCAACTGACTAAAAGCATGCTCATCCCGGAGTTGTTGGTAAGCTTTCTGTAGGAGTCTTTCTCCTGTATCGCCGAGAACACGTCAGCTAACATGCATCACGGATAGATCTGTATGACCCTTGTCTATGCTACACTCGTCGTCTTCATTCAACATAGTGGCCATCGATCGAGGAAGACGGGTTGGCTTATCACTTTTGTTATGGGTGATATCATCTTTTGCGGGCTTGATCTAGCAGTCATCACCCTACTTGCTAATGCTGGACTTCCATCTCACTGTGGTGGATTGGCTACCACCAAAGAGGATGATCATCACAAGCTGTACATACCTCCACCAGGTTTTACTACGCCTGGCTTTGCCTCTGGGTCTGATGGAGAGAAGGGTCAACTCGACAAATTTTGCGCTTTCGAACGGTCGTATTATGCTATTGCTCTTGGTCTTGTGTAAGTTCCCAATGTCTTTTATCATCTCGCTGCCATCTATACCGAACCACGACAACTAAAACCGTGTAGCTTCACTTACATCGCCACCATCATTCTTACCGTTCTACGAATTTTCGAGAGAAACTACACCGAAAATTCCAAGTGCATTGAAGTTCTTAACTCCCTCGAACGTGCCGATACCATGGAATCGAAACTCAGCGATGCTTCCTCTCAAATCATAGAAGCCCCGAGACCACATCCCGACCGATCAGGACCGTCGAGTGAGGGTGTCATCACCCGCACCGCTTCGATCCGTAGTAACGTGACAGCAATGACGTCCTCAACGGCGGCCGGAAATGGTCCATACCTGTCCGGCGCAATCCAGTCCAACGCTATTCCACCACGAAGACCTGTGAACCAGAACATGTCAGTACCAGCTCGCCAGCTATCAGTGAGCACCGTCAGCAGCAACAATACTTCCCGGCCAGGAGGGGCCACTTCAAACTTTGCCCCAGTATCTCCTATAGACGAAGGCGAGATAGATATCGGGGCAGCCCTGATAGCCGATGGACCGCAATACCGTGCTCATCAGTCACACAACAACATACCACATCAACAATACCAATCGAACCAGCAATATCAACCACAACGCCACCACCAACGAAATCTAACACAGGGAACGTTACCACCCCTCGCCGAAAACGACATCCTAAGCCCCGAAGTTGCTTTGTTAACAGATGGGCCTCAATATCGACCGAACCAACAACAGACTCAATACGGCCAACAGCAGCAACCACAATACCAGAACCTCTATGACTTCCCCCGAAATGTACCTCTAGTACCGCAAGGGGCAAGCCTACCCACACCGGTGAAAGGCGACTATCTAGCTCTCGCGTCCGATGGAGCAGCAGATGGCGTACAGTATCCTGCAATCCAACGACCGTTGAATCAACCGCCGCCTCAACAGCTATCTTCACATATATCACAACCACAAGGGATATCAGCTCCCATTGGAGGCGGCAGCGCCGGCGAAAAGACCGATTACTTATCCCTAGCAGCAGACGGATCAAACGATAACTCACGACAATACCCATTCATCCAACGACAACCACTTCACCACCACCAACACAACCCCTCCCTTCAGCAATCCGCGTTACCACCCTTTCTGGGATTGGGAGCCGGCGGGCCCGGAACGAATTTCATATACCCCGATATCCCCACGAGTCCTCACAGCGGCAGCACAACACCCACACCATCACACCCCCGAAACATCAACCCGAACATCAACCCCAACTACGCCCCCGCCTCAACCGGCGGTCTGAACCTCGAACTCCGCTACGACGGTGGCAGCAGCAGTGCGACCTCAACAACAGCTCACACCCCGCCATCACCAGATCGGTACTCCATTTCCATGTCGGATGTTAGTTCCGTGTCGACTGCGTTGCCGCCTTATCAGCGGTATGAGACGGGGATGGAACCACAGCCACCAGCACTAGCGAGGTATCCAAGTCAGAGTCAGAGGCAGAGTCAGAATTACGAAGCTAGGAACTCATCGTCGTCGTCATGATGAGGGCAATCAATGAATGGGCTATCAAGGAGAAACGAGGACGAGGACGGGTATAAACGATCGAGAAGCAGCAATCCTTGAGATGGGGTACGGACTATAAGAGACAAAATGATCACAGATGAACGGGGGGGGGGGGGGGGAGAGAGAGAGAGAGGGACGGAAACTGGGTTGAGTCTCTTGAACATCAACGAACGACAACACAAACATTGGAAACAACGAGACTGGGAGTATGGGAACTTCATACGGTTATACGAAGTTTTTCAGGTTAGGCTTTTTTTTTTTTTTTTTTTTTTTTTTTTTTTTTTTTTTTTTTTTTTTTTTTTTTTTTTTAAACGGATAGGTATCACTATTAATATTTTTGGAGCGTTGAACGCCCTTCTTTGTTTTCGTTTTTCCTGTTTTTCCCCCCCTTCATTTTCTTTTTCTTCTTATGTTCTTACCCGCTGGGAAGGGATATTACCTACCTACCTACCTACCTCTAAACTTCCTGTACATATCTACTGTGGGAATATCTTCCCTATCCAATCAGAGCCGTTGTTTTCGGGATGCGGTTCATCAACGTTGAATGAACGCTTGACAAAAACCATCGCTGCTGCTGCTGCTGCTGCTGGTACTCTGAGCTGAGCTGCTTGGTGATGTACCTACTGCTGGGCCGCGTGCCTCATATTCATCATGTTCATGTGGACTACCTTACTGCAGGGCTAAAGTGTGCTCTGCTTTGATTTGTTCTCGAGTGGCAGTTATTCTACTTGCTCAAACGCGCGCGCCGATCTGATCACTTCCAACGGGTCCGATAACGATCTTACGCCGCTACTGTGATAACTGTGCCTTCCTACCTCTAGGTATCTTGCTCAATGCTACGCTTACGCTGCTGTCAGTGCTTGGAAGATATGCAGTTGATGGCGAGCTTTCAGAGGAAAGTGCGAGAGGAGAATTGCCATCAAGGCCCTATGTATTTATTTACTATGTTATTGCCTGCCTTGTTCTTTTCTAGCTAGTAGCTATGGGTATATGTATACTTGTGCCAGCCCCTTGTTTACCGTCCTTCTCTTTCGATAACCTGCTATCACCCGCGATCCATATTTCTCGAATCTGGGTTTGGCGAATCGTATATGTCCATTTTCAACAGGTGTTCATCTTCCCAACTTAGGTTTGCTTTGGTCTCTCATCCGTTTCGTCTTGTTTTCTCTTCTCTCCGCCTCGAACCGGCTCATCAGGCTTTTCGCCATTTTTCGTCGAAAGCTTGGGCAAGTCAAATCTGGTCTCCTCCTCCTCCTCCTCCTCCTCCTAAGGGACGGACACCTCTGTGCTTCTGCCGCCACCACCACCACCACCAGCTCCCCTGCCTCCGCAACAACTCCCGCTACCACCATCACCGCCGCCACTGGCAGTAGCCCTGAGGATACCGTCGATACCAAAGGGCACATGGAGCGTGCGGGGACTAGACACCGCGTTGTTCATATCACTGCTCATACCCCCACCGTTAAGAGCGCTCAAGCCACTCATGTCTCCCATTCCTATCCGCTGTGTGAGGGGAATCACACCCAGAGGGTCATTAGACATCATTCCCTGTGGTAATCCATCCGACATGGGCATCAAAGCCTCGTGGCCCTGGCTTGGAACCTGCTGATGTTGACCTACGTCACACACCTGTTGTTGCTCCAACCCCTCTCCACCGCCAACCAAAGATGGCGCCGCCTTCCCGTGAATGACGCATCCGATACAGGCGCAATCATCTCCACACGGACAAGATAGAGACTCGCCGGCACAGTTAGGTAGTGGGATGGTAGCCCACAGAAAGTCTGCCGTGGAGAGGTACTGTTCTTCGCTAGGGGTACCTGATGCGTCGCTGGGCGTCTGGGCCTCGACTGGCGAGTCGGGCGGCAGTTGCTGCTGAGATTGCTGCTGTTGGCCGGTTCGAGAACCACGAATAGGGCTGCGGATTTGGTATTGTTGCTGTTGCTGCTGCTGAACCCCAACAGTAGCAGCAAAGTCGAGACTGCTGTGATGGCTGTTACCAGCGGAACTGCCGATGGGACTAGCAATGTTGAAGTTATAAGCATCCTGGACATACTGAATGGTTTGACTGTTGTAAGGATGTGCGACACATCCGATGCATTGACAGCCAGGACCGCAAGTGCATTCGTGACTTGTGCCAGTGCCATCACCTCCCCCGCCAGACAGGAATAGACCAAGGCTGAGGTCGGCTCCTTGCTGGGCTGCTTGTGCGGCAGCGGCCCCTTGGTGGATCATTTGTTGGTAGGTTTGGGGGTCAAGAGGGTGGTTCCAGGAACCGTACTCCTCTGGGTACCGAAAGACGGTCTGGTAACCAAAGGGCATAACTGTGGGCGTTAAGGGTTGTTGCTGCTCCTTAAGCTGTAAAGGAGGTTGAGCGTTGAACTGCATAGGGTTTGCGGAAGACTGTCCGTAACCCGACTGAGGCATAGCGACAGAGCCATTAACACGCAGTTGAGATCCTCGTAATTCACGACTACCACCACAACAGCTCCCTTTTTTGTGGATACCCTCGATTCCCTCTGTGCCTGCCCCTTCCATTTCTTTGCCTTTGGAATTCAAGTCCTTTTTGACTTGGTTCCATTGTAAGGCCTCGCTGGTAAAACTCTGATCTCCAATAGTGGTCGATGGACTGCTTTGAGACGCTGGTCTACTTTGACTATGTGTAACTTGTTGTCGAGGGAAGCTTTCCAATCCCGTGAAAGTGCCATCGATAGCCCCACTGCGGTTGGTGATTTGCTGTCTCTGTAAGGCAGCGAAGATGGCCATTTGCTCAGAGATGGTGTTGTTTTCAGTCTTGGATCCCTGTTGCGGTGGCTGCGCGACTCCGTCGTGTCCCACTGAAGAAACGGATGAAAAAGTTTGTTGGTTCAACGGAGAGTCATTGGCGCTGACAGCTGAAAATCCCATTCCATGATTTAGTCCCGGTTGACACCCAAGTGGTAGCTGCACCGTTAGATTGACGCTCGTCATCAGTTCGCCGGCAGAGACACCCGCCATATTCGGACCCAAGGCGGCATTGTGCTGTGCGGCCACGCCGAGTTTCGTTATGTCTAGGTCAAACGTCGGCAAATGATGTCGGGAATGTGGCTTCGATATGGAGCCCGATTTGCTCACTCTTAAACCAGGTCGCGCCGGGGTTGATGAAGAGGCATGAAGGCGAGGCGCCGGGATGCCTTGGGCAGCGGCCGTAGGCGAATGGTCTTCTGTGGAACTACCGTGAACAGAACCACATCCGCACGTTTGCTTTCGAGGAATCGCTACCTTCACGCCTCCACCTCCGCAAGAGCAGCTTGGAGGCCGATTTGGACAAGCGCAAAGGCTCAGGGGCCGTCCTGGTTTCCTAACGGGCACCATAACGCGCTCGGTGGCATGAGTGCATTTTGTAGAACGATGGCCGCGAATACATGGCGCACTAAGGGGAAAAGAGAGATGTCAGCCTTAAAAAAAAAAAAAGAACAGAAAAAGACAAAAAAAAAACAAAAAAGAAGAGAGTCCGAAAGATGTATGTCTGACTAGAATTGCCAGCTTCGGTTTCGGAAGGCAGCGAACGGATGAGTTTGGTGCGACGGCACACCGGTGCCCTTTGCCTGCGGGATAACAAATTCCGGTATGGCAAAACATACGAGTATAAAGACGAGAGAAAGGGTCAAAGTAAATGAGAAGAGTGACTTACCAGGCCATCTTCTGGCCGTTGATGATGGGCATTTTGGCAGCTGGTGGTAGGTCTTCCAAGTGATGACCTTACTCAAAGTTCGTAAGAGATGAGCGAGGGGTGGAAACCGCTCGAGAAAATTGACTTGAGGGAACCCCCCCGGTCACCCTCAGTCACCAGGGACCAGCGGCTCGGCCCCGTGTCTCGCGTGCGTAAAACGTGCTCGTTAGGGTTTTGACTCTGCTGGGTCCTTGGGTGATGATAGGATAGGAGAGCTCTCTCACGGCTCACCGTCGCACCTGGATCTCCTGGTCGGGTCTTGGTAGTAGCTCGGGGTCCCGAACTGTTTGTTCATGGACGGTTCAGGAGACCAGATGGGTGATCCGTGGGACCGTACGATTTGATATGGTCAGGACTTCAGTGGTGGATTGTCAGACCAGGATTTTGGCTGGCTATGGTTGCGTGGTTAATGTCCTGTGGAGGTCCTGTCCATGAGAGCTCTTGATTCGGTTGGCAGCTGTCACGGTGAATCCTCGAGTAGAGATGATGTATGCCCGTACGAAGAGTAGTGTAAAACGTAAAAGATTGCCTGAGAATGCATATGATTCTAACAAGTGAAGGTTCCCCCTAGTTCGTCTGGCCGTGAACCGACGACGGCAGCGGCAACCTACGGCAGGTCAAAGTGACAGTGCCCCGGGACGGAAGCAACCTGAATGCAGCAGGTAGTAGTAGTAGTAGTAGTAGTAGTAGCAGCCAAAGCAAGGGACGAATGAGTTCAACACTTCTGATGTTACACTCTCATGTTAACCAAAGCTCCTTCTGTGGTACTGGTGCTGGGTAGGTATAGTGTGGGTAGTAGTGACTGCCTACCTCTACCCTGCCTTGGGTTCTGACGGGAACAGCCTCACTGCGGCTTATGAACGAGGAAGGAACGACTGACTGACTTCTCTTCGGCAGACGACCCGCGTCTCTTTTCCCAAGAAGTCCAAGAGGATCGATCATACAGACAGACGAGCAAGGCGGTGGCGATTGTACCAGGGCAGCCGTAGACGCCAGGGTCCAACAGGCGCTGTTCGAGGCTCGTCTGCCGTCTTTCAATGTTTTGAAACTCGGATCACGAATGGGCATCGGTTATTATGGTGTGGACTGGGCGGTTGGTGCTTGGTGGGTTGTTGCTCTTCTGGTGGTGGGGGGTGCGGTCTTGTCGGACCAGTTTGAGCATGTTTTCATTGGCTATTTCCTGGTGACTAAGCTAGGTATTCTTGTACCTGGGTACTCTTTCCCAATTTGCATCCATCCCGCAGCCAGACTGCCAGTAAAGCCAAGAGTTCCAACGCACAGGCGCACTTGTCGTTTTGTGAGCAAGAGCACCCGACACGATCAAAGACTAAGCCAGGAAGAGCAACTGAAAGAGGCTGACGGGACTGGATTTTCGCCATACTCGACAACTTCCATTGGTTATTCCCATCAAGTATCACAAGGCTGACATGTATAAGACGTGACGGCTTCCGAAAGTGGTAACTGCTGACACTCGGCTGCAGTGTGTGTGACAAACCTTGAAAGTTGCGTAGGTAATTGCAAGTTGAGGGTTAGACAAGGACATGGAAATAAGGGTTGTGTATGCTTGTTCCACCTCGAACCACCTCCGGGTGTACTGTATTCCGGACAGCGAGTGTCATCTACTACTTCTCCCCCTCCGAGTCCGACCCAGCAAACATGTCAACAGCCCGCATCCGCTTCTTTGTCGGCGCAGCCTTGTTCGCCGATATCTGGAATCCAGCCACCGACTTAACTTCCACCGCCTTCGAATCTGTTGTTGATGCTGATGCTGGTGCTGATATCTGAACGGCCTCTCCCATGACCACATCCCCATCATCCGTCGTAGTGAGATTCCGCAAAAGGGCCATAAAGTCACCATCAGGCGTCCCATCAATATCATCATCCGAAAACAGCTCGTCCGTTCCCGAACTATACTGCATATGATTCGGCGGCAGCACCAGCTCCCCATCCGTATCACCCGTCTCCAGCATCCTTTCCACGTACTCCGCTTCTATCCCCTCTTCCGTTTCGGCTGTAGTAGATGTCTCCTGAAGTGTTGACACCGGCAAGAAACCGGTAGCCTTGGCCTGATTTGTAGTAGCAGCAGGCCCATCTACCGTTTTCCATTTCCCACCCGTAGCAGCAGCAGCAGCCGCAGCCTTCTTCTCCGCCTCCTCCTTTTCCACTTCCTTCGCCTTCAGTGCAGGCGGGTTTTCGAAGCTCTTGACGAAGAACTCGTGTGTCTCGATGGGGAACACACACCAACCCTCCCATAGACTCAGGACAAGGCCAACGCTGCGTTTCCACTTGTCCGCGCGCAAACGGCCCCAGTTGAGCTTGTCGGCCATCATACCCAGCAACTCAAACGTCTTACGGGCGCGTAAAGCGGTCTCAAAGAGTTGCCGGTAGCGCCAGGCGTGGCGGATGCCGCTTGTCGATGAGGAGGAGAGGATGTCGCTGATTACATAAAGACCCAGGAGTCGGGCGGCGCTAAGGTCGGGAGTGCTGTCGTTAGTCTTGTCCTTGTCCTTGTCCTCTGCTACGGGGGATGGATCCCGGAAGTTATTCCCGTCTTGTCCTTCGCGCTCGCGGGAGCGCTGTTGGTGGTCGGGGTTGGCGGGCGTGTAGGAGAAGGGGGATTCGACGTTAGAAATGATCATGTCGACGATCTCATCGGCGCCTCGACTTGCGTGGGTGATGGCAAATGCAGTGATGCGGGCAATGTCTCCTTTTCTGATCTTGGATAGTGTCGTGGGCAGCCGAGCTAGCATGTGCGCTAGCTTGGCCTTTTCTATGGGGTTGAGGAATGTGTCTTCTTGCCCGTTGTGCTCTTTTTGTTCGTCCTCGAAATCGTCCTCTTCGTCCGTGTCGTATGCCGAATCGGAGGCAATCTCGTCCACTGATGTTGTATACTCGTAGGCGAGGGGCTCGGGCGACTTCCACGCGTGGCTTCCTTCGAAGAGTGGGACATACTTGGGCTTTCCCCTCTTTGCCTGGGAGCCCGTTACGATCTCCCATAGCCTCCAGCGATACCATATTCCGCCCTCGCTGCGAGCATCCCAAATCCATGCCCACCTCTCTTCTCGCTGAACGTCTGGTCGAGACATGAGAAGAGCCTCAAATTCGGGTCCGTGCTCCAAGACGGACTCGACGACTTTGTGAATCATGCGCAGTGTCCTGATGTCTCGTGGAGGTTTTACGGGAACATGGAGCAGACCACTTCTGCTAATAGCGGACCCTGGAGGACCATAATGTGATGGAGGAGCATAGTTGCGTCCATAGCCTCCGTGATGCAGACCATGGCCGATCGGCTTTTCCTCCACCCGCTTTGCGCCGAATGGATGTGATGCTGTCGTCGAAGTCTGAACGGCCGTCAAGCCCGACGCTATGGCGGCCGATGAAAGATGTCTGTGCAAAGATAGAAAGTAACCATAGCCAAGGTAACGGTTTTGTAGCGCGCTCACGGCGCCATCGATCTCGGTTGCGGGTGTTTCCTTGGACAAGGTGACGATGGCGGCAATGGACTTGCGCTCCGTCCCTTGTGGGCCAGATGGTGGAACAAACTTGACGTTCTCGACCGTCAAGTTGGGTGGTATGAGCGCCTTGATGACGGCTGGCGATGTGCTCGGCGGGAGGTTGGAAAGACGTAGTGTGGGTTTCGAAATGGCCTTCTCCTCTGCTCGGCCGTTAACGGTCGCTTCCTCCTCGTTGTCGCTATCATTGAAAACCCTGGACACGGGCAAAGAGCTCTTCTCGCCATCCCTCTCCCTCTCCCTCTCCTCAAACCCTGGTCTTGACCTAGACTCTTCGTGGGGCCTTTGGCGACTGGAATGGAAATCATCGTATGACCTCTTCTTTCCGAACGATGTTGGAGGAGGTCCTAGACTGCCGGGACCACTTTTGAGACTGTTGACGCCAAAGTGTCTCTTGCCCGTTCCTCCAAACGGCTGTCCACCAAGGGTTGGCCTTTCGGGTCGGTCGTTACCGTATCGGGAGTTTGGTGGTCGTGATTCGGAACTGTCATCGTGGTCGAAGCTCTTGACAAAGTCCTCATAGACAGCGGCCGTCTCAGCAGCTTCTCTGCGGCGCTTGGCCTCTGCCTCTGCCTTTTGGCGCTCGAATGCGGATTGCTTGGTGGCCCTCTGGAGCTTCGCCTCCACGTCAGGAAATTCGGCAATCTTCTTGGACGACGACATGTTATCGATTGGGCATGGCTGGCTACGACGAATAATCACGGTGCTGGCTGTTCGTGGTCAGCAAGGTGCTGCTGATGCCTGATGCGACTGGGGACGGGACGTGGAGCGACGAAAGCGCGGTGCACCGCAGAGTGGCTCTCCCCGTTGTGATAGTATGCTACTAGAGGTACCTCTAGGTAGGCGAGGGCGCTAGGCCCGTAGCTGCGGATGGCCCGTGGGGGAACTTGAATGTGGTAGGGCCATGTAATATTACAGGAACGTAAGGAAGAACCGCCTAGATGAGGACATCGTACGCGTATTTTACAAGTTCTCTTTTCATAATCGTTACCGTAGAGGTACAGTATCAAGAGTATGTAGCAGTTGATCTTCAATCTTTGAACTTGTCGAAATTTGTGTTCCAAACTGGAATATCCTCTCGTCGCTGTGCCACCCTAAACTTTGCGGCTCGGCCGGCCACTTGAAACCACAAGGTCTTTGCATTGGATTCGGAACCTCCGAAGATGGTGCGGCCTGGTGTGTCAAGTCAGAGTGTTACTCGGCTGCGGACATGTGCGAAAGAGGACAACAACAACTAATAACTTGAACTTTTAGAACAGAGCTCTGGGGGCATCTGGCTTCGAGCTGTTAAGCGAACAACATTAAATGGGCAATTGTCAACACAGCTTGCCAGATGATGAACTCCCAGGTCGTTCGTTGACCGGAACATCATGATTGGACTCATACTGATTTATGTCGACTCCTCACGATGCCTGCCACCACCCGCCATCTCGTGATCTAATGATCACACAAATTGCAGAATCGTGATGCACGACCGGGGA